ACTTTATTCTTTTAAATATATGTAAACCTACTATATATAATTTATAGCAACAATGGGATGGTATGGTACTTCTTGTTCTGTAAGGTATTTTTTCCCTAACTATAGGCGTTATTTATGCTAATATATATATTGATCTACCTTGTACTCCTTTGTTTGGATGTAACAATAATTATACATATTTTGTTAATTTCATCTTGACATTTAGATTATGACCAGTGTTTTACCAATACCAATTCTGTAAAATAGCATCTTTGTGTATATATTTTTGCCCACTTTTAGATAGGACTATTTTTTCTGGGATTTCTACATGTGGAATTATTCAATTATATACAAACTCTTAATTTTTATAAGTGTATCCAAGTTACATTTTAATTTGTGTGCAATTTACATTTGATATAATTGGGATTTAAGTCTGTCATTTTATTATTTGTATACTCTGTTACTTCTGTTATTTACTTATTTTTTTGGTATCTGTTTCCCTTTTCCTGTGTGTTTCTTGAACATTCTTTGGGATTCCGTTTTGAGTTATCTCTAGTGTTTACTATATATCTATGTATTACTTTTTTTTCTAGTGGTTGCTCTAGGGATTAAAATATCCATACTTAGCTTATCACAGTCCAGTAATAGCAGCATTTTGCCACTTAGATTGGAATATAGATACTCTACCACCATTTGGGCCCCTCTATCCCCCTCTCTTTATAGAATAGCTGTCTAGATATTTTCTTTATACATATTCAGAACCTGCTCATAAATGTTGCTTTTAAATGTCAAATATAATTTTTACAGCTCAAGAGGCAAAGAATACTTTATTGTATTTAGCCATGCATACATTTATATTTTTCTTTGCTCTTTCTTCATTTCTGATGTCTTAAGATTTCTTCCATTTCCTTTTTTTTTTTAAGAATTTCCTTTCAACATCATTTTTGGGGCCAGTCTTCTGGTAATAAATTATCTTAACTTTTTTTTTTTTTGTCTGAAAAAAATTTTTTTAAAGGTTTATTTATTTCAGTGAGTGAGAGTTCAAGGGGGAGGGGAGAGAGAAGAAGGAGAGAGAAGCTCAAGCAGATTCCATGCTGAACACAGAACACGACTTCGGGCTAGATCTCACGACCCTGAGATCAGACTTGAGATGAAACCAAGAGTCAGACAGTTAACCGACTGGGCCACCCAAGTGCCCCTTGTCTGAAAATGTTTTATTTCACCCTTATTCCTAATGGATATTTTCACTAATACAGTGTTGTGGGTTGGCAGGCCTTTTTTCTCAGCATTGACAACTAGTTAGATATTTCCTTCTGGTGTCTGTGGTTTCTGAAGAGCAATCCGGTGTTCTTTTCTCACTAGCTGTTTTAAGGCTTTTTTCTTTGTCTCGGATTTTCAGAAGTTTGAATGTGATGTGTCTGGGTGTAGATTTCTTTGAGATTATCCTCTTTGGGATATTCTCAGCTCCCTGAAACTGTAGAGTCATGTCTTATGACAAATTTGGAAAGTTTTCAGCCATTATTCATTTAAATATTTTTTCAGCCCCCCATTCCTTTTTTTCTCATTTCTGGGGACTCCGATGACACGCATGTTACATCTTCATTCATTGTCTCACAGATCTTTGAGGTTCGTATCATTTAAAAAGATCTACTTTTCCTTGTTATTCATGATTTCTATTGAACTAACTTCCAGTTCCCTAATTTCTTTGCCATTTGCATCCTGTTTTGATCTTTCCCTATGAAGGTTTGTTTGTTTAAGCTCAAAATTTCTGGTTGTTTCCTCTTTCATATTTTTTATTTGTTTCAAGAGTATTCATAATTGCTTCCTGGAGCATTTTTATGACATTAGCTTTAAATTTCTTAACTAAAAATTCCAAATTCCCTGTCCTTTTGGCATTGTGGTCTGTTGACTGTATTTTCTCATTGAAATTTAGATATTCCTGGCTTTTGCATGATGAGTAATTTTGGACAGTTTCCTGGACATTTTTAGTGTTCTGTTTTATGACTGTTTTCTAATTAAATTTTTTATTTTAGCACGTAGTCAACCTGTTTAGATTCAGAGTACACATCCTGGCTCACTTCTGTGGGCTGTGTTTCAAATGTTAATTTAGTGTACAAAGCCTGTGCAATGCTACGTGGCTCTGCCACTCTTGTTTGTTATCCAGATGATAAGACTCCGTCCCGCAGTATCCTGAGCACCCCCTGAGGAAGGGAAGTGTGCCGCCTCATTCCTGCCTGGGTAGAGTGTGGAAATAAGGGGTCCTCCAACAGGCTCTACTAATGCAGAAAGCACTTCCTCTTTACTGCAGGAGGAAGATGGGAGTCCTAGTTCTGCCCACTGACTCCACTGGGGAGAGAAACCACCTTGTTTACTTGAGGACAAGCCCAGAAGTCCACCTTCAGGCCCTGTATGGAAGGGGCACCACCTGTTACTGTGGTGAAGGTGGGGGGAGTGCAGTCAGGGCTCTTTCCTCTCTATATAATTATGCTCATTCACGTATTTGCTCAAATCTCTGTCCCTGATCTTTTGTAATTGTGGTTGATGTGATTAATTAAAAAGCATTTTTTATTATCCCTTTAGCATAGTCCTAGGAGGAAGAGGATATAAATTTATGTAGCCGTTTAGTTATCTTGACCTAGAATTCAAGTGTGGGAGATATTGAAATTTGAACACGACTGCATTCTAAAGTAACTTGGTAATTTATATTTATATTAATAAAGGAGGCATCCTTCTTCATAAGCATGCTAAGTAATAAAACATTTTGGTAGTCATTTAAAATTATGTGGTGTTAACACAGTAAACTCAGTAAAAACTGCCCAATATACGTCATTTACATGCAGTTAAAAAAAAGTTGTAAAAATATTTCAGTATTCTATGATAAGGACTAAAATAAAAAAATTCAATGTTCTATGATGACATCTCATATATAATATTTATATTATATATTTATATATTATATATTTATATCTAATATATTTTTTTAAGATTTTATTTATTTGAGAGAGAGAGTGAGCACGAGTGAGGGGGTGAGGCAGAGGGAGAGGAACAAGCAGACTCCCCTCTGAGCAGGGAGCCCGACATGTGGCTCCCAGGACCCTGAGATCATGACCTGAGCCGAAGGAAAAACCCCTTAACCGACAGAACCACCCAGGTGCCCCTGTATATATAATATTTAATTTCTTCATAAACTTTAAGGAAGCGACCCAACCCACATATTAATATCAAAGAATCATAAAAATTCCTAAGAAAATTGTTATGTCTAGTTAAATTGTTTTAGATATGTAGTATTGAACACTTATCCCAGTTATTTTTCATATAGCTTTTTGGGGATGCAATCACATACCATACAGTTCGTCTATTTAGACCTTACATTAGTAATCAAGCATTCTCAATTGAAATATGTTATTGGTCAGCTGGAAGCAGATGATAGTTATTGAAATGGTTTAACTTAAGTTCCTATGTCGGCTTAAAACTTTTCCTTCATAGGGATCCATTGGTTCCTTCCAAAACTTTTTTTTGAGAATTAAAGTGTAAAAAGGGAACTGTTATTAGTTTTTTTTATTGTGGTAAAATACACATGATGTAATATTTAGTGTTTGACCATTAAAAATATACAATTCAGAGGCATTACATATTTTTACAAGGTTGTACAACCATCAAGACTATCTCCTTCTACAACTTCTTCATCATCCCAAACAGAAACTCTGTATGTACCTATTAAATGGTAATTTTTCATCCCCCTCTTCTCCCAGTCCCTGGTAACCTTTATCATGCCTTTTTTCTCTGCAAATTTGCTTTTTTCCAGATATGTCATATAAGTAGAAGTATACAATATTTGTCCTTTTGTGTCTGACTTATTGCATTGGGTATTCTTTTGGGTCATATCATTTGAAATTAGAAGAGAGAGTGGCTAAACACCTGTGCCTTAACCCTGTCTTGCCCTATCTCCTCTCTTAGGGAAGAAAGAAAGACATGCAACCACTAAACAAGGCAATATGAGTTCAGAGTTACACGTGCCATGCAAAGAAACCATGTTTCATCCTATTGCTCCTATCTACTTGGGAAAAGTAGACTGTTCTTTGAATCTTTAGCTCAGATGTTACCTTCTTGTGAAGATTTCCACAACCAATATTTGTCACACCTTCTTTTCCAGTCCTAGAACACTTTGAAAATATGATGTTTGATATTGTTTGCATATATATCTTCCCTCACTAGACTGTAAGCAGTGCAATGGGTTAGGCCATGTGTTTTGCAGATCTTTAAGTTCACAATATTTGCATTACTGCTGAAAATACTGCTCAACCTCCTTCCCTTCAGGAAACACACCCTTGTCCATCAGAAGCCAGCTCTGCTTTTTGTGGATTTTTCTTGGGCAAAAGAATAAATCCATGATAAAATTTTGCATGTAAAACCAAAATTTAAAAAAATATAGTTTTTTGACTTCATAATCATTAGTGTTATCATTTGTCTTAAACTTTTAATTGTGAAGTAATATGTATATGGGAAAATATAGCATGATTTTATTAAATAAAGTATTAATTAACTTCATGTTAAAAATTAGATCTTCAATTAGGAGTAGAAGCAATCTGGTAATTGGAAGCTTAATATCACTGAGTCTAGCAGGATAAATAATAATTACTTATATTTGGAGAATTTATGTTATGACTATATTGAGTTATTTAATTATGGCCAAACTTATCCATGGCTGTATAATGTTTTGGTTCTGCTATTTGAAACACTTTAATTGACTACATTATGTAGGATAAGGCACCCAAGAATGTGTTTACAAGACGTCAGAAATAGTGACACTGTTGATATAGATAGGGATGTGCTGACATTAAATAAAACAATCAACTCAAATTCTGAGCCACAGTAGTATTGAAAACCAGTATGCCAGGCTTTTAGATGTAAGAAGCTAAGGTAAAATTAAAAAACAGTAAAGAGTCACATCAGTGCTGTACAATAATGGATGAGAGAAAATAATGTAAGTCACTGATGCATTCCTTTCTTCTCCTGTTTAGGGTTGCTGGAGAAAGATAACTATTGATGACTTTCTGCCTTTTGATGAAGACAACAATCTTTTGCTTCCAGCCACAACCTATGAATTTGAACTCTGGCCAATGCTTCTGTGTAAAGCTATCATTAAACTGGCAAATATTGAGTATGTAGAAGGAAGAATGATCACTCACTTACATAAAAACAAAAAGACAAATGACAAACAGCTATACATCTATCACAAGATATATCGCCAGATATATTGCATATCTTTAATTTTTAAATCAATTTAAAGGAGTTTTCTTTCCAAACAATGTAAATGTTCTGATATAAAAATAAATATGCCAAAACCACTAATTTGAAATATTGGGTTAGCCAGCAATAAGACAATATTCTCCCAAGAGAAAATACTCAAAAATTATTCTATATCCAATGCTTTCTTAGGATGAATGGCAAGTAATCATGAAAAGTAATGTTTCAGCTTAGTGTGAGAAAGAAGTTGTTTTGTAGGGGGAAATATTGGTTCATCTAAATGCCAAATAATATATCCTGGAATCCAGTTCAAGTTTTAGTTCTGTATATGCAGCAATAATTTACTAATCTTGAAAACCTGAACTCTTCCGAGGGATGTCAATATGTTCCTCATATTTTTGGTAACATTGGTCCCTTTTAATACATTTGTGATGAAAACTACTCATATTTGCTTCAATACTCTTGTGAAATCTGCTTGCGTCTTCCATTCCTGCATGTCTTGTGCATCAACGTATATGAGACGTGTCTGCCATGTTCATTCTCTTGGCTTCCACCTATGGAGACCCTAGGTCAATCCATCCCCACCCTAGCCATGCAAAAATAGTTTAGATTCTTAAGTTGCAAAGGCGTGGCAACTTCGTATCATTGCTCAGTGGGAGAATTCTCACATACACTGCACTGGCTTGAATTTGATACCCTTCACCTTCCTGCAGGGTGTGACAGCGCCTCATTCTCAATGGAAAATCCACATGCTCTAACAGAGACCACTTTAGCCCTTGTCTCAAAGCTCAGCCTCCTTCCCTTCAGGAAACACACCCTTGTCCATCAGAAGCCAGCTCTGCTTTTTGTGGATTTTCTTTTGTCTCCCCTTCGTTTTTTTTTCCAAGGCTACACAACAAAACCAGCTACTCCTACCACCATCCTTGTCATCTCTCTTTTCTCTCACCAACCCTCAATTTTCTGTTTGGAATTTGTTTCACCCAGCTCACAACTCTTAATTTCAATGATTTTTTTAAAAGAACTTAGCTCAGATCTTTTTAGGTAGCTAAATAGTACTAAGTATTTATACTGGTGACAGCTATGTTTGTTTTGAAAGAAAACAACATTCCTCTTGTTCCTAATTCTCAGACCTAACTTGAAGTTCTGAGAATTAGAGCTGAATTAATATCAGTGAAGTGTTAAACCTGTGACCTGGAAAATTGGAGTGGCATTTTGTCTTTCTTAAAGCTACAGTTCTGTAGAATTTTATAGCAACCTAAGAAATAAGATTATTGTTATTTTAAAAAATAGATAAATCTAGCATGGAAATAAAGGACTAGACTAAATGTAAGACATTTCTGAGGCTTTCTAGTGTACACCTAAACTGTGTGGTACAATTTATGTTTGTCTATACATTTTTTTTTCTCAGGTTTTATAGTATATAGCAATTATTTTCATATGAGTTTTAGCTTTCTACATTAAAAATTAATATGTAGTAATTATGTCAATATCATTGTGAGCTATGCAAAGGACAGAACATTATCTTTATGAAGTTTGCACAGTTGCTTCCTAAATAAGATTATCCACAGAGGAGTTTAGACTAGACTGTGAACTACTCCAAGAGATTTTTGTTATCTGTAACATATGTAGACACATCAAAATTCATAATCTATAAACAAGAAACCAATGCAAGTTTATAAATGATAGAGCATGTGACTAAGATTGTAAGATTTCTTTCTGAAAAAGGACACATATGGTCAATACCATCAATCACCCCTGTTGGCACATGGTGGACTGAAGTTGTGACCCCTGGCCACAATAGGGGTACGACATTTATGTGTGTTAATGTAAACAGACTAATCACTTCAGAAAACAAAAGGACTAAAATGGGAAGAGTGATATTTGGTCATTCACAGTTTCATTTGACTTTATGCTATGGTGGCAGATCTGCTCTTTTGTATAGGATAAAAGATGTTTCTAGTCTCTCTGAAATTACCTAAGGATTTAATTAGGGATATCTGATGCCCATCTTGACCTGCCATGTATGAGACTGATTTAATACACAGTCTCGTAGGCATCTTAGGATAATAACTGAAACCAGAAAGATAAAAGACACTTCTGTTTTTTAAAGAACATGTTAGTATATTGAATATATAAAATATATAGCACCTAAATTTACATATTTTATATATGTGCATATGTTTTGTGTATATGACATGAATATTAATTTATATCTTTTTAAAATAAGGCTTATAGCATGTTTTAAAAATAAACATGAAATTTTATCTTTGGATCTCTTTAAGCTCTTTAACAAAACGAATCATCTGGCTGTTGGAATAGTATTTTCTTGTATTCTAATATATAACCACTATGACTCCTACATTTTTTATTGTGATATCACTGTTTATTAAAGATTCCTAGTCTTTATATACCTGTCTGTTTTCAAATGTTACTAACTATACTATTGTGCATTTGCCTTTTTAGCATTCATATAGCGGAGAGGAGAGACCTAGGGGAGTTCACTGTTTTCCATGCACTTACGGGATGGCTACCAGAAGTGATCTCTCTCCAGTAGGTTTTACCATTAAGTTCTTCATATATTTTTTTCTTTCTTCCCCAGTAATATTTCTTAAACTAAAACATTCTTAATCTTCAAGAAAATTTCAAGAAAGGACACATTTTACAAAATGTTTGTGAAAATACTATTTTATAGTATTCTATAAAATTCCTTGAGAATTTCAGGATAAATTCTGTTTCCTTAAAAAGACTGTGAATTTAATCTTTAAATATCTGGATGACAAATAGGAAAGCAATGTTAATTCTTCATTATGGTGAAATATTTGCATGTGTCCCTTTATACCTATACAGGTACTATACTTATTCAGTACAGAAACATAAAGGTGACTTTTAATTAACCACACATATTAGAAAATAATTAATAATAATGAAACACCTATTAGGCACTAGGCGCTTTAATATATTATTTCTAATTAAAAACCATAGTCCTGAAAATATTATTTAATCATTCATATGGCCTTACCAGCTGGGTATATGTCATTACAAATGAGGAAACTGAAGCCCAGAGTGGTTTGGTTTTTACAAGAAGATCAAATCCATAGCACAGTTACCAATTTGGATCATGTCCAATCTTTGAATCATTTTGGGAATCTGCCATTCTCAAAGGGTCCAGGTTAGAGGAGATTGAATTCAGCCCCCAGTAACTTGGATTCTACCATCTGAAGCATCTTTTCAGCAGGATAAACTAGCTGTTGCTTGGTTCAAATAAACAGAAGCTTTTCAGTTTGATATAGCTCTACTTTTTATTCTTGCATTTGTTGCCCTTGCTTTTGGAGTCAAATCCAAAACAAACAAACAAACAAACAAACAAACAACAGTATGAGACCAACATCAAAAAGCCTATATTTTCTGTAGGAGTTTTATGGTAAAGCCATATGAAACCATGCATTCAAGTCTTTAATCCATTATGAACTGATTTTTATGTATAGTGTATGATAACGGTCTGGTTTCATCCTTTTGCATGTGGCTGTCCAGTTCTTGCAACACCGTTTCTTGAGGAGGCTATCTTTTCCACATTGTGTATCCTTGACTCCACTGTCATAAGTTGATTGACTATATATGGGTGGGTTTATTTCTTAGTTCTCTATTGTGTTCCATCGATCAAAGTGTCTGTATGTCAATAGCATACTGTTTGATCATTATAGATTTGTGACATAGTTTGAAATCAAGAAGTGTGATGCCTCCAGCTTTGTTCTTTCTCACAATAGTTTTGGCTATAAGAGTTTTTTCGTGGCTCAATACAAATTTCATGATTGTTTTTCCTATTTCTGTGAAAAATGTCATTCGAATTTTGATAGGGATTGCGTTGAATCTGTAGATGACTTTGGGTAGTATGGACATTTTTACAATATTGATTCTTCCAGTCAATGAGCACAGAATGTCTTTCCATTTATTTGTGTCATCTTCAACTTCTTTTTATTAACGTCCTATAGTTTTCATTGTACAAGTCTTTCACCTCCTTGGTTAAATTTATTCCTAGGTATTTTATTCCTTTTGAGGCGATTGTAAATGGGATTGTTTGTGTTTCTGATGACTCATTTAGTGTATAGAATGCAACAGATTTTTGTATATTGATTTTGTATCCTGCAACCTGACTGAAGTCATTTATTGGCTTAATAGTTTCTGGTGGCATCTTTTGGGTTTTCTACATATATTATGTCTTCTGCAAATAGTGACAATTTTACTTCTTCCTATCTAATTTGGATGCCTTTTATTTCTCTTTCTTGCCTACTTGCTTTGGTTAAGACCTGTAATAATACTGAATGAAAATGGTGAGAGTTGGCATCCTTGTTTTGTTCCTGATCTTGAGGAAAATATTTTAGATTTTCACAGTTGATTATGATATTAGCTGTGCGCTTGTCATATTTGGCCATTATTATGTTGCGGTATTTTCTCTCAATAACCACTTTGTTGAGAGTTTTTATCATAAATGGATGTTGAATTTTGTCAAATATTTTTCTCCATCTATTGAGATGACCTTATGATTTTTATCATTCATTTTGTTAATGTGGTGTATCACATAGATTTGCAAATGTTGAATCATACTTACTTACATCCCCGGAATTAATCCCACTTGTTCATGGTATATTTCCTTTTAATATATGTTGAATTCTCTTTGCTAATATTTTGTTGAGGGTTTTTGCCTCTATGTTTATCAGAGATTTGGGTCAGTAATTTCCTTTACTTGTGGTGTCCTTGTCTGGTTTTGGTATCAAAGTAATGATGGCCTTATAAAATGAGTTAGAATGTGTTCCTTCTGTATTTTTCCAAAGAGTTTGAGAAGGATTGGTATTAATTATTCTTTAAATGTTTGGTAGAATTCACCAGTGAAGCCTGGAGTTTTGTTTGTTGGGATTGTTTTGATTGCTGATTCAATATCTTTGCTAGTAATTGGTCTGTTAAGATTTTCTATTTCTTTATGATTTGGAAATTAATGTTGATGTGTTTTATCTAAGCCCAGGATATATGGACAAAGTATGGGAGCTCTTGAAAGAAATATTGCCTGAATTTAAGCTGTCGGTTGAGTCCAGTTCTGAAAGCAAAATAGCTGTGTTAGATGCCAAATTAAAAGAACCAGGGAAAGAAGTGAAGGATGGCAAGGAAGTAAAGGATGGCAAAGAATTCAAACCTGATAGTTCAGTGACAGCACTAAAGATACCTGAGAAAAGTGACAAGGCTCCAAAGGGTAAGACATTTTATATTATAATGTCATTTGTATGTTCAATATGGATATTGCATATAAATGTTCTATAGTCGTTGCTGAATTTAATGATTATTTATTGTCATTATCATTTACTAAGTGTTGTGAAAATAATTAAGATCCCATCTTTCTAGGATTTTAGAACTAGTAATGTAGTTTACTAGATGTTAGTTATTATCCCATATTTTGCTGTCTTTTAAAACCAAGGGCAACTGTATATTTTGATGATACTGAAGTAGTATAGTATTAACATAGGAAGAGACATCAAGTGTCAATTTCCATTACACACACTTCCTTATATGTTATATGTAGAGTGGAATGGAGCAAAACTGCAAAGGGAAAGTTGTTCTAGTCTGTCTTTTTATTTCCCCACCAAGGAAATGCAAAATAGACACAGTATGGATTGTGATTTGCTGACCATTTATTGTAAGGTAGAAGTTCAAATTTCAAAGTAAAATAATTTCAAGCTATTTTACAGTGTAGGATCTTAAAGGGAGAAATATACTGAATAATTATTTTATATTTTCTAAAATATTTCATATAGCTATGCATATGAATAATAATGCTTCTATAGTAAAGTAAAATTAAGTATACTAGAATATACTCAGCTTTTTTATATACCTCAAGAGCTTTTATAATGATCTTTCAAATATTTGTTTTATAAAATCTTATATTTTGCCCAAATTGTTCCTTATCAAGATCTTATTTACCAGCATTTACCACGCAGAAATTATTACTATAAATGTTTCTCAAGAATTTACCAAGATCAAGTGTATGAGTGATATCTGCCTATCATAAGCCCTTCTTTAAATGACCTAATGTGAATTAGTTTATGAAAGAAAGCAGAACAAGAGGCTGATTAAATTTGTTTTACCTAGCATATCTCAAATTAATTTGAACTTAGAAGGCTTTTTTCATGTATCACAAATTAACATATGTTCATCCATCCATTCAGATACACTATTTGCTGAGTAGAATACCAATACATGTTCCAGGAATTAATGATCATCCGGTGAACAAAATCCAATGTGAAGCTTATCTCCTAGTGCTTATGATCTAGGGAGAGAGACTAACATTAATTTTAATTTTAAAAACCATAACCATATACTAAGACATGAGCCTTGGAAGAAAATACGGAAAACTATGGGAGTTCATATTTAGTCTAGGACATTAGGGAAGAATTCTCTAATTATGATGCAGTAGGAGGAATGAGGAAACTAGCCTCATTCTAAAATGAGAAAATTAGCCTAAAATTATATATAATATATAAAATTATATATTAATATATATAATGTAAGTTATATTAAATGATCATCTCTATTTAGCAAAAAAATATATGTAGTCAATAATCATGTCTTTGGCAGTACATTGTCAATTTTCAAAGTTTTCTCTTACTTTATTTTGATGTTTCTAATTAGAGGTGAGTAGTGTTTTGGGAAATTTGCGGCTATTGTTTTACATTTAAATAACACTATTGTTTTGGCCTTCTTTTCAACATAATAACTGAATAAGTAATATAGTTTGAGGTTTTGTAGTTAAAAGATTTATCATATCTATTTTTTAACGTTAGAAAAAGCAGATGCAAAAGATGTTGGGAAGAAGAGGAGTAAAAATGGAGAAAAAGAAAAGGAAAAAGAAAAATTCAAATGGTCACTTCATGCTTCAAGACCATCATCAGATGTACAGTACTCTCTGCAGTCTCTGTCAGATTGTAAGCTTTCAGTATTCTAGAGTAATAGCTATTGTAGCTGCTTCCTAAAATGTTAGGAAACTTGGGAGTTTACAAAGTTGGAATATCACTTTGGAATACAAAGTGTATTGCCTGTTTAGCCATTATCTGAATAAACGTGCTCAAGTTTGCCTATAATTGTTAAACTCTCAAATCAGTATGCATATGGGGGCAGTCTTACATGTGAGACAGAAGCCAAGGTTGTCCAAGTTTTTATGGTACAACAGCCACAGAAGTGTTTGCATGGAGGAGGACATATACTAATTAAGTGTATATGCTATGTATTAGCACATAACAAATAATCTATTATATATTGTTGTATTGAGTATATTATAATACATAAAATACAACATATATTATATGATACATATTGTATAATATCCATAAATATTAATGTATAATTTTATAAACTATATAAATATAAAATATAATTACATATTAGTGTATACAAATATATATTAGTATATATCTTCCTCTGTATAAATAAATATATATATGTATATATGTATATAAACTATATATGTATGTATATGTGTGTGTGTGTGTGTATATACATACATGCCTGAATTCAGGTCTCTGAACCATGAAAAATATACAAGCTTAATTTTTAAATGTAAAAATATGTTTTCATAAGTTTGGTATATTTTACATTTTAATCTATTGTAGAGAGATCCTGTATCTAGCATATTTTGTGGGTCTAAAAATATTTTTCTTTAATAAATATCTAATACAGTTCAATATTAGTGCTTGAATTTGTAAAGGAGTAAAACAAACTTTTTAATTAAAACATAAAGACAATACAGGAAAATAAATTATACCATTTTAGCCAGAATCTGTAAAGAACAAAAGCATACTGAATCAAATATAGTAATCTCAGGTCTGTTAAGAAACATATGAAAAAAATAAGTGATGCTCAGGAGCATTAAATATTAAATAATCCATATTGTACACCTGAAACTAATATAACACTGTATGCTAACGATCCTGGAAATAAATAAATAAATAAATAAATAAATAGGAATTTCCTGGCCAAATATATATATATTATATACACACACATATAAAGCAATCCCAGCTAAGTTACTGACTTAGTTTTCCTTCTTCATGGAAGGATTAGTTTATGTTTTCTTTCTTCTTGAAATGACATAGAAAGTTCTGAACTTCTTTAAATTCAAATTAAGGTTTTTATCTATGAAAACTAAAAAATTTCACTTTAAAATCATTCCTTTTGAATATAATCATTCGTAGACTCTTCTAGTGACATTGACTAGTAGCTATAGTTTTTCTGATAACTTTTTTTTATAGTGACATAAAATGATTTCTTAAGCAATTAAATGGTACTAAGATGAAGGTAAAACTAATGAGATGTTCTATAAAATAGATGCATATGTGATATTTAACATTTATTAAATACGTTTACAGTCATTTACCTATTTTTCACGTGCAAAGATATGCCCATTAAGGAATTTGAACAATCTGGAATGATCTACTGACAGACCGAGAATTTGGCGAGAATTTCCATGACACGATATATATTTTTTTTACAGGTTCTTCAGCAATACAGTCCCCTCACATGGTTGTATATGCTACCTTTACACCCCTCTATTTATTTGAAAAGAAGATCTTTGCATTAGAAAAAATGGTAAGCACTCAAGGCCAGGAAGCCCAGTACCATTTATGGGTGTGTGTGTGTGTGTGTGTGTATGAGGGTGTGATAGTGAGTGAAAGAGAGGTGTGTGTGTGTGTGTGTGTGTGTGAATGGGTGAGAGAGAGAGGGAGGTAGGGAGGAGAGAGAGAGATATTTGTTGTCATTGAAGGTATACCAGAATTTAAAATTCTGGTCCTGGATTTCAGTCTACTTATCTTTAAAAAAATAGACACTTGAACACAGGGACCTGGAACATTCAAAATTATCTTAGATGATTGTAATAATTCCCTGTTTAAAAAAATGTAGACTCATGTATTATTATCATTTTGTTCCATTCTAAGCAAAAGAAAAGGCATATGAGTTATGTATTTCAGAAAGAATCATGTAAACATATCTAAATGATAATAAATTCCCTTTCCATAAACAGATCATGAATATTTTCTTAACATAAGATGATTTAAATGAACTGACATCCACAGTTGGTAAACTACTATTATAACCTCCTTGTAATCTTTAGATAATACACACAAAAAATGTTAATTGATTTTTTTCTTATAAGTCTAACAATTTAGAGAAAATTTAGAAAATGTACACAAAGGCATTGAAATGAAAATATTCATAGTATAAATACCTAGACATAGGCAATGCTAATATATTGGGATATACCCTTTGATTTTTTTCTTCTGTGCATATATTCTGTGTATATATGAATATACTTTTTTTTACACAGTGGAATTAAATGTTAAATTTTGGAAGCCAGCTTTTTCACTTGACACTATATCATTAATTTTTTTCCATGATGTTAAGTATTTGACCACATAAAATTTAGTAGTGGCATGGCATGTATGGGTTTCCTATCATTTTTAAATATATATGTATTTAAATAAATTTGTACCCCCTTTACCCATTTCTCCCACCCCCACCTTCTGCCTCTGACAACTCTACTGATCTGTTCTCTGTTTCTGTGAGCTTGTTTTGTTTTGTTTTAGATTCCACATATGAGAGAGCATATAGTATTTGTCTTTGTCTATCTGACTTATTTCATTCAGCATAATGCCCTTGAAGTCCATCCATGTTGTCACAAATGGAAAGATTGCATTCTTTTTATGGCCGAGTAATATTCCATCATTCTGTTTTCTTTTTGCTGCTCTAATAGGATGAGTTCTACTGCCTTGTCTCTGAGTTGACTGATCCTTTCTTCTCCTTTATCTAGTCTGTTGTTGAACTTTTCTAAGTGTATTTTTCAGTTTAGTTACTGTATTCTTCAGCCCTTTGACTACTCTTGGGTACTTTCTTATATTTCCAACTTTTTGTTGAAGTTCTCACTGTGTTCATCCATTTTTCTCCCCAGTTCAGTGAGCATTTTTATGACCACTACCCTGAACTTTTTATCAGACAAATTACTTATCTTCCTTTTATTAAGTTTTTCTCTGAGTTTTTATTTTGTTCTCTTTCTCTTTTGGAACATATTCCTCTGTTCTTCATCTTGCTTAATTCTATTAGTTTCTATACAGTTGATGAAACAACCGTCTCTCCCAGTCTTGAAGGAGTGACTCCATTTAGTAGATGAAGCTTGTCATTCAACCCTGCCTCAGTTCTGGTTGTCTCTTAAACCTTTGTGCTTGCCTGGGCAGAAGCCATTGTATTTTTAATAGCTTACCATCAGTGAGGATGTGCTAAGACCTGTCAGTGTCCCTAAGGGAAGGATCTTAGCATTTAGATTCAAGCAGTTTGGAAGTCGGACCTATGAGCAGCAGCTTTTAGAAAGTATGCAAATATACACAGTCCTAGGACTCGCAAGTGGCCAGGTTCGCTGGTGGCGTCCCCTGGTTGGCAGCCACAAAAAGTTCGGGCTCCAAATGATCAAAAAGCCCTTTTCTGAGATGCTGGTGAGCTGCAACGAGGCAGAGGGAGAATGCCAAGATGTGTCCATAGCCTGCACTCCTTGAGAGCAAGCAGCTCCGTAGTTCACTAGGGGTGTGCCCAATCCAACGTCCCTGAAGCCTGCCTCAGGCTGAAGCTCCAGGACAAGCCAAGAGTCCTTCTTCACTGAAAGACTGGGGGTGTGGCTCCATTTGCTGTCTGCACAGTGCCCTGGGAGTGGCAGCTGGCCAAGGGCTGGCTCTCCAATTGCCACAGTCCCGTGGCATCCAGGAATGCAAGCCCCCCCTTGCTACCAGAGCCAGATAATCAAGAGGCTTCCTCTGAGTGCAAGCTGCAAAAATTGGGGTGCCCGACATAAAACCCAGGGCACCCGCCATGTGTAAGTCACCCCTCCAGGAGACACGGGTGCCCTGGAGTGTGGTAGAGGGAAAGCACAAAGATAGTTCTTGCCCTCCGAGGTCTCTGGAAAGGATCATTGTCAGTCCCATGATGTGTGTTTAATTAGAAATCTGCTCCTCAGGCTGCCCCTGAGAGGATTACTTAATAGGTCTCCTCCGCGGAAAGACTGAACTCCTGGGTCTGTTGCCTCTTGTTGTGCCCCGGGGGGTGGCAGCTGGTTAACGACTCTTTCTCCATTGGTTACAGTCTGGTGGGACACACAAGCGTAAGCTCCACTGGCTGGAGAGGTGTCCCCTGGCAGCAGTCGCAAAATCAGTCACAAAACCCATAGGACCAGGCAAGTTCCCCTGGCCTCCAGAGCCAGGCGGTCAAGAGGCATTCCCTGGGCGGCAGCTACAAAGATCAGGCATCAGAAGCGTATGAAAAGCTTCCTTCCAGGAGATGCTGGTGTATTGGAGCAGGGCAAAGGGAGAGTGGGAAGCCGGCCCCCGCCCCGGGGTTCCTGCAGAATGTTCCAACAGGCACCTGCATGTGTGTGTGAAATAAGATGCTGGCCCCTCAGGATGAGGCTCTAATACAAGCAGGGGAGCCTCTTTCACTTTGGGTGCAATTGGCCAAACTCTGATTAGATATAAAAATCACTTTTCAGGGCGCCTGGGTGGCTCAGATGGTTAAGCGTCTGCCTTTGGCTCAGGTCATGATCTCAGGGTCCTGGGATCAAGTCCCGCATTGGGCTCCCTGCTCCTTGGGAGCCTGCTTCTCCCCCTGCCTCTCTCTCTCTCTCATGAATAAATAAATAAAATCTTTAAAAAAAAAATCACTTTTCTCTTTCCCTTTGTAAAGGGTAAAATCCACCAGGTTACTTGCTCTTCACTGTACTGAGACAAACACAATATTGCATTTGGAGCTTACCAAATTCTAACCCCTTGGGGGACTCCTAGACATCCAGCACTTTGGTTATAGAATTCCATATGCTCTGAAATCACTGCACTTAAAGTAGGAGAAGACTAGATGGTGTAGTAATATAAACATAAATGTACAGTGGGTTAGTTAAAAACAGTTGGATATTAAAAATTCAATGAGGGCGCCTGGGTGGCTCAGTTGGTTGAGCGACTGCCTTCGGCTCAGGTCATGATCCTGGAGTCCCGGGATCGAGTCCCGCATCGGGCTCCCTGCTCAGCAGCGAGTCTGCTTCTCCCTCTGACCCTCCTCCCTCTCATGCTCTCTGTCTCTCATTCTCTCTCTCTCTCAAATAAATAAATAACATCTTTAAAAAAAAAAAATTCAATGAAAATTTGGTTGAAGTGTAAATAATCCAATTGGATGCTCATTGCACTTCACTATGCAGTATATTTGTCTTCTAGATGATTTGCCCAGGCAGCATGATGTTATCACTCCTTCTCTCTCCCTCCTCCTTTCTCCAGGCCCTCCTCCTCCCCTTCTTCCTCCTTTGTCCTTTTTGAATAGAAACCATTTCTTCATGTGAAAGTCTGCCATTTAACAGGGGTAATATTGTCAAGATTACAGAGCATAATGTTCCATTAAGAACGTAGAGATAGTGGCAGTTTCTCTGATTTTAATTCAAAGTTAACTAACTTTAGTCATTGCCTAAATCCAAGTGTGCTTCCTTGGCCTCCCACCAATTTAAGTCTCTGATTAAGATTTGAGCTGGTCATTTATCTCAGCCCTCAGTTTTTAAAAAACTCCTTATGTGGCAGGTCTAGCCGTTCTCTTAAGTATTCCAGAGATCTAACACCATGGACTGCAAAATGACCTAAGCTGTGCTTTGTGGAGTGCCATGGTCTCTTATGCGAAGTACTTAAACACTTTTTTAAAACTACCAAATATAAGAAGGGGATGAGTACATCACACACACACACACATACACACCACACAAAATAATCCATCTGCATGCTTAGCTGTCCTACTGAGAAATTAATATTTAAACACAAAATTAGTTTTCAATTTAAAGGACAAAAAAGATCACCTATGTTTGTTGTTAATTCAACACATGTCTATTGATTATCTATTATGTACTAACAATGATTTAGTCTTTGAGGACCTGGTAATAAGCAAGACTAACAAAAGTCCCTCCTTACAAAACTCAGTCTAATGAAGAAGACAGACAAGCCAACAATAGTAATAAAGTTAGAAAACTGGCATAACAGAGATCATACAGGGTGTCTGGCATATGGTAGAAATAGCGTTCAAATAATGTGTGTTGGATGAGTGAGCAAATGAATGAATGAATGAGCAGAAAAATGAATATGGTGCACATAACAGCAACACATCTTTCTGTCTAATGGTTGACTAAGGAAGTCTTCCCAAAGGAAGAAGTGTTTAAGTGATGGCCTTAAGAAGTTAGCTTAGTAAATAGGAAAAAGTGTGCTCAAAGCAAAGGGATGTTTTTGTTGGAAAGTCTGGAGGCGAAGGAGAGCTCACTGGGTTCAGAGAAGCAATAGAAATTGAGCAGATAGCAAGGGGAGAAGACTCAGAGGCAGCTTGAGATGTGGGAGTGAGTCAGGACATGCAGAGTGTTATAAATCCTTCCTCTGGGGGTTGAAAATGGCTTAAGGGACCCAGAGGTTCAGGAATTAGCCCAATGTCTGTAATGGCAGTTAAATGAACCATTTCACCCATCTCCCCATCCACCACCCATCTGGTAACCATCAGTTCTCTATAGTTAAGAGTCTGTTTCTTGGGTGAAATAGGTGATGGGGATTAAGGAGCACACTTGTTGTGATGAGCACTGGGTGAATTGTTGAATTACTATATTGTATACCTGAAACTAATATAAAATAATGAATGAACTTCAAGACTATAATGAACTGGCTATAGCCTCACGGTCTCCCTAACTTACCTGCTGATTCTTTTACATTAGCTATTAGGCTAATCTAGTTCTCCTGGTCAAATCAGAATATAACGAGATACAATGTTTTAAAGATAAATCAACAGAGGGATGCCTAGGTGGCTCAGTCAGTTAAGCGTCTGCCTTTGGCTCAGGTCATGGTCCCAGGGTCCTGGGATGGAGTCCCACGTCAGGCTCCTTGCTCAGTAGAGAGCCTGCTTCTCCCTCTCCCACTCCCCTTGCTTGTGCTCTTGCTCACTCTCTTGCACGTGTGCACTCTCTCTAGCAAATAAAAATAAATAAAATCTTTAAAAAAGAGATAAATCAACAGAAAGAGAGTTTGTATTCTAATGGAATTTTGTTAAATGCAGTATACTGCTAAAAATTATAGCCCCAAAAACATGAGACCAATATGTAAAATAAAGTCAATACTTTACATTTCTTGAAAGAATTTGTCCAGATTCAAGAAAAAGAAAACTTGGAAAGGAACAAGATGGCATGAATTACCGCATTTTCTTGTTTTTGGATATTCTAAATAGTTTTAGTTTTATTTAAATAAGTAATCTGCAAGTTCTAAGAAGGCCACCCACTTACTCAAACTCCTACTTTTAGACTGTTTGAGGTGTGTCTGGTAGGCTCAGTTGGTAGAGTATGTGACTCTTGATCTCAGGGTTGTGAGTTCCAGCCCTACCTTGGCGGTAGAGTTTATTTAAAAAAAAAAAAAAGAATGTTTGAAGTGGGATGGGCCAGAGGAGTCAAAGCGTCTTCTGGGCAAAGAAACTTCTAATCTAAGTCTATACATGAAATACTAAAAAATATTTCTTGAGTGCCTACTCAGGGTTTCACCTGAGTGAAAATTTACCATTCTAAATCTCTCTCTGCCCCTAACTCTAATCAAAGAAAATTTGAGGTCCTTTAACAAAGTTCCTCAACATCAAACTGTAACTATTATCCAAAGCATTACTTTACATCATTCAGAAGTATCTTAAAGTATGTTAGAAATAAAATGAAGTATAAGAAATCGGCTTACTTACCTTAAATCCAGTTAGTACTTTTGTGGATTATTCAAACAATACAATAGGTGTTAATACTATACTTAATTATTTGACACAAAACCTCACATTTTCAAATGCTTTAAATAATTTGATTTTCTGATGCTAAAAAGAGTAAAGAATCTAAAAAGAGTAAAGAATCTACACATTTGGTTGCAGTTATAAAAAGGATTTGAGATATGTAGACCAAATTTGATGAATAATAAACTATCTGGAAGTGATTCAATTTATAAATACTACTTTGGGCATGGCTTCTATTTTGGAGATGAAGTATAAATTTTAGAGTGTACTGTTTTTGGTTACTATCCTGAAGTATTGTCTTATTGAACAACATGAATAAATTCACCTATAAATTCCCTTTTTGAATGATGGGAAACTTTTAAACTTGGCAGGGTAAAAGTTATAGAAAAAGGTTTAGACTTTAAATCTATGAGAAAACATTTTTAAGCCATTATAAGGCATAATACCAGAGGTTTCCAAATTTTTTCTCAAGAAATTGCTAACATTCACAAAAAAGGATAAAGGGGATGTAACAATTTCCTCTGCTTTTTTTTTTTTTTTTAAATGGGTTCCACACCAAATGTGGAGCCCGACATGGGACGTGAACTCACAACCCTGAAAATCAAGACCTGAGCTGAGATCAAGAGTGGGATGCTTAACTGACTGAGCCACCCAGGCACCCCTCCTCTGCTTCCCCCCTTAAACATTGAATCACTTTCCTCTTTATTCTGCATATTTATCACACTTTTAAGTGGCTTTTCTGGACTCAATATTGCACTGATTAGCTCCTTCCAATTATTAATTAATTGTTACAATCATTAGTTAATCCCTAAATTCAGAAAGTGCTATTTTATCTCACAGATACCCCACCTATTTTCTCCTCCCAGAGGTATAGACTGAGCTATAGCGAAACAGTTACGAGGGCAAGGACGTTCTGGCTGAGGCAATAATTTGGAATAGGCTAATAGGGGGGTTTCTGGTCCTAATTTAAATGACTGTTCTATAAATTTACATTTTCAAGCATTGCTACTTGCAGAGAAATCAATGATGCAAAATCACTAGGAAGAAAAATAGTTATTGGCAAAACTGACTTAAATGTACTTATTTTATTTTACTTTAAATGTTTCAACATTTAGACTGTGAATGCCAGAATTTGACTCCAGAATATATTACTTTAACTCTCACAGACTTTTTGATTTCTTGTGGCATATTTCAGCCATCAGTTAGTAACTGACGTTCTCCTTCAACATGATTCTGAATTGTTCCAAAGCAGCAGAGTAGCTTTAGGAGATCTGAACGGTCGCATAGGGGAAGCATCTTCCTGGAGAATTGCTTGATTTGGCAGGATTTCAGGCAGCCTCTGTCCTCTGGCTTTCTATGACTGGCTCCATTGTCTAGAGAGATCATGGGGATTTCCTGTGGGAGAGCCTCTGTTTGAGGGTGAGGGCATAAGCTAGAGACAAGGCAACCACTTATTATCACATTGACCTGATCTAAGCGCAGTGGATTTTTTTCTTTCATACTAGGTAGCAGTTGCTGGTGACTAAACAAACAAAAAAAGAAACAAACAAAAACTTCACGTATTAAGCACTTTATCAAAGTTTTAACTTATCATCATAATAATGGTTGATTGATTTTTGGACCAAAACCGATATGCTAAGATTTTTTTTTTTTTTTTCCAATCTCAGAGGATCTTAAACTTCTAGAACTGAAAATTGGCTTCAGTTCTAGTCTCTTATTTTTTGTAGATAAGTAAATGGGGGCCTCAGAAAAATAAAAACGTGAAGAGAAATATAAATGGTAATAGTGCTTATGTTAGGAGGTGGAAATATGGGTTATTTTTCCTTTATTACCACTTTACTGTGGTAACAGTGTTTTTGTAATGACAAAAAGTGGTTTATTTAAATGCACAAGGCAATTGCACGTGTCCTTTTAAATGTGCCTTCCACCCTTTAGGCTAATTCTGCAGAGAAGCTGAGAGAATACGGTCTTTCCCACATCTGTAGCCATCCTGTGCTGGTAACTAGGACTAGGTCTTGCCCCCTCATAGCACCTCCGAAATCACCTCCTGTACCTCCCTGGAAACTCTTTCGTCAAAAAAAGGAAACTGTTATAACAGATGAAGCTCAAGGTATGGTTCCTGTTGTCTGAAAATCTTTCTAAGGAGCCTTTCTCTGCATGAAGGTCTAATAGTTTCATTTGTAATGAAAGATGTATATCAAAGCAAACCACCCATCATTACACCTAACACCTACATTCAATTTTATGCCTAAATTTTATGTCTTTAAAGGATTAATTCTCCACATTTCAGAAGCTGAGCAGTTTGGTTCGCATCTAACTGACCAGCTATATCCAGGCCATTCTTTGGGTGAGGGTATTGTTGTCATTATTGTGATAGAAAATCATTTGCAGTGAATAATAGAAAAAAAAACGTAAAAAGCATATTTAAGCCACTGGTGTGAAATCACTCTAGAGTGCCGTGTAGAACATAACCTTTGAAGTAACTGATTTATATTTAGAATAGAAACTGACCTTTGTTTAGAATATAGGAACAGAACTTCTGGCCTGGACTGGCTCCTACGTGAATGTTGTCCTAAGCCACTATGAATGGCTGTTGGGTTAGAAATAAAGAGGTTCCTGCCGTTGGGGAGGCGGGGGACAGGGGACCGTGCCCGCCCGGCTCTTATTCTCAGTTCACTTCTAACGTCCTCACAATCAAGTCTCATCCTTGACTTCTTCAATGTTTTTTCTCTCCAAGTCTTCATTTTTTCATGAGCACCAAGTTTGAACGGCAACAGAAATGAGCAAAGGCATTCATTAAAAAAATCAATTTTAACACAGAAGCATGAATCTGAGGAGATGGCATTAAAAAAAGAAGGAAAAAGTAATAATCTAAAAATTATGGCCGGCAGAAGAGCTCACAACTTTTGTTTAGTCAACATCTACTGTGTTTCTGTACCCGATTTAGAGCTTGCAGTTTCTCATAAAGGATGATAAAGAATTGGCGTGTTACGGATTATTTTTCTGTATATATGCCTGTGTGCATGGGGGTATATATATTTTTCTCATTCCAAAACACTTCAATTGTCTTTGTTCAAAAGAGCTTTTTTTTTTTAAACGTCTTTTGTGTTTGTTTCCTTGCTTTTGCATTTTCTCCCTTTGTCTCTGCTGACTGCTCATTGTTTTCTAACTGTATTGCTCCAGCAACAGTATATCGCATTCTAGAGGTTTGTGCATTAGGGGCTGTGTTCACAGGTCTGTTACCCGAATGAACAATGAAGGCAAAGCCACGAAGAACATACCCATGCCAGTTTATCGATGGCCTCGCTGTGAAGCATAGAAGTACGCTTTAAGGCTTCGGTGCCATGGAGCAAGGCTTACACCCTCTCTTGCTGGTGTTGATGAGGCTCCTGCTACCAGTTCAAGCGTTGTTGATCCCTCCTCACAGGGGACCAGCGGACCCTATCTTGGTTCCCATGTAATACCTAAGTCTGGGTGGTGCTCAGGCTCCTAAACCTGCCATGGCCACGTAGATTGGAATGTTTACCTGCTCCCTGCGTTCTACTTCCAACCATCATTTACATGTTTTTGGTTTTTTTTAAAAAATATTTTATTTATTTATTTGAGAGAGAGAGAGAGCATGAGGGGGGGAGGGTCAGAGGGAGAAGCAGACTCCTCGCTGAGCAGGGAGCCCGATGCGGGACTCGATCCCGGGACTCCAGGATCATGACCTGAGCCGAAGGCAGTCACTCAACCAACTGAGCCACCCAGGCGCCCATTTACATGTTTTTAAAATATAAATTACAACTGCTAACCATGTAATTTTCCTCACATTTGCTTTTTGCCTACATGATACAGCTGGATACAGCTGGGAGCAAAGATTTTCTAGCACAACATGTTATATCTTTGCCAGAAAAGAACAAAGATTAAAGAAAGAATCTGGTTTGGATGGAAGACGAAATGGTCAATTCTTTTTTTTTTTTTTTTTTTTTTTTACTTAGGCCCATCTGCCTCTCTCTGTCCTGCTTGATTTTTTCATTTCTTTATGTCCGTTGAGCTTCCGCAGTGGGCTGTCAGCGCCTGCAGATGTCTGCTATGGGGTACAGGAGCTTCCCAATTTTTATTCCTCCCTCCCACCCTTCTTCCCTCCCTCCCTTCTGTCCTCTTTCCTGTTCTCTGTCTCTTTGAACCAAAGATCAGCCTTCACATGATGCTTGAAAGACAATCTTTTGCTTTTAAATGCTATATTTTAGTTCAATGTGTAGAGCCACACTTAAAACAGTTGTTCATTCAGAGCATTGAAGAATAGTTGAGTGAAGGGAAAAATACTGAACCTGCAGACCTTTTCTGACTCCACTACCGTTGCAGTGCAGTTCCAGTTAAGTGATGGCTCTAATGTAAGCGGGGGAAGAAAAATCTGAAACTGGTGGGATTCCATAGCTCGTATACCACCTTGAGGCTCACCCTGTAATTGTCTTTCTTCTGCCTATTGGTTTAATATTTAAGGCAGAAATTAACAGGAAAATTAACAGGGAGGGAAAGAGAGATCATTTTAGAGGTTACCATGGAACAAGCAGAGAAAAGTTATGTACCTGTATCAAAGCTTCACTATTTTTCTCCAATAGTTACCCTTTCCACAGATGGAAGAGCTTTTGTTAAAATAGTCACCTCTAATGTTTAATTGCAGTGCTCACCACGCTATGCCTGGGTTCTGTGCCATATCCACTGAGAATTTCTTCCTCGTAGATCAATTTCAGACTCTCTTAGGCGGATCCACAAGGCTTTTCTTTAGCCACTGTTTTCTCTTCTACCCATGACCTTTACTTTGTTACATTTTCTGTTCTACTACCATCTCCAGGTATTAGTCTGCATTTCCTCTTCATGTTTCAGCAATTGTTTTGCAGAAGTTAACTACAAGAACACAGTTTTAGTGAAAAACATTTAAAAAAGTAGCAGTGAGGGACGCCTGGGTGGTTCAGTCGGTTAAGCGTCTGCCTTCGGCTCCGGTCATGATCCCAGAGTCCTGGGATCAAGTTCCGCATTGGGCTCCTTGTTCAGTGGGGAGTTTGCTTTTCCCTCTCGCTCTGCCTGCAGCTAGCCCTGCTTGTGCATGCGTTCTCTCTCTCTCTGTCAAATAAATAAATAAAATCTTAAAAAAAAAAAAGTAGCAGTGAATGTCCAGTAAATAACAAGGAGACATTGCTAACTTTCTCCCTTGAGACTTGATTGCTTCACATTGTTAAGTCTGGAAAGCAACTGAGAAGTAGACTTTAAACATCTAATATTAGCAGGATCTATAAGGCCTTTCAATGTAAAACCTATCCTATTTCTGTCTTTTGAAATTTGCTGGTTAAATAGTTAATGTAATCAGGGCGCCTGGGTGGCTCAGTTGGTTAAGCGACTGCCTTCGGCTCAGGTCATGATCCTGGAGTCCCTGGATCGAGTCCCGCATCGGGCTCCCTGCTCGGCAGGGAGTCTGCTTCTCCCTCTCCCACTCCCCCTGCTTGTGTCCCCTCTCTCGCTGTGTCTTTCTCTATCAAATAAATAAATAAAATCTTTAAAAAAAAAAATAGTTAATGTAATCAGTACTACAATAGATGTTAAGTTATGCATTTAATCTTGGAAGATTAAAAAAAAGTACATGATACCACTTGTTTCTTCTAGAATTAATAATAAAGAAGCCCGAACAATTTCTTGAGATTTCAAGTCCATTTTTGAATTATAGGATGACTCCATTTACAATTCCAACAGAAACGTAAGTATGTAACATTCTTTCCCACAAATACATCTTGTTGACAACTGAAGTATTTTGTGAATTGTGTGGTTAGAAATATATGCTTTGGTGACAGATGCACTAAAGTTTGTATTGCTGCAGTGAATACAGGAAAACAATATTCTTAGATTCTTTTTCACAGTAATAAGTAGATAAGATAAATTCTGAATAGGTTAAAATAAAGCTTAACTATGCCTGGCTTTCCAGCTTTGGCTATTGTTTTAGAAGAGTAAAGTACTTTGTTTTACTTAAACATTAGCACTAACAAATGCTTTTGGTTATTATCTGATAATGAAATCATAAGAGCAGAGGATTGTCAGAGAAACCAGAGAGATGAAGTGTGTCAGTCTTAGGGGAAAAAAAACCCCTAAATAGAACAACAAAGACAATCAAGAAGTAAAAGGAGGAAGAGGAGGAGGAGAAATCCAAATATACTAATGTTTGAGTATGGCAAAAGGGATAGAAAGAAAGACTATCACCCTGGATCTAAAATTTCTTTTTCTTTTTTTTAAAGATTTTATTTATTTATTTGACAGAGAGAGGCACAGCGAGAGAGGGAACACAAGCAGGGGGAGTGGGAGAGGGAGAAGCAGGTTTCCCGCCGAGCAGGGAGCCCGATGCGGGGCTCGATCCCAGGACCCTGGGATCATGACCTGAGCCGAAGGCAGACGCCCAACGACTGAGCCACCCAGGCGCCCCTGGATCTAAAATTTCTAATGAGCTCAGAGGAGTGAACAGGTAGTCCACAAATAGCAATAATGAGAAGAATTAGTGATATGAGTGGAGGATATGATTATTACCACTAAAATTGTGGTAATTTGTTATGCAGTGATAAGTAACTAATACCTGGATATATATGTATGTGAAAGATTACCAAATATATAGTCTGAATTCGTGCAGCTAATTGTACTTCCATTATCCATCAATAACATTGTACATAAGAATAAATAATAATATGTAAAATGGTTTTAAAAAAATCATGTAAGGATTCTAGGAATTCAAGAATTCAAGGAATACAATAATAATTGAAAATAAGAATTCGGTGGATGTGTTTCATCAGAGATTAGATACAGCAAAAAGACAACTGGCTAAATGGAAAATAGATCAGAGATAATATCCAGACTGAAAGATGAAGACCAAACATAAATAAATAAATGAGGAAAAGTACAGTAAAAACAAATGGGGCAAGTTGAAAAAGACCAACATAATTGCAAGTGGGTCTCAGAAACAGAGGATAGAGAGATGGGGGAATAATCACAAATTAAAAATATAATGGCAAAATATCCCAAAAGTAAAAAAAAAAAAAAAATCAAGTCAAGAATCAGTAAGTTCTGACATCAAGCAATGTAAACAAAAAGAAAATTGCAACTAGACACATCCGAGTAAAACTGAAGACAAATAGGGTACAGTGATATATAGGTGTAAAGTCAAAGTACTGCCTCACAAACCAACATGGATGAATGTCACACACAAAAATATTAGACCAGCCTGGGTGGCTCAGTCGTTAAGCATCTGCCTTCGGCCCGGGTCATGATCCCAGGGTCCTGGGATCAAGCCCTGCATCAGGTTCCCTGCTCAGATTGCTTCTCCCTCTCCCACTCCCCCTGCTTGTGTTCCTGCTCTCACTGTCTCTCTCTCTGTCAAATAAATAAATAAAATCTTAAAAAAAAAAAAAAATAGACCAAAGAAGTCTGGTAGAAAAAGTGCACGGGTTGCTTTTAATTATCCTACTAACAGACATTATGCAAAGAAAAATAAAAAGCAATCCATGGTATTGGAAGTCATGATGGTGGTTTCCTGTGGTGAGGAGGACTGGCCGTGCTTGGGAGACACTCGGCACGGCTCATGGGGCGCTGGCAATATTAGTATCCCTTAGTCTGCATAATGGTGACATGGCCATGCTGCCTTTGAGATTTTTCAGCAAGTTTTACATTTATGATCTGGTCCTTTGTTGAATGTCTTTTAAACTTAAGTAAAACTTCATGAAACGTTTGAATGTCACACAATGACCATTAGTGATGGGTTAGGCTTCTTTGGACGTAGTAAGATCCATGACAGGAATGTAAGCTGATGAAGAAGTGCAGTTGAACTTGAGATCAAAAGTCAGTTGATTGCGCTGTTTTACTTTTAGAGCCTCTTTACATCACAGCCAGTTAATTGACATTGTATGAACTCTATTTAAGTTGAAAATATTAGAGAGATTCTTTAAATCATTTACTGTCAAGGCTCCTGTCAGTTCTATGCACCAACAACTGACCACTGAGAAGTGGATTGGGAGGGACCCGTAGGCAGCACTCCTCTGGATAGTCCTTGGCAGTTAGTAATGTCAAGCCTCGAGGCACAGCTTTATCAACTGAAAAGACAGTTTGCTGCAACGTTTGATTTCAAAAATTTGTTACCGTTACAAATTTGTAAATCTATTTTCCCTCAAACTTTTAACTTTCCATAAAAACTTATTTTATAGCTAAATCTATTAATATCCATACAAATTTTAAATAAACTTAGTTTGCCAGATTTATTTAAACATTTTAAGTGACATTTGCTACATCACTATATTTTGTTATCTCCCTAAGTACTTTAAGAGACAAAAATCATAGCAAATAAAATCTTGCCAAGTATTTAAATCCTTATAAAAGTTCAAATAATCAAACTTATGTGTTTTGAGAACCTTAATTTTTCCTATATATGCTATTAGTTTTTACAAACCCAAATTTTCTTACATGTTGTAAATTAATCATGAAGCTAAAATTAAATATGCCATACATTTTAAAGCCTAATTTGTTGGATTATATAACATGCTAAGTTCTTTCATATGTTACAAATACAAAATAGCATATATACATAGAGTTTTTCTGAACTTAATATAAAAATGTTAATGCTTCATAATTTTTCTAATTAGTTTTATACTTAGTATGACCCACTAAATGATAATTTTTCCATTCCAAATAACTTTTAATTATCTCTCAACTGATTGAGATTGCATACTAATCAGAGATTTTGTGGATTTTGAAAGCCATGGCTGCAGACCACCAGGACAGATTTTCTCACGATTGAAAAATGCCATACCCAGACTTCTAGAATCTCTGTGTCAATAGGCACCACAAATGGATTGGTTTCATAGCCTGAATTCCCCGAGTTACTCCCTTACTCGATTTCCTTATGTCTTCTTTCAGCTTCATTATCTGGTCAAGGTGGACAGATCTAGGTGACTCTGACACCTGATTGGATTCAACTAATCTAGTCACTGTTTGAATCTGTTGTGGATTTCCTAGCTTCTTTATTCAATCTGGCAGAGCCAAAAACAAAGCTATGTGAATGACATTTCATCCTACATGGAAGAAAGGTCCCTTGTCCTGCTTTGCTGTACAGTCAGAGTTCTCAGGTCAACGTGAGTGCAAGCCCTTTTTTTGGCAAGTCCTTGAGAGTGACTGCTATCACAAGTGCTTTTCCCTGAAACAGTGTAGCAACTTGCCAAATTTGCCCATTCTTGGCTCCTGGCCTAGTGGGAATCAGAACCTCACAAATATGTCTGTGCTACCCTCTAGTGGCGGTTTCAGGTAAATCAGAGAGGCTTAGCTTGAGGTGAATTAAGAACTTTCGCTGAATGCAAGGGAAAAAACAGTGTAGGAAATCTGTATACATGAAATTTAATTTTATCTTTGAAAAGTACATGGGCGCCTGGGTGGCTCAGTCGTTAAGCGCCTGCCTTTGGCTCAGGTCATGATCCCAGGGTCCTGGGATTGAGCCCCGCATCGGGCTCCCTGCTCTGCAGGAAACCTGCTTCCTCCTCTCCCACCTCCCCTGCTTGTGTTCCCTCCCTCGCTGTGTGTCTCTCTCTGTCAAATAAATAAATAAAATCTTTTTTTAAAAAAGAAAAGTATGTAACCTAAAAAAAAAGTACATAACCTTTTTGTATTTACTATAACAAATGTCTTTTTATTGTGCCTATGAACTTGTAGGAATGACAATGGCAATTTAAGGTCATATCAAGAATTACTTGAAAGGGAATATTGTACATTTCAGTAGCTAGTACAAAAGTCACAGTTATAAACTCAAGTGCTCAAGACTCACTCAAATTTTTGACTCTGAGTCCCATTCCACTGATACATTACTCTGATACTGAGTTAAATCAAGTCCAAACGTCAAATTCTGACATTCTGGTCATCAACATGTAAAGATGACCACCATAGTTTTATTTTATATTATTTTTTAAAAAGATTTTATTTCTTTATTTGACAGAGAGAGAGCACAAGCAGGGGGAGTGGCAGGCAGAGGCAGAGAGAGAAGCAGGCTCCCCGCAGAGCAAGGGAAGCCCGATGTGGGACTCCACTCCATCCCAGGACCAGGATCATGACCTGAGCCGAAGGCAGTCGCTTAACCAACTGAGCCACCCAGGCGCCCGACCACCATAGTTTTAAAATAGCATTCCAGAAAATTTTTACAACAATGTATTGACTGGTAGAGATATTTCTTCAGTAGTGTAGAAAGCAAGTTAATGTTTTTAACATGAAATAAAAATTTATTATTAGATGTAAAAGGAGATGATAAAATCAACGAAACCAGAAATTTCTTTTTTTTTTTTTTTAAGATTTCATTTATTTATTTGACAGAGACAGCGAGAGAGAGAAAGAGTAGGGGGAGTGGGAGAGGGAGAAGCAGGCTTCCCGCCGAGCATGGAGCCTGATTCAGGGCTCGATCCCAGGACCCTGGGATCATGACCTGAGCTGAAGGCAGCCGCTTAACCGACTGAGCCACCCAGGCGCCCTGAAACCAGAAATTTCTACTGTTGACAAAACTGCTGTTATTTAAAGTACAATGCAGTATCAGCCAGCCATAAAAAAAGAAGGAAATCTTGCCATTTGTAACAACGGCTGGAACTTAAGGGCGTTCTGCTAAGTGAAATAAGTCAGACAGAGAAAGACGAATGCCATATGATCTCACTTATATGTGGAATCTAAAAAATCAAAAACAAAAACAAACACCCAAGATACAGAGAACAGATTGATGGCTGCCAGAGGAAGAGGGTGGCTGAAATGGGTAAAGTGGGGTCAAAAGGTACAAGCTTCCAGTTATAAAATAAGTCATGAGATATAATGTACAGCATGATGGCTGTAGTTAACAATGCTGTATTGTATATTTGAAAGTTGCTAAGAGAGTAAATCCTAAGAGTTCTCATCACAAAGAAAAAAATTGCAACTAGGTGTGATGATGGATGTTAACTAGACTTGTGATCATCTTATAATGTATATGAATATCAAATCATCATGTTGTACACCTGAAGCTAATATAATGTTATATGGCAATTATACCTCAATAAAAAAGAAACTGCAGTTATTTATTAGTAACTTTAAATAAGAAATTAAAGTAACAGAAGTTTGTTTTTTTTTTTCATTAGTCATTTTGTACAATCTTTTATTAAGAAAGGGATGCCTCCAGGATTTGATTTATCCTCCATTACTGAAAATGATGAAACCACCACCATTAGCCAGCCAGACTTAAGCCAATTGACAGGAGAAGTATCTCAGGTAACTATGTTACTCTTATTATTGGCCCAATTCTTAATTATCAAATATCTTTTCTTAAATTGTGAAATATACACAAAAGACTGTATAATGTGCATTTGGACAGAACAAAGAACACTGTGCAAATAAGCTTTTTAGATTATAAACTGGCATATTCATGCCTTAGAGAAGTCCCCTATGCATCTCCTATCTGCCATTCAGAGTTTGGTGTTAACCAAGCCCATACTCTTCTTCTTTTTTTAAGATTTTATTTATTTGAGAGAGAGAGAGAGTGTGTGTGAGCAAGACAGCCCAAGCAGGGGGAGCAGCAGAGAGAGAGGGAGAAGCAGACTTCCCACTGAGCAGGGAGCTGGATGTGGGGCTCGATCCCAGGACCCTGAGATCATGATTTGAGCCGAAGGCAGACGCTTAACCGACTGAGCCACCCAGGCATCCCAAGCCCATACTCTCCTAATTTTGCCAATTATGTATATACATTTATAAACAATATAACCTTAATTTAATTGTTATACAATTTTATTTAAATGCACTCATTAATTCCTCGGGGATTTCCTTCACTTAGCATCATTTATGAAATTTGCCTTTTGTTGCGTGTCACAGTTCATTCATTTCACTGGTTGAAGGTATCTAATATATAACCAAACTACTTTCTTTTAAATCTTGGCATTGTTAATGGCTATACTCATTGCTTCTTGTTTCTTTTTTCTTCTTTCAGATTTTTATTTAAATTCTAGTTAGTTAACATAAAGTGTAATATTGGCTTCAGGAGTAGAATTTAGTGATTCCTCACTTACATCTAACACCCAGTGCTCATCATAACAAGTACCCTCCTTAATGCCCATCCCCCATTCAGCCCACTTCCCTCCATCACCCCTCAGTTTGTTCTCTATCTTTAAGAGTCTCTTATGATTTGCTTCCCTCTCTCTCTCTTTTTTTTCCTTTCCCATATGCTCATCTGTTTTGTTTCTTAAATTCCACACATGAGTGAGATCATATGGTATTTGTCTTTCTCTGACTGACTTATTTTGCTTAGCATAACACACTCTAGCTCCATCCATGTTGCTGCAAATGGCAAGATTTCATTCTTTTTGATGGCTGAGTAATATTCCATTGTACATATATATCACCTCTTCTTTATCCATTCATCAGTCAATGGACATTCTGGCTCTTTCCATAGTTTGGCTATTGCTGATAGTGCTACTATAAACATTGGGAGCTTCTTGTTTCCTACTACTGTAAGCAGCAATACCATGACTATTCTTGTATGTCCCTGCACACATGAGCCAGTGTTTCCTGAGTTCCAGAGTGTGTAACCTGTTATGTGCTATGGCTCCCAATGAAAATAACTCGTCTGCATCTACGTGTTAGTTGAGTATTGATGATAGGGAACAGCAGAAAACAAAATAGCTGTTTGGGTTAGCACCATGAGAACACATAACTTCACTGTTTGGTGGTGGAATGACTGCTAAGTATCGTTGCCAACTGGTTGGCCCACTACAGGTCATGGGCTTATCTGTAGAGAGTAACACATGACTACTTGAAACCTAACAATGGGCCTCGTAACTGCACAGTTTCAGAGTAGTGATCAATACATGTGACATTTGAAGATACTTGCAACAACTGTAATAATATGTAAAATGCTGTGATTTCTTTCGTAGATGAAGTCACAGTTATTGCTAATAACATTGTGGCTTACCCACCTGCACTGATAAATTGATAACTAAAGAAAATCTCAACTTGGACTAAAGATGAAATTTTTTCAACTCTCCATGTTCATGGATTCCTGAAATCTTAATTATGGGCCCCAGAGGACATTAGACTGGGAAGTCCTGCTCCAGGATGTGATTCTGGGAGCAAAATTGATGGGTCATGGGGCATTCACCCATTTAACATTACAACAAGATGCCAAATAATTTTCCAGTGTAGTTGTATCAATATCCACTTCTGTCAGCCCTGCATAAGAATTTTCTTTGCAAGGCATCGTGGCCAACACTTACGGTGCCTGATATTTCAACTTTTGCCAGTATGGTGGGTGTCAAAGGGTATTTATCTTGTAAAAGGTAATATGTTCACATATTCAAAAATAAAAATATAAGGGGCCCCTGGGTGGTGCAGTCAGTTAAGCGTCCGACTCTTGGTTTTAGCTCAGGTCATGATCTCAGGGTTGTGAGATTGAGCCCCACGTGTGGGCTGAGTGTGGAGCCTGCTTTAACTTCTGTCTTCCTCTCCCTCTGTTCCTCCCGCTCATGCTCTCTCTCAAATAAATAAATCTTTTAAAAAATTTAAAAAAATAAAATATAAGGTATACATGAAGAACTCCTGTTTCTATTAATATACTTCTCCATTTTCACCACTCTGCACTCTGTAGGACATTTTCTGCATTTTGTTATGCAAATTTAGAAAAACACACAGATAATATTCCATAACATCCCTTTTTCTATTCAAAATTTAACAAAAGAGTTTTTACTTAGTAAGTACTAGAGATAATTTCATATCTATACATAAAGTGTGTCTTTATTCTTAAAGTTGCATAATATTTCATTAGGTGAATGAACCCTAGTCCATTTCCACTAATCTCTCTAGATGGTGTAAGATACCTTGCATACCATTGCATTCAAGTGACAATTATTTTTTAGTATTAGTTGAAAAACAGACTAACAAATGAGAAATCTGGTAAAGAGAATGAATATATTTTAACATTTTTAAAGTTTTTCTTTAGTTTTAAGCTATTCCATGCAATAGTTTTAGAAAGTCAAAAACACCATAAAAATAGTCAATCTATCTTTTTTTAATTTAATTTAATTTTTTTATTATGTTATGTTAATCACCATACATTACATCATTAGTTTTTGATGTAGTGTTCCATGATTCATTGCGTATAACACCCAGTGCTCCATTCAGTGCATGCCCTCTTTAATACCCATCACCAGGTTAACACATCCCCCCACCCCCTCCCCTCTAGAACCCTCAGTTTTTTTCTCAGAGTCCATAGTCTCTCATGGTTCGTCTCCCCTTCCGATTTCCCCCCCTTCATTCTTCCCTTCCTGCTATCTTCTTCTTCTTCTTTTTTTTAACATATAATGTATTATTTGTTTCAGAGGTACAGGTCTGTGATTCAAGAGTCTTACACAATTCACAGCACTCACCATAGCACATACCCTCCCCAATGTCTATCACCCAGCCACCCCATCCCTCCCACCCCCCACCACTCCAACAACCCTCAGTTTGTTTCCTGAAATTTAGAATTCCTCATATCAGTGAGGTCATATGATACATGTCTTTCTCTGATTGACTTATTTCACTCAGCATAATACCCTCCAGTTCCATCCATGTCATTGCAAATGGCAAGATTTCATTCCTTTTGGTGGCTGCATAATATTCCATTGTATATATACACCACATCTTCTTTATCCATTCATCTGTTGATGGACATCTTGGCTCTTTCCATAGTTTGGCTATTGTCGACATTGCTGCTGTAAACATCGGGGTGTACATACCCCTTCGGATCCCTACATTTCTATCTTTGGGGTAAATAACCAGTAGTGCAATTGCTGGATTGTATGGAAGCTCTATTTTCAACTTTTTGAGGAACCTCCATAGCGTTTTCCAGAGTGGCTGCACCAACTTGCATTCCCACCAACAGTGTAGGAGGGTTCCCCTTTCTCCGCATTCCCGCCGACATCTGTCGTTTCCTGACTTGTTCATTTTAGCCATTCTGACTGGTGTGAGGTGGTATCTCATTGATGTTTTGATTTGGATTTCCCTGATGCTGAGTGATGTTGAGCACTTTTTCATGTGTCTGTTGGCCATTTGGATGTCTTTTTTGGAAAAATATCTGTTCATGTCTTCTGCCCATTTCTTGATTGGATCATTTGTTCTTTGGGTGTTGAGTTTAAGAAGTTCTTTTTTTTTTTTTTTAAAGATTTTATTTATTTGACAGAGAGAGACACAGTGAGAGAGGGAACACAAGCAGGGGGAGTGGGAGAGAGAGAAGCAGGGTTCCTGTGGAGCACAGAGCCTGGGACCAGACGAAATTTAGGTCTCCTACTCCTCTGCCATCTCGCTCCTCCCCCAATAGTCAATCTGTCTTATTCTTCCTTATTCCCTTAATCTCCCTCCCCAGAGTCAATCACTTTTATTTGTGTTTTCTGGTTTGTATCTCTACATTTCTAAACAGTAGGCATGTACACTGTTTTTCTCTCAGCACTGGTGAAAATACCTAGCATATGGTAGACACAGTTACATCTTTATTGAATGCTGGGATTCTGTTATTTCTTGATCTATCAATTAGCTATTACCCCTTGTTGTGGAAGATAAGTATTTAGCACTGCTGTCCTCACTCACCATGGCAAACCCCCACTTTCCTCTGTCTTCCAGATTTGTTTACTTCAGAAGTCTTTGTTGAATCTATATTCTAGCTATATAAGGATTATTACTGTGGAGGCAATAAAGGAAAGAAATTCCCATATCTATCTATCTATCTATCTATCTATCTATCTATCTATCTATCTATCTATCATCTATCTATCCATCTATCATCTATCTATCTATCAATCATCTATCAATCATCTGATATATCCCATTTTGTTTATTCATTCATCCATCAACGGACACTTGATGAATAATTCTGCTATGACCATGGGTGTAAAAATATCTCTTGAGACACTGCCTTTAATTCTGTTGGGTTTATATCCAAATGTGGAATTGTTGGATCACATGGTAAGTCTACTTTAATTTTTCAGGATCTATCATACTGTTTTTCACTTTATATTCTCACTCTGAGTGCACAAGACTTCCAATTTCTCCACATCCTCACCAACATGCACTCTTGTTTTTATTTTTCTATAATAGCAGTCATCATAACGGTGTGAGGTTGTATCTCACTATACTTTTGATTGGCATTTCCCTAATGATTAGTGATGTTGAGCATCTTTTCATATGATTTTTTGTCACTTATCTATTGTCTTTGGATAAATATCTAAGTCCTTTGCCCATTTTTAAATTAGTTTATTTGGTTTTTGTTGTTCTTTGTATAAGTTCTTTATATATTGTTGATGCTACCCTTTTATCAGATACATGATTTGCAGATATTTTCTCCCATTCCACAGGTTGCATCTTCATGGTATTGATTGTGTCCTTTGATACACAGAATTTTTTTATTTTGATGTAGTCCAGTTTATTTAGTTTTACATTTGTTATTGCTGTTGTTTAGTTTCATATCCAAGAAATCACTGCCAAATCAATGTCATGAAGCTTTCCCCCTATGTTTTCTTCTAAAAGATGTATAGCCCTAATCTCTTTGTCTTTGTGTCAACCTTGTCATCCAAACTTTCTGTTGAGTTTATTTCACATTCCTATTTTTAGTTTCTAAGAGCTCCCATTCTTGATTGTATTTTTGTAGAAGTTTCTTATTTGATAGATGGATATTCTCTGATCTTTCTGATATTGCCAATTTAAAAAATGTATCCCTATATAATTGTTTTTGTTTTCTATTAATCTCCCCATCTACACCCTTGAGTTTCTTTAAGTCTCCTTCCTCAATTGTCTGGTGATACTTTGTTGCACATATATATATATCTAAGGAATTCATGACATTAATTAGCTGCTGATTGGAAGTGGCTTTATAGAATGCTAGAGCTTGTCAGCTAGTAGGATAATTAATTTAGGATAATTGGGGATAAATGAGCTTCATTTGGGGGTGGGATTAGCTCCAAATGTAGATTCCTTGGAGGTTTTTCCCTGGCCTTGGTCAGTTTCTCCAGTTAAGAATCCTCTAATCTCCCTGGTGGGGTGGAATGGGGCCCAGGGGTTAGTAGACACTTATCCATCAGTGTTATTGTAGCCAAGCAGTACAGAGGAGCCGAGAGTCTCAAAGTTCAGCATGTGGACTTTCACTTAATTCCTCTCCTTTCTGTAGAGGCAGCTTCTTTTGTTTCCCATGGTACCTGTGAACCCAGATCTGGAGATTGCTCATTTAATTTCTCCACATGAAGCAATTTCCAATGTCACATTTAGGCAGAAGGCTAGATGTTAAATCAGAAAGGATTACAGCAAAATGGGGATTTGTCTGTTCCTTAAATAGACATTTAACCCAATCCTGTATTTTGATATGAGGCCGTATAGCATTCTCTCCTTCTGAGATGCCTGTTAATCATTTCTGGGGCCCTAAGGCATGGATGGACTTGCTTCTCACTAGTTTCTCAGGTAGCTCTGCTCTGTTATCACCTGCATCCCTTTATATCATCCAAAATATTGTTGCCACCATCCGTCATGTGTCTGTATGAGTTTGTACCATTTTACCTTTTATACATATTTTAATTGTGTCACAGAGAAAACGGAATTGCACAAATGAATTCACCTTCATTTCCCTGTTAAAATTTGGAAAAACCATTTTTTATAAATTGAAACCCACCTTTCTAGGTTCTGTATGTTAACTGCCAGTTATAATCTCATCTCATTATATTCAATCTGTAATAATGTCAGGTGCTTCATACCAAGCCAAATAACTACTTGAGGATATTATTGTTTTAATTTAACTTTTAAGACTCAATAATTTAATAAACTCTCATATTCTGGGTTTCAATGTCACAAACTTAAACCCTCAGCCTATTATTGAATTAAATTCATATCTTTGAACTTTAAGGTTAAAAACAAAGTTTCTGCTTTACCATGTTTTAGTAACTATTGGCAGAAATCTATTTCTTCAATGATTAAAAGACAGTATTAACTCTTTTAAAAGCATTTGTGCTTTAAATAGCTAACATGTTTTGCTGAATTTATAAATGGTTTCTTAACGTGTTCCTTTCACTTCACAGGGTAATATTATTTCACAAGTTATACTTGGAAAAGGTAAATTAATAATCTTCTCATGACTTTCACAAACATCAAAGCACAAGGATCTCTGCTTCTTGACAGCTCTTAGCTGTCTCTTCTCCTGGCTCTTGGCGGCTTGTCTCCTGTGTCTCCTCTGATGTGTTAAGTCTAATCTACTCTGAGCTAGAAAAATCAGATAATCTCCCTTGTTAAATTCATGCTTAAAGTAAAAATAAAAGATGATCTGATTAAGGGCCCAAGAGTACAGTTCATGTGTTTTAACACATGAATGTGATGATCAAAGCAAGGAAACCATCACCAATTCCTCAGTTCCTAAATATAGACTTGGCCAATCCTGAAATCCAAAAAAGCATTATGTGGGATGTACATATGTAGAATTTTGACTCAAGAAGTCTATAAGAACTTTATGACATTACTTGATCAACATAAAATAAGGTGCAGAATCGCTAACTATGAGGGAGCATTTAAATGGCTTCTGAAATGTATTTATTGCAATAGCTCTTCCGGGTTCTCCTTTCTTCTGGTGTATGAGCTATCCCCTCCCCTCATACGAACATGTCTGCCTGTAGCCGAGGTTAAGTACCTAAACTAGCTAATTTCTGCTGTATCTTAATGATCTGTGAAGAATGGGCACACAAAATTATGAAAGTGATTTCAAAAGTTTTAAACACTCTGCTATTTGTTTAAGTTAGGATTACATTCTCCAGAGTGTATGAAAATGTGTCTCTGCATGGACCTCCCCATATTTGAGGCTTGCATGTAAATGATTGCCTCAGGAAACGTTTTTTCAAAAGTAGACTTCAATATGCAAGTTGCCCTCTATAATTTTCCATATCTCAATAACTTAATATTTAACAATGTAGGTGCAATTGACATGTTTGTCTTCTGTTACATGCAGATGAACTGACAGACCTTGGGCTGAATGACGCAGCCCATCAAGGTGAAGGATTTAGTTTGGAAAGAGATTTGGTCAGCCAGACAACAGCCACACAGGATAAATCACAGGAGGAGTTTGGAACAATAAATAATAGTGTTTCTAAAGAAATATGGTTGGATTTTGAAGACTTCTGTGTATGTTTTCAGTAAGTATAAATTTTTTGTGTGTATTAAATATAGCGGATATATAAGCCATTAATTTTTAGCTATCATTCAAAAGAGTTAAACCAATATTAGTCTGATGTTGATATAGTATCCAGTAAAAATGTTAGAAAGAAAAATAGGTGAGCTGATTGCCCACATAGAATAATAATAGTCAAACAGATCTCAGGTCAGTTTCAGCTCATCCTCAGAGACTTATTTGTTGATGAAGATAAAGATAGTTTATTTACTGAGAGGGATCATTTTTGTCTCTTTAGGACAACTAATTCAATGCAGTTGTTATTATTTTTCTTCAGCTTTATTGACATATAATTGATAAAATTGTAAGATATTTAAAATGCACATGGTGATGAATCGATATACCTTGTGAAAGATTCTCCCCATCGAGTTAACACATCCAACGCCTCACACATTTGCCAATTTGGGGGGGGGGGCGGGACATTTAAGTTCTACTCTCCTAGCAAATTTCAGTGATACAAACTGGTATTATCAATGTTATACATTAGATCCTCAGACCTTATTCATCTTATAACTGAACATTTGTATCCATTTACCAACCTCTTCCTATTTCCCCCACCCTCAGTCCCCGGCAACCATTGTTCTCCTGGGTTGTTGTTATATATATATTTTTAAATTTTCATCTGTCTTTACCTTGTTCTGCCTATAATTACTTGATTCTATGAAACTTAGCATGTAGTACTAGTCCATTGCGAATGATGACAGTAACCTGTTATAAATAATGTTTTTCAGGAACATATATATTTTTCACAAGCCAAATTCATATTGCCTTAACTTTCAAAAAACAGAATTCAAGGTAAATATATTATGATCTCTTTTCTTTGTTTTATGTAAATTTTTGATTAAATCAGGCTAGTGAAAAACACCTTCAAATCTATCAAGCATTTCTAAATTTATAATTATATTAACAAAATCAATTCCTAGAGTCTTCTACTGATCTCTTATCCAGACAATAAGTAAAATTCTGCTACCTCGTATCTCCAAGTATGATTTATCGGATTATGTTCAATCCTGAGCTGCATTATTATGTAAATTCATGTTAAAAATATTTGATTTATGAATAACTGAAGCACAAATAAATTCACTATATTTGATTTCAATTAGTCTATTGAATTGCATGCTATTCCTAAAACAACAGCACATTTCTACTACAATTTCTGCTATTTTTGTCCATGTTCTTCCCTCTACAGGGAGTCTATTCCCCTTCATGTTTATTGCTTTCATCTGGCTAATGCTAGAAGTCTTTCAGAACAGCATTCGTGTCCTTGAACCTGTGAGACCTCCTTCCCTGGCCACAGAGTCTAGGTCAAGTACCCTGACTCCATGCACTCTGTGTGACCTGTACTTACCCTCCTTGGTCCCAAAGGCCTGATTACTTCTCATGCCCCTCCCCCCACCCACCCGCTTGATGTCAACATCTTAAGAAGGACTCTGTCCTTTTGTGTACTCTTACAACACTGGTCCTGGCATGAGGCACGGACTCAATAAAAAATTCTTGACTGAATCAATTAACAAATTTCACAAATTGTGTGGCATTTTGGGGAAGACTATGAAACATATTCTAGGGAACTGGATTGTATTGAAACTCTTATGTTGCTTGTAGGGGGCCATTCAAGCCCCTGATGATATTATTTATTTATTTATTTATTTATTTATTTATTTTAGTTTTTAATTTTTAATTTTTAAAATTTTTTTATTCTTATGTTAATCCCCATACATTACATCATTAGTTTTAGATGTAGTGTTCCATGATTCATTGTTTGTGTCAAGCCCCTGATGATAAAGCCACATCTCTATAAGGGGGGGAAGAAAGAAGTATTGGAGATGACTTTTCTCGTTGCACTCATATTCAATGAAAATGCAGGCAGGGAAAACCTTTTGAGCATTTTTCAAGAGGTGCTCTATAGCCGGATGTCTGCTCTGAAAGTAAGGATCAGATCTGTAGTAGGGCCTGGGGGGAAGGTAGCAGGGAGAAATTGTCAACCTAGCTCTGGAGTTTATCTATAAAAACATGCAGAGGAATGCTTTGGCTTTATGAAGATAACAACACTGCTAAGCAGGAATAACCGAACCCAGAGAATGCTGTGAGAATAACATACCATTTACAGGTCGCTGTGGCATATATCCATATTCAGACTGTGGGCAATAATAAGATGAAGTCATTTATGGTTGCTTACTCTGTTGCTGGCCCCGCACTAGGTTCTTTATTGTATTAACTCTGCATAGCAAGTCCTATAAAAGGACTATTATGATCAGCATTTTGCAGGTAAGGAAACGGAGGCAGGTCAAGGCTGAGTGAATTGCCCAGGACCACCCACCTGGGAAGTGGCACAGGGATCCTGAGAATTGTGCCTGACGTGGACCCTGTGCCTTGTCACTGGTTCGCCCCTCTCACTAGGCTCACCAGGCTGGTGGCTCGGAGCCAGGCTGCCTAGTTTTGAATCCATGTTTCATCTGGGGTGGGATCTGACTAAGCTCAGTCCTCTTTGCCTCAGTTTTCTCATCTATAAAGTGATTGCGGTAAGAGCCCTATAGATAGAGTTGAGAATGTATGTAAAACACTTAGAAGAACGCCAATCATTAGCAAGGGGTAATCAGTGTTGGCTGTCATTGTTCGTAAAGGCAGTTTGGTTATGAGTTTGTTATACACCACCGTCCTAATACATGTGTGTATGTGTGTAGGACAATGGCCAACTGTTCTTTATTCTGATCCTATTTTTACAAACCGATGTAAATATAGATTTTTTTTTTTTCCTTTTCAAGTCTCAGCTTGGCAAAATAAAATGATAACAATCCTTCTGAGTCCCTTCCTTCCCCTGAATTTTTTTTTAACATCAATGGTATGAGAAAACAATAATTTTTTCTTAGAGGGCACTGGAATCCAAACTTAGCAGCGTTTGGGATGGCCTAAAAGGAAGGACTGGTTGTGGTCTGAGGCCAGGCATTCCTTATGTTAGCAGCCACAGACTGCAAGCTGAGCCCTAGGCCTCTTCCAGAACATTCCATAGATGTTCCATTGGTGCTCAGTGTGTAGGTGGGGCAGGGGGCTCCCAAAGATGCCCTGTGCAGGCACCAGAGCAGAGTACCTCCATGTGACCTCTAGGGCCACACTGTCCCTAAATTCTCAGACTCTCAAAAATGGCAGCAAATGAGCTCTGTGCAGAAACTCCTCCTCCAGCATGTGCACTAGGCTGGCAAAACCAAGCTTCCTGCATAATTTTAGAGAGTGAATACTTGAAACAACTGTCTTTATAACCAACATGTGGCAGCCAGAAAGAACCAAAGAAGACAAATGGCTAATGCTTACTATTGAAAAATATCGAGGGAAGCAACGGTTATGTTTTATCGAGCATTTCCAGCAATCTTGTCATACTTGATTAAATAACAAGGTTGCTTTTTTCACAATATGACTAGAGATTTTTCTTTCCTATTTTAATTGTTTATTTAAATATCGTTATAAAATAATATGAAAGCTTTTAATGTATAATAGCAATGACATTAATTTAACACACTTAACCATATGCCATCAGTCAAAATTCACCAAGCAGTGGAAAGGCAATAATAGTCTCAAACACCAGCCCAGGAGTTGGTAAATAGATATACCTACTCTTGACTCTCAGCTTTGCTACTTGCAAACTCTGTGACCTTTGGCAAATTACTTATTCTCTTTGTGTTTCAGTTTCTTCGTCCATGATTACGGATATCAATAGTACCCATATAGGATGGATGGAGTTCATGTTCATGTAACCCTTACGTGGCTGTCCTATTTTGCTCAGTACTGTGTTGCAACTTCAGAACAAAAATCCAGTCTGGTGCATTAGTGTGCAATGGCTGTATTTCTGAGGATCTTGTAAAAAAAGAAAGAAAGTGTTTGTATCACATAGCACCATGTAAAATACCTTAATACAACCCATTAGACATTTCCATTCTCTGCTAAAGTTACTCTGTGGCCTGTCTATTATCAGGGACCCATATTCTCTGAGTACTGCTCAGCCTCAAGCCCAGTCTCCTCCACTTGTTATTTCTGGAGCAAGCATATCCCTTTTCTTTGCTCATGGAGAAGAGTTTTGACTCTCTCTGATAGGGCAGCCAATCTCACACAGGTCCTATAGACCCAGCTTCCATAGACTATAGCCAACATTTACCCAGTGTGATTTTCTTCATATCATTAAGGCTGTAAAGTATTTATCGTGGTGTCTAGAGCATAGTAGGTTCTCTATAAATGTTAGGTATTGTATGATTATCACAAGTGGCAAATACAGCATTAATAGACTAATATTAAATTCAGTGATTCATCTTATTTCTTGCAGTTCTCAGATGAACGTGTGTCCTACTATCTATTTGTGGATAGTCTAAAACCTATTGAACTACTGGTTTGCTTTTCTGCATTGGTACGATGGGGAGAATCTGGAGGTAAGAGAGCTTTAAGAAAATTATAGTCTTAAAGCCCAGTTTACTTTCATTCAGTCCAGGGAAATACAAGATTTTTAAGCTCTGGATGAAGGAACTTATTTCCTCTCCAGAGTCTCTAAGAGAGTCCTCCTTACACCACCTTCTAGGATGCTCTTCCTGCTTAGACATCATGGGTTATGTTCACTCTTGCTACCTGCACCTCTCCTCATCTCAGTCCTGTGTTCCCCTCTTCGGCATGCCTACTCACTCTGTTTTTCTTTCCACTTCTACATGTCATCATTCTTGAGTCTTTCAAGATCTACTGAAAAACATGCACTCTTTCTTTGATTTGACAATTCTGAAGACCTTTTCCTCCATCCCACCTTGACCTTTGTTTTGTTTTCATAATTATATTTTAGAACTTACCTGCCAATAACTGCATCATCACAGGCATCTCCATTTCAGGCTCTGACTACATGCCCTGCCTCTCCAGCTCACTCACCCTAAAACCCTTGCTCCTATAATCCTTTGACTCCTCTGGGACCACCATCCACTGACCCTCCTACTTTTCTCTGTCCTTCCTTTCCTCATGTCCTTATTTTTCTCATCCCCCGGTTTCCATGACCTGCCATTGTAACGGTAGCCTCGGACATACCTCAGTGCGATTACTCTTCTTACCCTCTCAGCTTACTGTCCTGGCAAAACCCAGATATTGGTTGAATTTGACAGATGAACTCTGCATCTCACCTGTGTGCATCAGAGCAGCTGAATGTGACTGGAGAAAAATAATCCTATCAGCTAGCCCCACTTTCAACTGAGGGCCACAGATTTCAAAATGGCCCCTAAGCACTGCCAACGTTTCCCTGGTTCATGCATTCTCCACTCTTGTCCTAATGGATGACTATCTCAAACCTCCAGATCTCTCTAGCAGTTGCTCTCATCCCCCTGCATTTTCAGTAAATGATCTTACTGCTATTTTCATTGGAGAGATAGACAAAAATCAGGAATGACCCACCTCATCTTCCCATAACGAGCTCTTCACAATTCTAGTCACCTTCCCTCCTGCTCACATGGATGGACTGTTCTTGCTTCTCTGAGACCAGCCCTTTGCTCATATGTATGTTTGCACAAAACATCATTCTTCAATTTTTTGTCCTGTTTTGTTAAAGTTAAATCTGTTTATTTAAAAACAGATTAAGAAACAGCATTTTTTCCCTTACCAGTTTTACCTACGGTTTGTTTTTAATCTTACTTGTAGATTTATTTTTAATTAAGATAAACTTGGCTAAGCAGATCACGTTTTCCATTTTAAAGAAAATATGCATAATCAAAAAGTTTTCTTGATTTTGATAAATAAAATTCAAAATACTACCTCCTATTTCAGATGAAATAAATATTTTTACTGGATTTCCCAAGATCAATCGTGTTAATTCTATTGATCAATGAAAATCTATGGCTCTTATAAAAAAAGCAAAACCTAAACAATAAAATCAAATTATCTATAACTCAAATTTATAATTCCTCGCACTGTGGAGGTACAATAAATATTTGCTGAATGCTTTTACTATTAAATGTCCTACCAACTGTGACGGCAGGGACTATGATTTTTCACCCAGTTATACCCAATGTTTTGAATGATGTCTGGTGTAGCCATGGGCAATAAATACTTGTTGAATAAATTTGCCAAACTTTAGTGGTATAAGCTTAGTATATCTACTAACTAATAACTCCTAAGCCACGCCATGTCCTAAAACATAAAATTCTATGTGTGTAGAGGTGTTTCAGGTCATGTTTTGCCCTTCTATCTTCAGCTTGAGTGTCATTTGGAAATAGGGTAAAGATATAAGCTAAGATAATTCCTGAAGATGTAATGTACACCAAAGTGACTACAGTTAATGACACTGTACGGTATATTTGAAAATTCCTAAGAGAGTAAATCTTAAAGCTTCTCATTACAAGAAAAAAATTGTAATTGTATGTAGTAATACATGTTAGCTAAATTTTCACAGTAATCATTTCACAATATATGCAAATACCAAATCATTATATGGTATACCTAAAACTAATACAATGTCATGTGCCGATGTTGTCTCAATTAAATTTTTTTTTAATTTAAAAAGTGTTTTGGCCTCACCTACTGATGAAGACTAGTAGATATTCTTTATTCATTTTAAGAGGAACACAATATGAAAATTAAATTTTTGTTCATTTTTGCTATTTCTACACATTGTCAAAGCTAAGAATCAAAAGTAAAACCTAGGGGCCCCTGGGTGGCTCAGTTGGTTAAGCAGCTGCCTTCAGCTTGGGTCATGATCCCAGGTCCTGGGATCGAGCCCCGCATCAGGCTCCATGCTCGGCGGGAAGCCTGCTTCTCCCTCTCCCACTCCCCCTGCTTGTGTTCCCTCTCTCACTGTGTCTTTCTCTGTCAAACAAATAAATAAAATCTTAAAAAAAAAATTTTTAAAAAGAGTAAAAACCTGGATTAAACAATGGGATATTTCGACCTTGCTTTGCCACTATCTTAGGAAAATCTCTTATTTTCCCAGATGAGGTGTTTTTCCTCCTTTAAAACTGCATCTAGAGGGATATGGTGATTTCTGTCACAGATGATTAAATGAGACAGTCTTGTCTGTCCTTTTGCTAACTCTCCCATTCCTGGTTTCTTTAGTGAGGAATGATTCTGTGGAGGAAAAGAGGACAGAGAGGAAGACCTGAGTCTCACTTCAGTCTTATTTCCAGTAATTATTTACCCAGAGTATTTTCTCTGGGTTTTATGAGTATTTTCAGAAAATCTCTAATTCCTGGTATTATTATTATCATTACTAATGTTGTGAAGGCCAGCTAAACTCTCACAGTCAAATTTTAACATTTTCTCTCTCCTAGCTTTAACAAAAGACAGCCCCCACATAGAGCCTGGACTGCTTACAGCTGAATCAGTTTCTTGGAAATCTCTGAAGCCCCGGGAACTTGTTACGAAGATTCATACGTATGCTACTAAGGCTACAATGGTTCGCCTGCCTGTTGGGTATGGAGTGACTTCATTTTTCCCATATGAAGAATTTTTTGAAGGCTTATAAACCACTGGCTACCAAATAATTAAACAATATGGGATCTAGGATATTGTCTCCTAAAGTGATTTTGTAAGAAACAGATCTATCATTAAGATTCTTGAGATAGATAATTCCGTGAACAAATAAATTGAAGAAATGCTGTTCAGTAAATCTCCTTTTGGAAGACTCATAATTGTCAAAGTCTGGTAATTTCTTAAGAAAGAATATGGTTTAAAACAGCATTTCCTAAAATTCATTTATTAAACAATCCTTTTTGTTTTCTTGTAAGTCTTACATTCCTTGGCAAGAACTATGATTTTATTTAAAAACAGATTGACAAACATAGCATTTCCCCCCCATGGTTTCTACTTTTTTAACCTATGGTTTGTTTTTAATCTTACCTATAGTTTTATTTTTAATTAAGATAAACTTGGCTAAGCAGATCACATTTTCCATTTTAAAGAAAATATGCATAACCGAAGTTTTCTTGATTTTGATAAATAAAATTCAAAACATTACCTCCTATTTCAGATGAAATAATTATTTTTACTGGATTTCCTAAGATCAATCATGTTAATTCTATGTGATCTATTGATCACATAGATCAAAACCTACAGCTCTTATAGAAAAAGCAAAGTCTACACAGCAAAAACAAATGCTAAAATAATGTGTGCAAGCATCCAGTATTCCTAGAAAGTAATAAATTTTAGAACTTCAATATTTCTCACTTCTACCCTAAAAACTTTGGCATACAGAGATTCTCCCAGAAGTCATTATTCTGGCTGAGTGTCATCCATCAAGACAACCAAGAACAGGGCGCCTGGTGGCTCAGTTGGTCAGGCGATTGCCTTCAGCTCAGGTCATGGTCCCAGGGTCCTGGGATTGAATCCCACATCGGGCTCCCCCTGCTCTGTGGGGAGCCTGCTTCTCCCTCTGCCTCTGCCCGCCACCCCCCCTGCTTGTGCTCTCTCTCTCTCTGTGTCAAATAAATAAATAAAATACTAAAAAAAAGAAAAAGGACAATCAAGAACAGGGAATTAATAAAGAATCTTCTTATATATATATATCCAAGTGTTTTCCCACAGGACGTTACCTATCAGCATGAATGCTTTAAACATGCTCTAAGGGCTCAGTAAATGAGGGGAAATGAGCATCCCTGCTCTCAGTGATACCCCAGCCTGGTAGGAGAGACACAAACAACATAGGTGAAATGACGCATTTGTGAGGAAATGACTATGAAATGAATCTGAAATCTACAAAAGCCCTATAGCACCATGAATTATTGTTGTTAGGGAAAAACCGAGACTCGTCTCTTGTGATGTGACTGCAGTGTATGGGAGAGATCTCCGGCATGTTAATCATTTAGTGTAACTATTTTGTGTCCCAAATAATTAATGCAGTTAGAGTCCATGACCTCTGATGATTCTTTCAGAGTGAAAATTCAGAGGTCCTTATCCCATCCGTGTTAAAAAATTCAACTCTCACTAATGTTTGACTTCATTTGAGCACAAGTTGTCATCAAACACCTAACAGAGCTTAGAGCGGCAACAAAGGAGCCTGTGGGTCCTCATGTTTTCCATTGTCTTTAGGAGACATATGCTGCTCTTCACTGCATACTCCCCAGTAGGGCATTCCATACACATCTGCAGCATGGTGACTTTTGTCGTTGGAGATGAAGATGTTGTGCTACCCCACTTTGAGCCGGTAAGTACTTAAGCAACCATGATTTTTTGTGTGTGTGTGTTTGTACCTTTTTTTTCAAAGATTTGGAACTAAATCACGTTCCTGTCTTTTATTCAACTTACCCATTTATTTTATTTTATTTTTTTTACCTTTTAAAACTGTTAATTAAGTATATCCTACAAGAAATTCCTCCCCAATGGCATGTACAATACACAGTCTAAACTCTAGGGATACAAATAAAATAATTCTCGTTTTTCTGCAACAACTGCCTTCACCTCTGCTCTGTGGAATCCCCTGTCATGTCTGTTAACATTTCAGGTAGATCCCATAGCATACTGGTCCTTTGGGATGTATAGAGGATCAGTACAGGCCTTTCCATTAGTTTAAAATTGTGGTATCATATGTTCCTTGTACCCTCTTCCTTGACCTAAGGAATTTGGAGTGTTTGACTCTGGGATTCAAGGAGGGAGGATCCATGGAAAATTCTGTCATTCTTGTTCATCTCCTCTTCTCTTGGCTTCTTCTTAGTTTCTTTTTCTCCTCTGTTCTGAAGCATCTGAAAGAAGAAACAAGGTAAATGAACCTAGCATTTCCCCTGAGATTCTGTCTTGGTTTTAGACATCCTCCATAACACATCTTCTTTAGATATGTGGGCCTCTGCTTTTGGGGGGCCAATTTGCATGGGGCATTCCCACTGCACAATTCAGTTTTACACCCTCCCCTGAACCCATGTCCATGTAGCACCTCATTGTATTAATGAGGCAGGATCTTCTCACCCAGTTGGTAAACCTCTGGGCCAAGACAGCAGCAAGATGGCTCAGTAGCTCTTTTATGTTAATGTTGCTGTGGCCCAGACATGCTCAGTCATGAATTCTTGCCTCTCTGGGCGGTGGTTGTGCAGGATTCCCTATGGCTGCCTCCTCTCTGCTGTGCTGTTTCTCACCAGTCCTCTCCTTCCTGTTCAATAGAAGAAAGATCAACAAGCCCACCTTATAAGTGCATGTCTCTTATTCCCTTAATTATGTTTATTCTGCTTATTTAAAATTCTTGTTTAATCTTTTCTTTGTTTTCTTTAAAAAAAATAATTCTGCTTTAGGTAGTATGGACTATCCAGTTTGTCTCTTTCTTTAGATGACTTAACTTCATAGGTGTTTAGTTATTTTGGTCTGTGAACCCATCTGTCCCTGGGGTTATCAATTCCTCCGTCTTGTAAAAATTATTGGCCCTGAAAGCCAGGCCCTATTATTCTTCAGTTCTAATGAAGAAGCAAGAGATAGACTAGTCCAAGAGCAGAGAGACTCAAGCTCCTCAGACCCATACAGGATCACTCCCAGTGCTGCCTCTTGACCAGACAATTTTTCTGGTCATAGCTTCACGTCAGGGAGAAACACCAAGCTTTCTCTAGGCTTTCAGACATTGGGGGAGAAGGTAATAGAATGGTAAATGCATTAAGGGGGCAAGTCAGTTGCATCTGTCTTCATCAGCAGGAGATCTGTACTTGTCTAGGCATTGGGCCATTCCTCAAAATCTCTGCAGGGAACTAAGGAGCAATGATGGCACCATGGTGCTCCCTAGGAAAGGAGCAAAAACACAACGTTTTGCTTCAACTTCACCCTCTTCATGCTGTCTGAAATCACCCTCTGCTCTGGGCAGCTCATCCTCTACCCACCAACTACCCACTACACACCAATCAAAAGAATTTTCAAACTCCTCAGGGTTCTCTTCCTCACTCTCCCACTTTCTCCCCCACCCCTACACTGACTCTCTTTTTGGTTTTGACCTACAGATTTGCAATTTGACATCCAATTTCTTTCTTCCACCAGCTTTATTGAGGTAAAACAGGCAAATAAAATTGTAAGTTATATAAACTGTACATCGTGGTGATTTGATATACATAAACATTGTGAAAGGATCCCCACCATCTAGTTAATTAACACAACCATCACCTCACATACTTATCTTTTTTGTTGTTGTTGACAACATTTTTTTTGGGTGACATTTGAGTTCTATTCTCTTCACAAATATCAATTACACAACACAGTGCTATCAACTATAGTCCCTATGGTATACATGTAGATCTTCAGACCTTATTCAACTTACAGTTGAATGTGTGTACCCTTTTACTAACCTTTCCTTAGTTTTCCCACTCCCTAGCCCTTGACAACCACTTTTCTACTCTCTGTTTTTGAGTTTTTTTGTTTGTTTTTAAATATTCCACATATAACTGATACCATGCAGTATTTGTTTTTCTCTGTCTGGTTTATTTCACTTGGCATAGTGTCTTCAAAGTCCATCTATCCATATTGTCACCAATGGCAGGATTTCTTTCTTTCTCATGGCTAAATAATATCCCATTATCTCTGTGTGTATGTATGTATGTGCGTGTGTATATATATATTATATATATGTGTATATATTACACATATACACTACAGCTACACACACACACACACACACACACTGCATCTTCTCTATCCATTCATCCATTGATGGACACTTAGGTTGTTTCCATTTCCTGGCTGATGTGTATAATGCTGCAATGAATATGGGGATGCAGATATATTTTCAATGTCCTGTTTTCATTTCCTTTGTTATACACCCAAAAGCAAGATTGCTAGATTAGATGATAGTTCTATTTTAAATTTTTTGATGAATTTCCATACTATTTTCCATGTCCCTATCTCCTTTTTGCTTTTATTGTCTCCTCAGAGTCCATAGCAGGAGGGAGCCAGAAGCAGGAGGGAGCCAGTTCACCCTCTTAACTTTTTAATCTTTATCACTCCCTCCCTGAACTCTTCTCTGCCCATCAGTTCTCCAATCCCACACAATTTTTTCAAAGTAATTCCTAGACATCCTTCAGAACTAAGTCTGGGTATTAATACTGTGGCAAAATTTCCCCTGGCTCCCAATATGAGGTAGGTGTTCTTCCCATGTGTTCCCACTACAGCAGGGATTATATCCCTTGTTTTATATCTTTGAGATCATAGACTCTAGGAAAATGCTTTGATCAAGCAAGCGTTTCATAAATAACTATTTAATCAATCATATAGAAGAGGTTTACTCTATTAACTGAAATTAAATTTTTGTAAGCTTAATTACACTTAAATAAAAAAGAAAGTGAGGCTGGCTGCTATGCTTTGTCTCCACAGGAGAGCTACCGATTTACAGAGCAGTCTCTAACGATTTTGAAAGCTGTTGGAAATGTGATTGTTAGTTTCAAAGATAAGGGTAAACTCTCCGTGGCTCTGAAGGATTTACAAGCAGCTCACTACCCTACACCCCTCCACAATAAAGAACTAACTTCACAGCACTTCAGGGTAAGCACATTTAAGTTATGATGTTTCTAGAAGGATACTTTCTATTTGAAAAAAATCCTTATATCTTATATTAGGTGATCCCCAAAATTTAACCTTTAAAAAGACTTACATACATTTCCAAGACAAAGAGAAAGAACTTGCAACTGCACGTTTTCTAAAGTGGTATCTAAGAAAAAGGGAGGGAAAAAGTTTATTCCTTCATTTTCCATAGAGAGAATTAAGCCTTGCTTTTGTAATTTGTATTTGCCCTTATAGTATCTTGTATTCTATCTGGCAACGCTACCTGGGACACAATCACTCCTAATTGAGAACTGCTCACTTAAAGCATGAATAATCTGCAAGAAATACCTGCCATGATTTACTCTTCAACCAATCTGATTTCCTCCCTTAAGTGAACTCTGTTATCCATTCTTGAAGGTGATGGCTCTAGATGGCTTAAGACGGTGTTCACAAGCTCTAAAAATAAGCAAATAATTAAACCATCATATGACAAGAAAGCTATGGTCTCCCCTTCTACAGCTGGCCCCTAAGGCCATAGCTGGTATTCAACATCTCTCTTCTCTACCACCCATTCTAGATTTCCCCTTTTTTCTAGCCAATGCTCCAGCTGTTCTGGTTGCCCGGTGGGTGACCTAGACCTTCAATCCTGATGAGCACAAGACCTTGATTGCCTTACTCTTTTCAGGCTGTGATTAATCATTCACTGCGGAAGCACCAAGAAGTGTCCCAGCAAATTCAGGCATAATTCTTCCTGTCCCCATTATGCAGCAGAAACCCTAGTACTTCATGACAATCAGAGTAAATTCTCCCCCCACACCATTATATTTGTTCCTTTTTTCCTGGAACAAGGAGAAGCTCAAAGCAACCAGGCATATATCATAACTTAGGTTTATTGTAAATCATATCATGTTCCCTGATGGAAACATTCCTTGCCCTCCATCCCCAGGAATTAGGTCCTCCAATTTAGCAAACTGCCTGTTGGGACAGGGAACACTAATTATTGCAAATGGACCACTGGAAATAATGGTGAGAGAGGCCAATCCTACTTCCAATCTTTGAATCCCAGGCCTGTATGTCTTAGATTTTACAGATATAGCAGTGGATGTTGGTCTTTGGTTCTGTTCATATATACCGTGCCCTGGAGATACCCTGTCAGTTCTCCAGGATGTCATCTCCAGGCTGGCCCCTTAGCTGAGGCTTTTATATGCCGTTCCAGTTTGCCAGGAATTTTATCAATTCTTTCTATGGTATATATTAGGACCATTGAGTCCCAAACATTCTCCAGTGGTTAAATCTCCTCCGTATAATGAGACCCTTGGTCCAAGGGGGATGTTAGGTTGAATCTGATGTTTGTAAATCAGATTTTCTGTAACCCCTTGGGTAATAATGCTGGCAGAGGCACCAAGGAAAGAGAAAGCAAACTCATATTTGAGGTAGGTGTCAATGCTAGGAAGGACGCTGGGGACAGGAAGAATTATGTCTGAATTTGCTGGGACACTTCTTGGTGCTTCCGTACCTCCTTGATAGAAGCCCACTGAACTAAACTTGCCACCACGTGCTAACTGGAATCCCCAGAGGATGATATTGTATTAAAGTTTCTGCTACTGACAGATTAGACTGCTAAGCCTGGGTGAAAGAGAGCCCAAACTATTGGAACCATTCGTAGTTCCTGTCCCTGAGTACTTGTGCATGAGTCTGTTGTTGCTAGGCCAGATCTAATATGTAAAGGACCTTTGTGCATGCTTCACTTACACAGAAGGGAGCTATTTTGGTAATGAAATACTTTAAATTTTTAAATATTTTTATACTTTTGTATTACGTAGTTATGTGACATTTCTTCAGAGCCACATCCCATAAATCAATACATTTCAAATTTGTCTACCATAAACAATTCCAGATGGATCAGTTGCAGCATACTATAAGTATCCCATAGATAAGGACTCTCTCACTAATAAATATCATTAGTGTGTTTTCTGGGAGGTCCTTCATTATCATGCTTACAAAACAATTGGTGCTCAAATCTCCCACAGATCTTTCTCTTGCTTTGGATCCTGCTCAAAGCTGATGGCCTTGTAAGTCACTCAGTAAATGCATTGGAATAATATTCCCCAAAGCAGAATATTCTATCACCAACTCCAGAGAAGACTATCAAGGATTGGCCTCTTTCTTAGTTGCAGTGTCTTATCCTTTACTTTAGAGGGGATGTTCCAACATGCCTAATCCTCTGGACCCCTGAAATCACTGGTATGGTGAATCCATGAATCTGTGTGAGGATTATTCCCCACTCTCTAGCATGCACGTGTCTTAATCAGGAAGTCAGAGTAATGGTCCCTTGCTGCCCACAGGTCTGAGTTCACTGAGGTCATCAACATCCATATGTAGCCCAGAGTGATGTCCTGTAGAACACCAGAGTGATGTCCTGTAGAACACCAACATGAACACTTAAATGTAACAGAGAGTAGGAGGATTAACATAATCATGTATTTTTCTTATTTTTATCCTAGACGCTGAAATACTTAGAGCATTTTATTAGCATGTCACAAAAAACACATCTAACTCATTTAAGTCATAACAAGGAGCTGGATGTGCTAATTTCTTATAAGAATATAGGGAAATCTTGACACCCAAGGATAGGAATGACTCAGTGCGGAACTTCAAAGAGGGGATAGACAGCCCTTTGAACGTATCTTCTTCATTTTGTTTTTCTCCTTATAGACTTGTTATCTCTGCTCCTAAGTTCATATCATGGAAAAACTGACTCCTGACTTACATCACTTTCCCATATGAGTCCAGTTTAGAATATCTTGATCCTGATCTCAAATTATTCAACCAAAGTAACAATGATTTGCCCAGCTTGGGTTAGGTGGTTTCTTACAGGCTTATCCACCATTGTCGGTTGATGGGGCAGTTATAAATATAGATTATGAGATTAGGTTCCCAATATGGGGAGGCACCCCTCTGGAGTAGTAAGAAAATGTGGACTAAGCAGGAAGTACAATAGTCATGTCTTTGAAGAGCACTGTATTTCACCAATTCTAAGATGCACATTTCTTTTCACACTTTAACATGAGAAGGAAATTAGAGTGTGTCTTATAATTGGTGGTTCCTTATAATCATTACTGGCCAGGTAGCCTTCAGAATTCTCTACACACACAGGGACATGTTCATAAGGGTTCATACCGGTACCGCTTCAAAAGAAATCTGTGTATTTTTTGGACAAAGGCCTAATCCTTGTGGGAAGAGAATTAAATGACATTAGAGAGCCTCTCAAAGAAACATGAAAGCAGAGGGATTTTCCCTACACCAGACTGACACCCCCCCGCCCCTGAACCCCTCCCCCTACCAAGGCACAGGGAAAGAGAGAGAAGGAGAGGAGAACCTGGCTAAAAATCACCTCAAATGGTGTCCCAGGCACCTTACATAATCCACTAAGTACATTACTCCCTGTGGACAAATAAATAGCTAAAAGTAAGCCAGCAGCAGGGTGCTGAGGCTTGGTGGTTACTCTCAGTGGCATGAGTAGATAAATGGAATCCCTCAGAATTTCAAGATAAAAACTATGAAAAAACTTGGAAGAAGGAATATGTGTTCTGGTTATGGTCTAAAAACCTTCCATGGGTCCTCTTTGGTAGGATCAGGAATAAGCCAGCACCAACACTTACTGAATGGGGGTCGGTGGTTTGAGTGAAACCCCAGGGACAAAAGTAGAATGCACTCTAGGCAATGGTGCATCTTCAAAGCTTGACAACATAAAGGACAAAATTATATAGGAAAACACAGATGTTAAGTATTTTCAAAAAGTGATTTGCAAGAGTAAGAGTTTGAATATAAATGTTTTCAGAATACTTAACCAACTTATGTGGCTTCTTTTATTTTTTTCATGTATGTTTCAGTGTGATGTATGACAAAAAAGCTCTGTCTAAATAAATCTACAAGAGTTTTTTCAGTAGGAAGTAAATACTCAGATGAAAATAAGAAAGTGATAAAAAGTCTAAGCAACATTCTTTTTTGGTAATACATGAAACAATAGTGTGTCTTATAGTGGATGGTGTTTTAGAACCAATGAAATATAGTATTTAACTTGCTTAAACACAAAGGCCATATTTTTCATCTTATGCTATATTTCTTCAATCAGTTATATTCTGAGTGTACATTATAAACATTATAGTGATTAAATTTTATTAAATTAGAACTGGTAAGGTGATAAATAATTTTGCTCTCTTCCTGGGTGAATGAGACTTCAAGATCTTCTGTTATATTGTGCATCTGAAAAATATGTATTTTTATTTTTAGAGTATTTAAAGTTTTATACTTTAATTTGAATACACTTCAAATGCATTCTGTGCTCTCTAAATGTAACATTACCTGGCAATGTTATTTTCTTGGTTTAAAAAACGTTAATGTTATTTTCTTGGTTTAAAAAAGTGGACTAACATATTTTATCTTTTTCAGGTTTTTCATATTTCTTTATGGCGTTTAATGAAAAAAATTCAACCAACAAAACTTCCTCCCAACTTTAAATTTGCATTTCGTGCTATGGTTTTGGATTTGGAGTTACTCGATTTCTCCTTAGAAGAGGTTTCTTTAGGTACTGAATAATTTAGATATTTGTTTGACAAAGGACTTTCTAGCCTTATAGAAGAGAAATAATTTGAGAAAAGCACAAAGATTTTGTGGAGTAGGTAGACTAGGTCTATACCAAACAGGTGCAGAATTCAAGCTGTGCTCTGGGAAGCCCATGGTCTCCAACCATCTGCCTGTGTCCCCAACTTCACGTATTTCCATGGAAGCCCAGAATTCCCCTGTTTTATTTGTTTCTTCCCTGAAAGACTATGAAAGTGGCTAACATTTACAATATGATTAGAGGAATTCTGGGAAGATCTTCAGATCCAAGGACCCTCCTTTCCCACTCTCCCAATGCTCTACTCACGCAATTTTAACATTTTCTTTCAGTTTTGAGAGAAACCCCTTACTATTTTCACAGAAGAATTCATAGTAGCTCACTCAGTATGTAGTGTTTCCTTTCTCCAGAATGTTTACGTTCTAAAAAAAGGGCCACCTGCAGAGCACAATATTAAATACAAAGACAAATCTATCATTGTGGCACTTTATATGTCAGGGGACTTTAAAGGTATTGAAAACTGGGGAAAACTGGGTATTGAAAACTGGGGAAAGGATTAAATACTTTAACTCAACTTTCAGTCCAAAATTTGTTTTTCTCTTTCCAGCGGAATGGGTCGACATTAAATACTGCCTACCAGTAAGTGATAAAGAATATTCTCCTGAGGAAGTAGGAGCAGCAATTAAAATTCAAGCCATGTGGAGAGGGACTTATGTCAGATTGCTTATGAGAGCTAGAACACCAGGTACCCTTTTCCAGTCATTTATAAAATAAACTTGTGTATGTAAGAATGAATATTTGTGTGCTAATGAAAAACATTTTGGAGTTATCTTACTTTATTATTGGGCTAATTCTTTGTAATTCGATAAATATTGAAATTCCTTGAGGTCAGAATGCATGTCAGGACACTCACTCTCTAGCTCCCAGAATTTAGCACAGTGCCTGGCACAGAGTAAGCACACAACAAATACGTGCTGGAAGAAAGAATGAGGGACTCAGTGAATGATCAGCTAAGTCTCCCCAGTCTGTTGTGAGTCTTACAGCACAGAGAACTAGTCTTTTCCTCTATGCATCTCCAATGTCTAGCAGAATGCTACAGCAGTCAGCTTCAGCTAAGCTGTGGATATTTTTACATTTCTAGATCATTTTTCAAAGAAATAAATGAATGAGTAAATGAATGAATGAGTTGAGTGAAAGAAGCTTTCATGTGTCCATGTGGCATACATTTACAGAGCACAGAATGCATTTGAAGTGTATTCTAGCTATTAAATCAACTTATCAGTGTATTCTATTAAATCAAAATATGTATGCATAATAAACTATTTTTGTGAAAAAGGTTATTTTATTTTAGCTTTTTATCAGCTTAAAATAAAACACCGCAGTGGCAAAAATTATATTTAATCATTTTCATTCTGCAGTTTTTGTTTATAAGAAAAGGCTTATCTCCAATAGAATTTTTTTAAAGATTTTATTTATTTATTTGAGGGGGGAGAGAGAGAGAGAGAAAGAGAGAGAGAGCTTATGAGTGCACAAGTGAGGGGAAGGGCAAAGGGAGAGGGAGAAGCAGACTCCCTGCTGAGCAGGGAGCCCAACTCTGGGCTCAGTCTGATTCGGGACCCTGGGATCATGACCTGAGCCGAAGGCAGACGCTTAATTGACTGAGCCACCCAGGCGCCCTCCAATAGAATTCTTTGAATGTACTGAAACATTTTGTTGTAAAGTGTCTCTATTTAAAGTATTTATTTATTTAATTTATTTTTCTTTTTAAGATTTTATTTATTCATCTGACAAGAGAGAGACATAGCGAGAGAGGGAACAACACAAGCAGGGGGAGTGGGAGAGGGAGAAGCAGACTTCCCGCCGAGCAGGGAGCCCGATGTGGGGCTCAATCCCAGGACCCTGGGATCATGACTTGAGCCGAAGGCAGACGCTTAACGACTGAGCCACCCAGGCGCCCCTCTATTTGAAGTATTTAATGAGAATAATCAAAATGTTCATCTGAGCAGGGAAAACTACAGATACACAAATGTAAAGTAAATAAACTGCACTGTATAGTTGTATGAGAGAAAAATATTACTGTTGCTTGATTTTGATATTATTCTATTAGAAAAAGTAAAGATAGATTTATCAAATTAAATATATAGTAAAATATACTTTTTGTTGTCCACATATGCTGTAAAAATTATATTCAAACAATGATTTTCTTTCTCTTTTTAGACACAGAAACTTGAAGAACTTAATAATGTTTTAATAATATTTGCATTTCTTTCACTCAATGAATATTTATTGAATAACTTGTGTGCACAGCACTGTTCTAAATTCTGATTTTATTGAAGTCAGTTAAACCGACAGAGTTTCTGCTTTGATGAATCTTGTGTTCTAGTGGTGGTAGACATACAATAGACAAGTAGATATATTAAGATACCAATTTCAGATTCTAGTAAGTACTATGAAGAAATTAAAATAGGATAATTAGGGAAAAAGTCAGTTTCTGACTTGTTAAATTTGAGCCACTTACTATGGATTTGCATTTTTCTGACCAAATCATCTAGTCCTAAACAAATGTGGATTATGGGACTGAGTTTTAGTGGGATCCCATTAGCTGTTGTTTTTTAGAAAAATTGAATGAATTATTTTTTGTCATAAGAGCTTGCATAAAGAACTTTTAGTGTGATAAAAGATCTGATGTAAACTCTTTGATGAGAATGTTCAATTAGATCAAAGAACACTTTATGATGTCACTGAAGATGAAGGAAAACAGCACAAATCGATGAGCAGAGCTGTTGACTAGAAGTTTATAGCTTTATATTTTAACATAATTTTGCTGCTAATAAAGCTTCTTTATCTGTAAAAGGAGGGCTTTGAACAAGATGATCTTTCAGGCATCTTGCAATTTTTATATTGCTATTTTTAATTATTATTTTTAGACACAAAGGAAAATAACAGTGTTGCAGATATTCTTCAAAAAGTTTGGAGTATATTGGAACTGAATATAGAACAGTATGCAGTTTCTCTCTTAAGGTAAGGCAGCATAATGAAATTTCTTATTGTAGTATCTTGGTATCCTTCAAGTTCCTGTTCAAGTGCTACCATGTTCATTTGAGTTTTCTTAATCACTGCAGTGAGAAACACCGCTTCTTCTGAACTTCCACAATATTTTATCTGAAGCATTTCTATGGTACTTACTACTTTTGGTTTGTCTTAATTATACTTAACTAATATTCTAAGCAGAAAACCTCTGAGAAGCAGAGCAAAGTTTCTTTTTTCTTTTCTTTTTTTTTTAAAGATTTTATTTATTTATTTGAGAGAGAGAATGAGATAGAGAGAGCATGAGAAGGGGGAGGGTCAGAGGGAGAAGCAGACTCCCTGCTGAGCAGGGAGCCTGATGCGGAATCGATCCCGGGGGACTCCAGGATCATGACCCGAGCCGAAGGCAGTCGCCTAACCAACTGAGCCACCCAGGCACCCGCAGAGCAAAGTTTCTTGAAGTCTCATGGTGTTGAGGTGACCACGGTCAGAGTTTGGGACCTACTAGGGGAGGGGACTGCAGCAAACAATTGAGATTGTCAGTTGAAATCCCTGGACAGTAACACTCTAGAAACAGGGGTAAACCGGAAGTAGACTGAGCCTCAGCAAAACTACTGTAGCCACAAACCATATCTGAGCAACAGGATAATCTGAACAAAACTGAGAAATTATAAATTATATGTGTATATACACACACACACATACAGACATATTTAAAAGAGGCAAACCCTCTGGTGATGTTGGAGTTAGCAGACAAAATCTCACAATGTAACTGTAATGGAAATGCCAAAGAAAATAAAGAATAAGGAGAAAATAGATCAAAAGTTTAGATTAATAAAGCTGAGTCAAATGGAAATTACATAAATGATTTTTTTTTAGATAATGTTTTTTATTTAACACCACAGTATTTATTAAGGTCATTAATTTATCCTAACTGTTTAGTTAGATAAATTTTGCTAATTAATTACACATACTCATAAAACTACTGCAAAAACATGATACAGAATATTTCCATCACCCACAAAGTTTTGTTTCTGCTCTTTTATATAACTCATCCCTTCCCAACAAGAAACCTACACTCTGAGTTTCATCACCATAGATTAGATTTGATTGTTCTTCAATTTCATATAACTGAAATCACACAGCATGTGCTCTTTTGTGTCTGGCTTATTTCACTCAGAAATATTTCTGAGATTTTTAACAACTGAAATTAAAAACTTATTTGTAGATTTAACAGCAGATTAATCAGAACAGATGAAGAGATTGGTGAACTTGGAGATAGGTCAATAGAAAAGTATCCAAACTGAAGCATAGAAGAAAGCGAATGGGAAGTAAGAAAGCAACATAAGGGACATGTGGAATATGCTCAGAAAGTCCAATATTGTCATTATAGCCCCAGACTGTAAAAAGATAATAACTGAGAACTTTCCAAAACTGGTAAAACACATCAACTCATGTTTTCAGGAGACTGCATGCAAACTCCATGCAGAAAGCCTACAAAGTAAAGTATTCCTAGACTAATTGCAGTGAAACTACTGAAAAACAAAGGCCAAAAGAAAAACCTTCAAACTGGCCAGAAAAATAATGCATATTATCTTCAAAGGGCAATCAACAAATAGCTACATATAAGAATAAATTCATGACCTTAAGCAATGAGAAATGTAGAAGTTAGGTATAAGGTTTTAAAGAGTTCTAAGGTTATAGTATTATTGCAGAAATGGTAAAACTAATAATTTAGATGAAACTCTAACAGGGGAGGGATGCATGGTATCCTTTCTAGCAATATACTAATGAACAGCTAGTGAATTTAGGAAGAGATAAGATTAATCTCACAAATCTTCTAGAGAACAGAAAAAGAGGAAACACTAACCAATTCATAACCTTGTTTTAAAAAATTCAACAAGGACAGTAAGAAAATGAAATTGCAAACCAGTCACCTTCAAATTGCAAACCAATCACCCTTTTGAATAGATGCAAAAGATGTGTAATAAAATATTAGTAAATCAGAATCCATCGTCTCTCATGGTTCATCTCCCCCTCCGATTCCCCCCCTTTCATTCTTCCCCTCCTGTTACTTTCTTCTTCTTCTTCTTCTTTTTTTTTTTTAACATACAATGTATTATTTGTTTCAGAGGTACAGATCTGTGATTCAACTGAGGGTTCTAGGGGGAGAGGGGTGGGAGGATGGGTTAGTCTGGTGATGGGTATTAAAGAGGGCACGTTCTGCATGGAGCACTGGGTGTTTACGCAAATAATCATGGAACACTGCATCAAAAACTAATGATGTAATGTATGGTGATTAACATAACATAAAAAAAATTTTTAAATGAAAAAAATTAGTAAATCAAAATTGGAATTAAATAAAAAGGATAATGCCTTATAATCAAGTAGGCCTCTCATTTCCAGGTATACAATGGTGGTTTAACGTTAGAAGATTTGTCATTTTAATTCAGTACATTAACAGGGAAAAGGAACAAATCATTTGGTCCTCCAGATAGAATCGGAAAAAACATTTGATAGAATTTAACACAAATTCAAAATTATTTAATTATTTATTTTTTTGTTTTTAGAAAACTTGGACTTTTAGAGAAGAAAACTTTTAGAGAAGTCTTTCATTAATATGTTATTGGTATCTGGTATTTTCAAAACTTACTACAAACATGATTAGTGGTGAAATTTTGAAAGAATTTTCCTGGGTTTAGAAATGAGACAAAAATGTCTGCCTGATGACTTTCATTCACAATAATCCTGGAATAATTCTGAGAAGGACAAAATGGCAATAAAGCAAAGTAAAAGTCATTAGGATTTGAAGGGAAAAAATAAAACCACCACTGTTCACAGACGATATGATTGTATATGTAGAAAATATTTTTTTAAATTAATTTATTTGATAGAGAAAGAGACAGCAAGAGAGGGAACACAAGTAGGGGGAGTGGGAGAGGGAGAAGCAGGCTTCTCGCCCAGCAGGGAGCCTGATGCGGGGCTCGATCCCAGGACCCTGGGATCATGACCCGAGCCGAAGGCAGACGCTTAATGACTGAGCCACCCAGGAGCCCTGGTAGAAAATATTTTAAAATCTGCAGAAAAATTATTAGAGTTAGAGAATTAAAGAAAAGTTGCTGGAGACAAGGTCAATATAAAATAACAATTGGATTTCTACTTATAAGCAACAAATAGAAAATTATATATGAAAACATATAAAAACGTAAAATAACCTAAAAATAATGAAAAAAATTCACGATGAAACAAATATAAAAATTTTAAACATAGAGAAAATCCAAATCTATACGGTACTTGCCTAACCCTGAGGGTAAGTGTCCCGTTCACCTCACCCTAGTCCTGGCCATGGACACTGCCATTACTTGATCATCCAGCTTGACTGACTTGCACACTTCTTTCAGCCTCAGACCTAATGCTAACCCTTGCTATACTAATTATCAGGTGTGGGACCTGGGGTAAGTCTCTTATCCTCTCTAAAGTTGAAATTAAAATTTTATTAATAATATTTAATATTTTATTAATAATATTTAATATAAGGAAATCATTTTAATATAGGGAAAACAATATCTCTCTCATAGTACTATTTTTTGTAAGGCTGTACAGATAAATAAAAAGAACATTTCCTGTGTTCTTAACACCAAACCACAGATTGAGTCATTACAGGGCATTAGCTATTGTAAATATTACTTTATTATTACTACTAAATGGGAAACTGAGGTCCTGGAATTCAGCCTTACATTCTCAGATCCTAAGGGGTAGAACTTTCCCAAGTGAACTTTGGGCAAGGCTCAGTTTACTGATGTAACTTTCTTTCTGTACTAGGATGCAAAGTTAAAAGAAAATCTTTCAAGTCTGTCAGGAATATTTCTCTGGGTCATTCAAGATATTCCATATACATCAGGGTTTTGATGGCACTATATGCATTAGAATTTCCTGAGGCTATGAAAAAGTGTGGGATGTATGATGCGAACAATGACTGGAATACCTCTAAATCCCTGCCTTATCTTAGAATGGCAGCTGGTCCCATTACAGTCAGTTCCATAAGTAGCTTGTTCAGCTGCTGCATTGGCTCAGCCAACACCCACATGTGGATTCGACCAGCCCCCATGTGATTGGCAGTGATGCTTTGCATTGACAGACCACCACATTAGAGTTCCCAGTTAGGGTGATCAGGTTACTTATCATTTGAACTGGGATACTTTTACAAAAGGGACAGAGGGAGCACTATTAATAATTACGACAGGATTATGAGTATAAACCAGGACTACCCCAGGCAAACCAGGATATTTGGTCAATCTTTGTTCTCATAACTTACCTACAAGGCTTAAAACTCTCCCAAGTATAAATCTGTCAATTTCCTCCCATCAAAGGCCAGTGATCAAATGGAGGATGTGAATCCTAACCCCCATAACAATCTCCATGGCTTTGCTTCTTACTGATGATACAGTCAAGCCATCTGCCTTCTGGAAGGCAAGAAAACCTCTAGATCTGCCTAGACCTCTAATACAAAACCATTTTCTATTGGCCATTATGGCTTCCATCCCAGCTAAATCCATAGATGTTATACAAAAGACCCTAGATTGCTGGTGCTACTGAAGCTAGATCCAGTTCCTGGCCGTGGAAGGGAAAGAACCTAGAACATCTCTCATGTGACTTCCATCATGTTCTGAAATATGCCACAGCCTTCCAGGGGGCAAACATGGAGAAACCTCAACCCATAATTCTTTTAACCAGTTGCACATACCACTCTTTTATGTGCCAAAAATCACATAGGAGGAAAACTGACGTTCTCCCCTTGATCATGGCCTTAGATTTGTTTGTTTGTTTTAATCCCTTTTTACAAATCCATTCCTTACTTTAAACTCCATTCTAGTATCGATTCCCGTATCCGTTCCAGACCTTGAGTGGCCCCCATCCAGTTTCATTGCTACTTTGCCTGTTCCTGTTTTCCTACCGTTATAGTTTGAGCTTTGTTGCTGATTTCCCACCTATAAACTGTAGTTACTTTCTTGATCATGAATTAAGTTCTCCTTTGATTAAGACCTTCAGATAACTTTAGAAACCTTTGAGAGACATCTTTCATGGTTGACCTACAATGGGCTCCCCTACCTGGGTGCCATGCACTCTGAACCCCACAGCTTTTGATCAAGGCCTCAATCCAGCCAACAGGAGACTGTGATATTTTATGTTATTTTGTCTACTTCCTTTTTTGTAAGTAAAATTTATTTTAGAAGTTGCCTTTGCCATTGGAACTTACATTATTTTTACATTTCTAGACTAATGTTTAAAAGCAAGTGCAAGTCTATTGAATCTTACCCATGCTATCAAGATGAAGAAACTAAGATTGTTTTTGCTGACTATACTGTGACTTATGCAGACCAGCCACCAAATAGTTGGTTTATACCATTCAGGTGAGGCTGTCAGAAATCGGCATATGATATCATCTTTTTTTTTTAAAGATTTTATTTATTTATTTGAGAGAGAGAGAATGAGAGAGAGCACATGAGAGGGGGGAGGGTCAGAGGGAGAAGCAGACTCCCTGCTGAGCAGGAAGCCCGACGCGGGACTCGATCCAGGGACTCCAGGATCATGACCTGAGCCGAAGGCAGTCGCTTAACCAACTGAGCCACCCAGGCGCCCCATATGATATCATCTTTAAATGGCATGCGATAGTCTTACGTGTAGAGCTTTATTTATGGTAGTAGTGAAAGTATGAACTGATAGGCTGTTTTCACAACTTAGCACTTCTTCCCCATCTGCTATGCATCAATGAGATATTACAGATTTTTATCCATGTTTCTTTAAATGAAATGTGAAGAATGTGAAGGTAATTATTAGTATTTTTAGGAGTATGATAAACATAATATAAATTGATGTGCTAACAGTATAGAAAGAAATTATTTAATTTTCAAGCAATATCGTATTAGGTAAAAGTCACAAATTACTTACAAATGGGATTTCTTAAAGGGCTTGTATTTACATGACAAAATGGTATATTAATAATCTAAAAACCAGTATGTATACCTTGTAGTTATTGGAAATTTTAAACTTTTTTATTTCTTGCCTTAAACCTAATTTCAAACTTTCTTTATGATTCCTGGCAAGGGGAAGTTCATTCTTTTGTAATTACAGAGAAACATTTTTGGTTCCTCAAGATATGATCTTGGTTCCCAAAGTATATACTACACTCCCGGTCTGCATGCTCCACATTGTTAATAATGACACAATGGAACAAGTGCCAAAAGTGTTCCAAAAAGTGGTGCCTTATCTTTATACCAAGAATAAGGTAGGTGCAAAATTTCTTCTCCCCATATGATAGACTGGCAGTGAGAAGCCAGTGCCTTAGTAAGATTCCAGGAGCAGGTTAGGGCAGATGTGCTTTTCAACCTACTTAATAGAGGAACGGGGTCCTGGTCGTTTTCTGTAGAAGTTCCACTTATTTGACAGTCCAAGGTATTTAATGTGAGTGCTAGAACATTCACCTCTCAGCTCTCTTTTGTCTTCTCTCTGAAGAAAATATGACAAAAGGAAAGCATTGGAAAGTCCTATAAAATCATAAAATCATATAAACCTTTAAAATGGAAATGGAGGTAAAGGGCTCATTTAGTCCTATTCTTTGGATCAAATTAGCTGGTTGTCTCAGTTTCCCACTGGGTTTTTATTCCATCCCTAAATATTTCAGAAGATTGTGATTACATGGCCATTCATCACCCACCACCCGCAGTCTTTTCCAGGGCTACACAGATTCTTTAAAAAGCACTTGGCACATTACTCCTGCTGCACGATGGACCCTGATTTCTGAGGATCCCACTCAAATCATGTTGCCTTTCTGTTTGAATCTCATCTTTGTGTTTTTGGTTATTTCCTCTTAGAGGGAAGCATAACAAAAGGCGGTATACACCTACATTGTAAACTGGGAGATTTGTTTTTACTCTGGCCTTTCATTCTTTACCTATATGGTTTTGAATCTTTTCATTTTTCTCTTTGAGCTATGGTTGTAGTTGACTTTCAAAGTTCATTTCAGCCCATGATTCTGTGCATTATTTTGCCCAAATTAAGACATACCTATCTAATGAATACTGGTTTATAGGAATGAAAGATAAATTTTTAAAAGTATTAAGTCCATAAAAAACCTAAAAGCTCTTTTGAGTTGTTTAAGAGATTTTTTTTTAAATGAGATTTAAATTTTTTTTAAGGCTTGGAAGGGTTTTGGGGTGCCTGGGTGGCTCAATCAGTTAAGCCTCTGCTTTCGGCTCAGGTCACGATCCCAGGGTCGTGGGATCGAGCCCCATGGTGGGCTCCCTGTTCAGTGGGGAGCCTGCTTCTCCCTATCCCTCTGCCTGCCGCTTCCCCTGCTTGTGCGCTCTCTCTATCTCTCTCTCAAATAAATAAATAAAATGTTCTAAAAAAAAAAAAAGACTTGGAAGGGATTTAAGACTTCATTGCAACTCTTAGTAGCAATAAATAAGAGCAGTTTTAGCTTCACAGCAAAACTGAAAGTACAGAGATTTCCCATATACACCTTGCTTCCACATGTGCACAGCCTCCCCATTATTGACAAGCCCCACCAGAGTGGCACATTTATTACATTGATCATCCTACTCTGACACGTCATAATCCCCCAAATTCCATGGTTTATATTATGGTTCACTGTTTGTGTTGTACATTGTATGGGTTTGGATGAATGTAAGATGACATGTGTCCATTATCATGGTATCATAAAGAGTGTTTTCACAGCCTTAAAAATCCTCTGTGATCCACCTATGTATTTCTCCTCCTCGACCCCTGACCTTTTTTCTGTCTCCATAGTTTTGCCTTTTCCAGAATGTGGTAAAGTTGGAATCGTATAGTGTGTAATCTTTTCAGTTTTGTTTCTTTCATTTAAAAACAGGCATTTAAGATTTTTCCATGTTTTTTATGGCTTAATAGCTCATTTCTTTTTAATAATAATATTCCACTGCTTGTTTAAAAGTTTATCTACCTATTCACCTACCAAAGGACATCTTGTTTGCTTCCAAGTTATGGCAATTATGAACAAAGCACCTATAAATGTCTGTGCGCAGGTTTTTGTATGGACATAAGTTTTTGGCATAAATACCAAGGAGCACTATTGTTGGACTGTATATGTGTAGTTTTGTAAGAAACTGCCAAACTGTCCTTCAAAATGTCTGTACCATTTTTCATTCCCACTAGCAATGAATGAGAGTTCCTATTGCTCTGTATCTTCATCAGCATGTAGTATTTCCAGTGTTATGGATCTGGGCTATTCTAATAGGAGTGCAGTGGTATCTCATGGTTGTTTGAGTTTTTCTGATAATATACAATGTGGAACATCTTTTTGTATGCCTATTTGCCATCTGTATATCTTCTCTGGTGAGAAGTCTTTTAAAATTTTTTAACTAGATTGTTTTCTTATTGTTGAGTTTTAGGGGTTTTTGCATATTTTGGATAACAGTCCTTTATTATATGTGTGTTTTGCAAATATTTAAGTATTATGTTACTGTTACTCATGAGCCTTAAAGTCATTTAGAATAGTCAGGTTCTCTCTTAAAACCCTAACACTGGTTTAGCTTTAGACTTTAACTTACCAATATCTATCCCACCATTTTATAACTTTTTTTCCCCTCTCAAACCTATTCTCTGAGCCTAGAAAAACACAAAATCAGAGTCATGTAATTTTATTTTGTTTCTTAATGCATTAGTATTACAAGCTCAAAAAATAATGAGAACAGCAATAAATCTGTGCATAATACTTTACAAATAAAAATACTTTAGTGTATATGATTTATCTTCCTTTATTTCCTTGCCCCAAACATAATGTTAAAAGGTCCTTATTGGTGTTGCAGTTCTCATATTATTATGGGTATTGTAATTCTGGGTAATATTCCTAGATGTTTATTGAATTTATTCTGTCATATATATATATACTGTCTTATATATTTCTACTTTTTGTTTCTGGAAATCTAAACACATTAGAGAGCTTCCTTTGCATCAGAATCAACTGGAATACAAATCTATATTTTTCTTCCTTATTAGAAGTGTCTGGAATTATAAACTCAGAATTACTTTGAACTTTTGTATCTCATTATGATATCATGCTCTTGCTTCACTGACATTTTTGCCAGATAGAGATCCAATTACATAGAACCAAGCTATTACCCACTATAATATTATCCCAGGTTTCTTAGCTGCTACTTTTCCCCAACCTAAAGAGCTCATCTCCATACTCATATCTGGGTTCCCTGGAACCAGATCTCTTTTAACTTGATAGCTTTATCTGACAATTGTCATTCCAAGGGAACTACATTTCCATAAATGCTTCTTCTTTTCTCATCTTGTATTTAAAAACAGGGACATCAGGTAGGAAGTTATTGGGCTACTCCAGGGTGATGCAATGATAAAAATCTGCATTAGGAAGCATTAGAAGAATTGGAAGAAAACATAGCAATCATCTATCAGAGTTACGTGATTTGTGTTATAGCTTGAGAAGTACACAAACAAAACTGTTACAGTTACTCGTTTTCTCTGAAAACATGTAAGATGCACTTTCTAAGAGGAATTTCAAAATGTAATGATAGTGATTTTCTTTTATCAAGAGATCTTGGGATCTTTATGTATATCAAGATAATAAAGCATTTTACTACAGTGAAGCCATATGTTGTACCTTTGAGAGACCAGTAACAGTATGCCTTACTTCTGTCCAATTCTCTTTCCTCTAGAAAGGCTACACATTCGTGGCTGAAGCATTTACTGGTGACACATATGTTTCGTCCTCACGATGGAAACTGCGCCTCATTGGTTCCTACAATCCACTCCCATGCCTATCTCGAGAGTTTCCATGCAATACCTTCACCATAAAGGAAATCAGAGATTACTACATACCCAATGATAAGAAAATTTTATTCAGGTATAAGTATATGACAGGAGGGAAATGCCCCAAATTGGCATTTTTTGGCACCAGATGGGTGCTGACACGTTGTCCTTCAGCGACTGTGGCTACAGAGGTTGGGCCTCTAGATACGCACAGGGCTCTGGGATTGACCACAGTTAACTATTAACATATGAATATATTATTGAGGAAGTAAAGGTCACCTGTAATCAAACAACCTAGAAACAATCACTGTTAGTATCCTGTTGTATTTTCTTTTGGTGTTTTTTTTTCCTAGTCACAGCTTAACATTATTAAAATCATAATGTAATTAAAGTTTTGTAAGCTGACCTTTTTACTTAACATTATAGTGTGCACATTTCCCAGTGCCATTAAGACATTTTGTGAATTCTTTTTCATGATTACGTAGTAATCATTTGTAGGAAAATACAACAATTTACTCTGGCTATTTTTTGTTACAAATTTTCCATTTCTACTTTTTCAATAGTATTAATAGAGATGTGATAGGCATATTTATTGTAAATATTAAAGGAAATTCTTGATTATTATTTAAAGATTTATTATTTTAGAAAGTTATATGTTTTAAAGATTCCACATGTATTGGTAAATTTGTTTTCTAAAGAAACACCTAAGTCTATTTGACAATATATGTACAAATTTACTGTATTCTGGTTAATTTCCCCCTCTAATTCTTATTTATTTGTATTTTAAAACTTTTTTTTCTTTTAAAGAACATGAAAAAATTTTTGTATTATAAAATAATCAGTAGTAAAATTAAATTACAGGACAATATATACAGTATATCCCCAGCATATGTTTTTGTTCTTATATTTGTTTACATATTTTATATGTAGGTGAAAGTTTAGAGAAAATACTTAAAGAAAACATGAACTGGGGGTAATAGCAGGGACAGAAAATTCTCTTTTTAATCTGTCTGCTTCTTGTCATGTATCTGCACATTGGCTATTAGAAAGCAAGCCAGGGAAAAAAGGAAAGAAGTAGGAGGGAAACATACCAGCAATTAAAAATAACAATTGTGATCAGATATTTTAACTACTCTGATAGGAGGCCACTGTATCACACTGCAGGACCACTACTAGACCAACGAGTGATATTTAACCCAATATCTAAATTAGTCCTAGAAGCCGGTCCTAAAGCTGTCAAACTTGGTGGGGGGCAAGGTGAGGAGGGAACTGCTTCATGAGCAAATGTGAAAGTTCAGAAATTAAGGAGTGTATGACCTTTTCAGGGAACTGAAGACGTTTGCTTGCAAAGTGGAGCTCTAGGGGCCTATGGCAAGGGTAAGGCCAGAGAAGGGCCTCATAAGGAAAGAGATTTAGACTTTATCTGAGAGGCAAAACATGCTTTGAGGAGTTTTAAGAGAAATGGCCACAATAGACTTGTGTTAAGACATTATGCCTGCAAAGCATGAGTTGAAAAAAAAAATTTTTTTTTTTTTAAGATTTTATTTATTTATCTGACAGAGAGAGAATGAGAGAGAGAGCACATGAGAGGGGGGAGGGTCAGAGGGAGAAGCAGACTCCCTGCCGAGCAGGGAGCCCGATGCGGGACTCGATCCCGGGACTCCAGGATCATGACCTGAGCCAAAGGCAGTCGCTTAACCAACTGAGCCACCCGGGCACCCCGAAAAAAAATTTTTTTTAAATATAATTTCTAAGAGCAGAAATGTTGTTAGAACCCTATTATTGTGAAATTATAGATAATCATAAAAGGAACGGAATATGGAAGAAAAAACAATTTCAAAAGACTGCAGTGTGTTGAATGAAGGACAGCGTAACTGGAGACAGGGGAACCAGATAGGAAGAAGCTTTGAAATAACCCGGGTGTGTGCTGATGGCAACTGGAGCCGGTCAGTGGATTCGTTTGCCAGCACCGCCATAACAAAATCCCACAAACTGGCCAAGGAGGTGGCTTCCACAACCGAAATCGATGGTCTCACAGTCTCACGGTTTGGGATGCCAGAAGACCAAAGTCCAAGTGTCAGCAGGGATAGTGCCTACTGAGGGCTGTGAGGGACAAGCTATTCTAGGCTTTCTCCTAGCCTCTGGGGGTTTCTGATAATCCTTGGTGTTCTTTGCCTTATAGACTTATCACCATGATCTTTGTATTCATCTTCACTTGGCATTTGCCCTGTGTCTCTCTGTTTCCAAATTTCCTGTCTCATAAGGGTATCTATCAGTTATATTGGGTTAGGGCCCACCCTAATGACCTCATGTGAACTTGATTCCCTCAGAAAGACCCTGTCTCCGAAAACGGTGATATTGGGAGGTACTGCGGATACTCCAGGTACTGGACTCCAACATAGTTCTATGGGGGGGTGTACAACTGAACCCATACTAGGCAGTGACAGTGGATCTAGAGAGAAGAGAAAGGGTTTTAAGACACTGAGGAAGTCAAATTGACAGTCCTGGTTGGTTGGAACTCCTGGGGACTGACTTGGGATCAGGGGACAGTTAGTGTCCTTTACTTAGATAGTGGTTACAGGGAGAAAACCCCATTTGCAGGTTGGGCAATAGGAAGACAATTGATTCAGTTTTAGATGTTAATTATGGGTAGGTCAGTGAAACATCCAAGTGATATTGCATAAGGAGTTGGGCTGGAGACACAAATCTGGGAACTATTATTCTGTTTCTGCCCATGGAAATGCCCAGGAAAGTTTGTACCATGACAGTTGGACCTAGGACAGAATATTAAGATTCTCTGACACTTATAGGAATGTCAGTGGGAGATAAGTCTAAAAAAAACAGCACCAAATTAGGAGGTACAAAAGTTGTTACACTTGTAGGAGAAGAGTTTTTGAAGAAGAGGAAAATGAGGCTTGACTCAACCTTGTCAAATTCTCCTGAGAAGTCAAGAAAGATGAGAACTGAAATTTCGGGGTGCCTGGGTGTCTCAGTTGGTTGGGCGACTGCCTTCGGCTCAGGTCATGATCCTGGAGTCCCAGGATTGAGCCCCGCATTGGGCTCCCTGCTCGGCGGGGAGCCTGCTTCTCCCTCTGACCCTCCCCCTCTCATGCGCTCTCTCTATCTCATTCTCTCTCTCAAATAAATGAATAAAATTTTTGGAAAAAAAAAAAAGAACTGAAATTTCTATAGGGCGGTGACAAGCTGCTGGAAACTTGCAAGAGCAAGGTTAGCACTTTGACTGGGGGCCGAGTAGAGTGCTGTGAGCCAATAGGAGGAGATGGGGTTGTGGACAGTGGCAATCAACAACTCTCCTTTGATGCCAAGCTGGGGAGGAGTGAAAAAATCAGCAGAGGCTGGACCTCAAAGTTGGTTGAAGGGTTTCTTTGGTTTGTGTTTTTGGTTTATTCTGCTTTGATTTTTTGTTAAAAGATGGGTGAGACCTATAGGTGTACAAAAACCAATGACAAGGAGGACTAAAGAAGGGGAGATTTAAGATTCAGGAGAAAGACGATATTCAGAAAAGCAAATTTCTAGAGAAACTGAAGATTTATAAGGTCCTGAGCATTTGTGAGGATTCACCTAAATTAAGAAAAAGAACCCCAACAAAATAAAAAAAACAAAATAAAACAAAACCTCTTTGGTTGCATCAAGGGACTCCAGGATCATGACCTGAGCCGAAGGCAGTCGCCCAACCAACTGGGATGGTGTTATACTGTACATTTTGTCTTTTTGTAAACGATTTCCAACTTGTATGGTGAAGGTTGAGAGAACAGGTGGTGGGTACAAATTTTGATTTCTCTGCATTTTTATGAATCAAAGAAAATATGGTAAACAGTGAAGATTTGAAGTCTGCTGCCAGTTGTCCAACTGTGGGGGAGGGTATAATGGGAAGGTTTGGTGTGTCCATAGTTTGCAGATCTATCATGTTTTATAAGCCTATCTAAACAAAAGTTACATTTCCTGCTTGGGATCTGATGATAATAAATGTCCTATGCCTGTTCATTTTACCATGGCATATAGAGATCTTTTGTCAAAGTCTATAATAGCAATAATGTTTCCAGGATTTGGGTCAATTTTACACAATGGATTTACTTTTAGATTATCCTATCAGCAAATTATGCAGTTTCCTTTACTGACTTGAGGGAAAGATCAATAACCGCTTATAATTCGTATGTTTTTCTTTATAGGTATTCCATTAAAGTTGCTTTACCGCATCCTGTTACTGTACAGGTACGCACGTCCAAACCAGATGCATTCATCAAGCTACAGATCTTAGAAAATGAAGAAATTATTGTCAGTTCCACTGGGAAAGGGCAAGCTATAATCCCAGCAATTAACTTCTTGGGGAGTGAAAAAGTTGTGAGCTCCCAGTGTGAGTATGCCTTTTGCCCTTTTAAATGTGTTATTTAGATCCATAAATAAGTATTTATGTTTAAGTAACTGATTTTAAAATATTTTATTTAAGGTAAAATAGCAAATAAGCATTTACATCTGTAAAACGATATTATTAAAAATATTTTTAAAAACTTGCATTTGTGTGTCAGATTAGTCTCTGAAGATCAACAGATTGTTATAATTCTACTTTAAGGACTTTTTTATTACATGAGCCTTTTTAGAATTCTGAATAAGAAATAACATTTTTTATTATTTTGAAAGAATTTTTCACTGTTCTTTTATCCCTAATTCGTTATTTTTAGAAAATATTCTATTAAAATGAACAGAAACTTTGAAGTCATTACTTTCAATGTAATAGTCACAGGAACTATTAATTAATAAAATAAAATTGTTTCTGAAATAATGGAAAACAGAGATACTGAGATACATATTCAGTTATTTTAGTAACAATTCTGATCATAAAAATAACGCATTGCCCAATGTAGAAAATTTTGAAACAGAAAATTATAAACAAGAGAACAGGAAATCCCTTGTGCTTTTCCTGAATTCTGCCATTATGTTTTTTTAAAAATAATTGATTTTATCTTTTTTTAAAGATTTATTTATTTATCTGGGGAGCCTGGGTGGCTCAGTAAGTTGGGCGTCTGCCTTAGGCTCAGATCATGACCCCAGGGTCCTGGGATCGAGCCCCAAGTTGGGTTCCTTGCTCAGCGGTGGGCCTGCTTCTTCCCCTCCCTCTGCCCCTCCCCACTGCTCATACTCGTAGGAGCTTTCTCTCTGCCCCCTTGAGCTCTCAAATAAGTAAATAAAATCTTCAAATGAATAGAGTCAGACACCGTTTATAGTTTGTCACATAGGTTATCATTAACATTTAAATAATTTTATGAGTTTACTTATGGCAAAGAAAGGGACAGAAATGGAGTAGAAGGGTAATTGGAACAGAATTCAGAAATTAATCCAAAATTACAGCCATTATCCAAGATTTTTCTGCTTTTACAAGATATTTCTAATTTTCACATTTGTATTCCTAGATGACCTTTAGTACAATTTTTTTGAATTCCCTTCAAACCATGTAAAAATCTATCATTTTCTTTCTGACTGCCTTGACTATGTAGATTAATTAATTTAAGGAGAACTGACACCTTTATAATATTGAATTCATATGCATGTAAAGGCTATTTCTTTCCATTTATTCATGACTTTTTTTTATGTTTCACAGAATAGATTTTGTAAGTTTCTCCATAGATACTGGTAGAGCTGTTACTGTGAGTTAGATTATTTCTTGATTTAGATTTCAAACAGGATATCATTTTTAAAGAAATGCTATTAATTTGTATTTATGAATTATGTAAGCAGACATTGGAATTCCTTTTTCTTTCTCAGCATTTTTCAGCTGCTTTTCTTAGAAACATATTCACTTATGAATTCTTTACAACCTGTATTTCTGGAGTACCCCCACCAAAAGTACATGCAAAAAAAAATATGTGTGTGTGTGTATGTGCACATAATATTTGTAGGAGAATAGGACATGGCAGACTATGATATTTATTCTGTAAGCAAACATTCTATTGTATGAAAGAAGAAATAAACTCCATTGCAAAGATGTAGAAGACTCTGAAGTGACCCAGTAACAAAATCCTAAATACAGGCCTCTTCGGGTTTCGTTTTCTCTCATGGGAATTTGAAAGAATGTCAATATATTTCATATAATTTCTAAGAATAAAATCTTGCAAGTACCAGTATACCAGGACTAATATCAAATTTGGAATTTTCCTCAGATTTTACAATCTAAGAGATTGGGTCTTTGAGGAAGTACTACAGACTAGGGATAGTAAAATATTTTATTTCATATGGCTGTATAAGGCTCAATTTTGTTTATGATATACTATAATTAATGTAGTCAGTCTCCTAGTGATTGTGATTTGTGATAACTTTAATCTTATATTTACACAAAGAATGCTGAGGTTATTTTTTTAACCCATGTATATAATTTTATGAACTTGTATATGCATATATATTGGATAAATGCTTAGATGTAGAACTCTGGGGTCAGGGGAACCTACAGTTTAATTTTTGTATATATTGTCAAATTGTCCTCCATGGAGTTTGTGTAAACTTACCTTATTTTATCCTTTATTCTAAGTTATCATACGCTTGATTTTTGTCAATGTGACTGCTAAAAATATTAATTTATATTACACTTAGAGTTAGTGAAGTTCAAGCATGTATGATTTTATATATCTTATTTATCTTCCTTTTATATTTTCTTCTTTGTAAATTTTTCTGTGTCGTATGCCTATTTTTCTATTGGAACTAGCTGGGTTTGTTTTTTTTTTTTTTCTGAGTGATTTGTAGATTCTCATATATGAAGGAAAATTTTCTCCTTTTTCATATGTGGTTGAATGATGGTTTGAATGAATGACTTAATATCTGAAGGAAGTAATGAAGGAATTACTTCACAAGGGTAGAGACTTTGTGTCATTCATTCTTAGCTGTTAATCAAAGTATAATTTATGTCGAGCAAAAGGCACAAACCTAATCTGATAAATTTGGTAAGGGCATACGCTAGTGTGACCCACACCTCTAAGAAGATAGAGATATTTCTATTACCCACAAAGATCTCTCAAGGCCATTTCTATTCAGTTCTCCCCTCCCCAAAGAGGCAACCACTGTTCAGATTTTCAACACAGTAGACTAATTTTACCTGTTCTAGAACTTCATGAAACCATACAAATACTCTTTTGGCATTGGTATCTTCAGCTTAGGATAATGTTTTTAAGGTACATTCCTGTTGTTGCTACTGCATTTCTTTTTTTTTTTTTTTAAGATTTTATTTATTTATTTGACAGAGAGAGACACAGCGAGAGAGGGAACACAAGCAATGACTGAGCCACCCAGGCGCCCCTGCATTTCTTTTTATATTGTGGAGTATTATCCCATCGTATGGGTATACTACACTTTATTTATTTATTCTCTTTTGAACATATGCGTTTATTCCAGTTTTAGGATATGATAACTAAAGCTCCTAGAGACATACATGTATAAGTTTTTTTTTAAACAATGTTTTCATTTTTCTTGAATCAATATTCAGGAGTTGAATTAATGTGCCATGGCTTGACATATGTATATTTTATCTTTTTTAACTTGGCAAAAAAAATTTATCAAAGAGACTGTATCATTTACACTCCCATCAGCAAAGTATACGAGTTCCGGTTTCTCCATATTTTTGCCAACATTTATTGCCAATGTTTTTTATTTTAGTCATTCTGGTGGGTATGTAGTGCTATTTTTTTTGTGGTTTAAATTTGCTAATGATGTTGAGCTTATTGGCCATATGTATAACTCATTGAATGAAGTGTCTATTCATACATTAAGGCCATATTTTTAATGGGTTGTCTTTTTTTATATATACTGGAAACACATCTTCATCAAATATTTGCTTTGCAAATATGATCTCTTGTCTTTTTACTTCCTTAGCAATAAATTTTTAAAAAAGATTTTATTTATTTATTTGAGATAGAGTGAATGCAAGCGATAGAGAGAAAGAGATTGAGAGCACGAGTGGGGGCAGGGGCAAAGGGAGAGGGAGACGCAGGCTCCCCACTGAGCAGGGAGCCTCATGAGGGGCTCAATCCCAGGACTCTAGGATCATGACTTGAGCTGAAGGCAGACGCTTAACCGACTGAGCTTCCTGGCGCCCCAGCAATAACTTTTTAAGAGCTTTTAATTTTGATGAAGTCAGTCATCATTTAGAAAAAATTACTAGTGCTATTTGTGTATTATCTAAGAAATCGTTCCTTAATCCAAGGTCATGGATATTACATGTCATATTTTATCCTATACATTTAATAATCTTAGCATCTATGTTTAGTTTTATAACCCATCTCGAATGTTTGTATATAATGTAAGGTAGAGGATCAAGGTTCTCGTTCTTTTTTTTGATGTTTTAACAGTTTATTTTGAAGGTCATTTTAAAAACAAAGTTAAAAACAATCTGAGAAAAAATTGCACAGAATATACTCATTAAATAAGTATGGTGATTAAATCAAAATAAGGGATATATGTTTTCTTCTGCAATTCTGGAAATAAGTTCTGTTGTCCTGAAGGTTCTTATACTTCCAAAAAGGGGGAAAAATCATGGCAATTAAAGCTGCCTCTTAATTATGTAAATCTACAGTAGAAACTGAATTTTTCTGTTCCTCCCAATAAGTCAGTTTCGATCTCCAAACTGTGCCTTGTTTTTAAGGTTCTGGTTCTTTTTATTCCCATATGGCCATCCAGTTGTTCTGACACTTTATGTTGGAAAGCCATTATTTTGCACATTGAATTCCCTTGACACTTTTGTAAAAAAATCAGTTGACTATGTGTGCATGGGTCTATTTTGGAGCTCTATTTTGATCAATTGATATTCAATCAGCCAATAGTCACTCTTAGTCCAACACCACCTTTCCTTGAAAATTGTAGCTTTAGATTTTGATTGGGATTGTATTGAACCTGGGGAAAATGGCATCTTAACAAACTGAGTTTGCTGGTCGCATGAACAGAGTATATCTCTCAACCTATTTTAGTGTTTAATTTCTCTCAACAGTGTCCTATACTTTCAATGTACTGACTTTACACATCCTTTCTTAAGTTCATACCTAAATGTTTTCTTAGTAGTGCCACGTAGGACTAAGAAGGCATGTACTTTAGATCCCTTGATATCTGTGTTAATTTTCTAGGGCTGCTGTAACAAATTACCCCAAAGTGGGTGGCTTAAACCAACAAAAATTCATTCTCTTATGGTTCTGGAAGTCAAAGGCCCAAAATTAAGGTGTTGTCAAGGCCACACTCCCATCAAAGTTTCTACAAGAGAATCCTCCTTTACCTCTTCCAGTTTTTGATGGCTCTTGGCATTTCTTGGCTTGTGATGGCACAATTTTGGCAATCTCTGCCTCTGTCTTCACATAGCCTTCTTCTTTCTGTGTGGCTCTGTGTCATCCCCTTTTCATTCTCTTTTAAGGACACCCATCATTAGATTTAGGGCCCACGCTAATCCAGGTTGATCTCACCTGGGGACCCTTACCTTAATCACAGCTGCAAATACCCTTCTGTCGAATAAGGTCACATTCTGGATAGACCTACCTCTTTGGGTGGATCACTATTCCACCCACTACAATATAATACCAGGGGCAGTTAGCCTCTATTCATTTTTTTTCACTCTGTGCTTCTATTTCGATCATTTTGATTGCTTATCTTCAAGTTTACTAATCTTTTCTTCTGATTTGAATATGTGCTTTTAAAGTCCATCCAGGAATGGGGCACCTGGGTCACTCAGTCAGTTAAGCATCTGCCTTCGGCTCAGGTCATGATGCCAGGACCCTGGGATCGAGCCCCACATCTGGCTCCCTGTTCAGCAGAGAGCCTGCTTCTCCCTTTCCTTCTGATGCTCCCCCTGCTTGTGCTCTTGTGCTTTCTTTGTCAAATAAATAAATAAAATATTAAAAAAAAATAAAGTCCATTCAGGAATGTGTCATTCCAGATATAGCCCAACCTTGAATTTCATTTTGATTCTCTGTTCCATTTTTCTGTTGATATTCACCATTTATTCTTTCATTATGTTGATCTTTTCTCTTAAATCCTTAAACACATTTCTAATAGCTATTTTAAAGTTTTTGTTTGGTAAAGTTTTTTTTTTTTATTACTAACTTTAACATCTGTGTCAGCTATGCCATTATTTCTATTGACTTTTTTCTCAAATGATGTTCATATTTTTTGCTTCTTCACATATCAGAATGATTGTGTACTACATACAGTACATGCTACATTGCTAAGAGTCAAGCTTATGCTCTCTTCATTGAAAGAGTTTTGAATTTTGTTCTAGTAAGCAGTTTATTGACAGCTTAGTTTAATCCTCTCAAGACTTGGTTCTAAGCTTTCTTAAATTGGGTCTAGAGCTTCCATTACTCTAGGGTTAGCATTGTACTACCCTTAAAGAATAGCCTTTCTTGAGTCTCAACTGATGCCCTGTATGTTCATTAAATTTCCATACTTCGGCAGAACTTCAATGTCTTTCAACACTGTACAAACTTCAGAATCTCCATTAAGCTCACAATCTCCTGGGAGTTGTCTGCCAGGCACCATTAGATGTTTGTACAAATAAAGTTTAGAATTCAATTAAAGACCCAAGTGGACCACTATACATATTTCTGGGCTCAGTACTTGCCCCTGGCACCCTGCCTCACAAATTTTAGTTGTCTCAGGAGCTTCAAACTACAGTCTTGCTACCTGAACCTGACAACACTGTTGTTTACTGTTTGGACTCTCCTTCCCTGTGTCACAATCGAGATGGTGCTCACAGGCAGAAATCTGCGGAAGTGGACAGATCTTCTTGTATGTTTCCTTTCTTTCAAGAATTACGGCCCTGGGCTGTGCATTGTTTAATGCCTGAAAACAGTGGCTTCATACATTTTATCTAATTTTTTTTTTTTTTCGTGGCTTTGAGTAAATCCAATGCCATTATTTTTTCATGGCTAGAACTGGAATTTCTCTCTGTCGTTCACTTATGTTCTCTCAATATATGTTTGATCAATTAATAACATTGGGCACATTTCTATTTTTATCCCTCCAAATGGTAGTTTTATTATCTTTTAATTACAGAAGAATGAATAGAGAAGTTAAAAATAAAATGAAAGTCTTACATAAATGTAATAACATACACACAATAGTGTATAAACCCTGAAGAAGTCATAGTATATGATATTAGTTTAGTGTCATTCAATGACACAAAATGAATGAAAAATTGTTGAATTGTACATTCTTTTAGCAATCAGTGGTTTCTCAGAATATGCATTGCTCTATGCAAGTCACAGGCTATTATGTAAGTTTCTTTAAGACCAGAATATCTCCCAGAAGCTAGTGATATTGCTTTTTATCTCATTAAAACAAAACAAACTGACCTGTTCCTTTGAGTGTCTTATAAAAGGATATACCTAAAGAACACAGTCCATCGTAACTATGCATTTCACACAGTTTAATGTAAGTGTAATAAATTTCTCCTTTTCAGCTAGCAAACAAATTCTTTTAATGCATGCTTCATCCAAGAAAGAGCAAGAATTGTACATCAAGAAGAAATCTGCGCAGGGAAGTCAGAAATCCTATAAGGGTAGACCTGCAAGTGCAGCCGTAGACACTGGGCAGCCCATTATGGAGGAGGAAACTGCCAGTATGCCCACCATAGAAGAAAATGCTAGCACTCCACAGCAGGTACATTTATGTTTAAGAGAACCCTCAATGAATGGTATTACTCCTAAAAATCTAACAAAAATAACGATGATTCTTTTCCTAAGCATTGACATGCTATATGATACTTTCTGTCTGCAATACCACAAGTGTATAACAGGATCAAGGGATTGAGCGTTATTTAATAGTTTCTCTGTGCCAAGATGTTAAAATATATGGCAAGTTTAATGTGTATACTAACCCTATAATGTAGATGTAAATATCTTATGTTTACACGAGTTACGAGGCTCTATAATTATTAAAAAGATCACATATTAACAAAACTAATTTATACAAACCTTAGGTTAAATATATACATGTATATGTAAAATAAGGGACAATTCATGTCATTTCAGAAAAGAAACATGATGTATTCATCAGAAACAAAACAAACAAATAAATAAAAAGAAATAAAAATAAAGGACCAGAAATAAATCCTAAATGACTAATGACAATAAGCACAAATGAATTATTAATCAATTAAAAGAATAAAAAACTAAAGTTAGATTAAAAAGTAAGATTCAACTATAAGTAACCTGAAAGTGACACCTTTAAACAAAATGGCATCGAAAGTTTAAAGTTGGACTGAGAACTGTGAGAAATGTCTCCGTGCATAGAATTCATGAAGGATATTGTGTAAAAATAAAAGGAAGAATATAACAAGTAAATATGACCATAACCTAACTGTCCAGACTCAATGAATAAAAAGCAAAAGTTGTTTAGAACTACAGAGAAAAATAAAGTTAGTTAATAGTTGAACACTTTAATGCACAGCGCTCAGAAATCAATAGATCAAGCTGAAAAAACACATATTACTAGGGTTTGAAAAATTTAAATGTAAGCTTAATTTTTTAGATATTTATATAGAACACTTTACCTAATATGTTGAGAATATACTTTTTCATAGCACACATGCAAAGCCTCAATAAAAACCAAACTATATTTTACAGATGTTATCTGAACATAATGTAATTATATAGAAATTAGTAAATAACAGCCTAAAATCCCATAAATGTGGAAGCTAAAGAAAATATGCCAAATAGTTCTTTAGTTACAAAGAACATTAAAAAAAAGAAATCATGAATACAAAGAATTCGGTAACAACTAAAAAATACAAATCAAAATTTGTAACCACATCTAAAGTAGCATTCAGTGGAATGTTGACTTTCAAATTATTTCATCAGGAAGTATGAATGATTAAAAACAAATGAGCTAAGCTATTGAAACAAAATGTTAGAAAAAGGGCAAAATAATAACTCAAAGAAAAAAGAAGAAAAAGTTTTAATAAAAGTAAAGGTAGAAATTAATAAAACAGGGAACAAAATTTAGCAAAGTTCATGAACCCTAAACTTTTTTACGATCAATACGTGGGCATGCTTCTTGTAAGACCAGCTAAGAAAGAAAAAAAAAAAAGAAAATGTAAATAAATCAAATACAGAACAACAACAACAACAAAATAGGGTGGAGGTATAAATGCAAGCAACAGGTTTTTTTTTTTAAAAAATTAAACTATTAAACACAACTCTATGCTAGTGAATTTAAGACTTAAGGGAAAGAAGACATAACAAATGCCGGGGGTGGGAGAGGACTGACAAAGCTGCTTCAGTAGAAGATAGGAAATATGAAATAATAATAATAATAATAAAGAATAATAACACTTAAATGGTAATCAAAATTTTACCTTTCCAAAAGTCATAGGCTCAGCTGACTTCACAGAATAACTCTAACAGACCTTCAAGGGATAAGTTGTTCTAGAAAACAGAAAGACAACACAAACTTCCCAATCCTTTTTAATGTAATCCTGATCCCAAAACTGATGAGTAACAAAAATAAAATTAATAAGTTTCATTTTTAAACACGGATGCAAAAATTAATAAACAATAGACTATCTAATTGCAGGTGTTGGTGGGGATGTGAAGATAAATTTTATAGACTGTGATATTGCAACATTTTGGAGAACATCTGATAGTACTTGACCAAATTATGATTGTGTGATACAGAAAATTATGCATTTATTATGTGCTTACTGGGCAAATACTACATTTATTCTTATTGTTTGTGATTAAACCCTGCATTTTATTTCACAGGTCAACAAGTATATTATACAGTGTTTGGTATTGTATAACAGTTGGCCTCTCACTGAAAGTCAGCAGACATTTGTTCAAGCACTAAAAGAATTGGAGAAAAATGATAGTAAAGGTATGTCCTCCTAAATGTTAGTCATACACCTTATATTTTACATAAAAATTTAATAGCAAATTAATCATGTCAGTATTAAAACATTATTGCTTACAATTCGCATTTCATATCCAGTGTCATTTTCTGTTTTGTTAATTGATTATGTTTCAGAATCTTTACTTGCTTGGTTTGTAAGAACCAAAAATATATGATTGTTTAGGCCTGGTTTAAACATGTTTTGTCTGGTAAGTAAAAATTACTTGATGATTATCTAAGAAGTGTGCAGAAAACTTTTCTGTTATAAAATTATATTTGTCTAAGTTGTTGAAATAGTATAACCCTGAAGGTTAGTTCTTAAAATATTTAAGAGAAGGAGAATCTCCAAGTGAAAGAGGCTTCAGGTTTATTTTTTCAAATATAAGCTACTCTCAAAATTCCTGAGCAGGGAGTTTGATGCATTAGAAAAAATATTCGCAAAGTGGACCCATGTAGCTCAAACCCATATTGTTCAGGTTGCCTGGGTGGCTCAGCTGGTTAAGGGTCTGCCTTCCGTTCAGGTCATCCGGCTCCTTGCTCAGCGGGGAGCCTGCTTCTCCCTCCTCTTGTGCTCCCCCTGCTTGTGTGCATGCTCTCTCTTTCCCTGACAAATAAATAAATAAAATCTAAAAAACCCCAAACAAACAAACCCATATTGTTCAAGGGTCAACAGTATTTCCTACAAGAACACAATACCATTAAGGGCAGGGAGTTCCATGAATTCTTGCCTGTTCAATCTTGCATTATCCATAGTGCGGATGATGCACATGGTAAGTACTCCATGATATTTATCGAATAAGTGAAAGAAAGGAGACATCTAAGCTACTCTTATTATTATTATTGCCCTTTTCACTAATTGTCAAAAACCCTGATCATGCATTTTCTTGTTTATACTAACTGCATGAACCTGTTCATTTAAAGGCTTGACGGAGGTTTGTTCATCACCAAAGTTAAGAGAAAGCTACTATTATTGAACTAAACCTTTGTAAGAAGGGGCAGATTCTGGGGCGGGACATAAAATCCAAAGAAAAATTATAAAACTGATGACACCGAGAGTCCCCATTTCCTTTCCAGTGTATTGTGTGAGTCCATAGAACACGTGCTCTATGGGAATCTTGAACTTGTCTGCCTCCCCACAGCCCCTCTTGTGCTGGGAAAGGGACTCTGCCTCAGTCTCATCATTGCATCTCTAGAACCAGATAGAAGCTGTTCATAAATGTTTATTGAACAAATGCATGAGCATGCTATGCCAGGAACAGCAGGAGTGTTTAAGTTCTAATGGCATCCTGGCCTGGGGTCTTGAAAAGATTCTGGGCTGTTTTGGGGTCGCAAGAAAGTGTTGTGATCTTTTATCATATGATATGAAAAAATGGCATATGGAAGCCGAAAACCCCTTTAAATTAGTCATTATCTCCACTTTCTCTATAGTCCAAACCAAATCTCATAGTTATACTGTGCTAAAAAAAAATCTAGATATTTTTCCGGTATAAATCAGTGGAAATCTGCTTGAAATAATGGATGGTGCAAATTACCGGGTGATTTTGTGTCCCCCTCCTGTAAAGAAGTAGAGAGTATGTGCTTAATATGAATTGGATTAAATATTTTATGCTAAAGGTCTATGTGCAAATAAAATATGCATAATTATAAAAATAAATCAAAATAATAGAGAAGCAGCACTGTTTTGTGTGGACATATGTGTATGATGTATGCTCAACGAAGATATTTTTTTTTTCAAGGAAAATGTATAGTACTACAAGATTTTACAATACTGTTCTGGGTATCAGGGATTTTAATAGATCAGAGAGTGAGAATAAGATCCTAGGTTTTTGTTTTGTTTTGTTTTTGCCTGTGTAGTTCTTTCATGAGCTGTCTGTAGCTCTTTATACTTCTGATTTCTATATTAGAATATTCTGTTATGCCTCTCTCGAAAAGCTCAAAATAGTGATGCTGTTGTTGTTTATAGCAATGATCAGTGTAAACTCAGATCCATATGACAGGGAATAAATAATCCCAGTTTAAATCATGAAAAGGAAACAACAGAAACAATCTTTCTAAATTCAGGTGGGGATTTTGTTCATGGGGAACACGTGTTTCTGAATAATGTTCCAGCAAGATAGAAGAAGGCACGCTGATAAAGGAGATATTTGTGAAAACATTTAAGCTGTTCCAGAAACATAGCACCACATTGAACAATGCTGTTAGAATAGTGAATGAGGTGCTTTCTTTCCAACTCTCTGAGGTGAACTTCTAACGTCTAAAAAGGTTCAAAATACCTTCAAATACCCTCAAGTCTAGTCAAATGCAGGTTTTTAAAATTTCTGTGTGTATTTTCTTCAATAATTAGAAATTTGTTCCCAGTATACGTAAGTTGTGTGAATTATGTAAACTTACATAAACTGGGGATAATGACACTTTGAAGTGGAGACGAGCTGGTGGGGGGTGGTGGGTTTTGAATAGTTCATATGATAAAGTCCTGAAGAATACCAAGCCCGGGAAGTGAACCGTTGCTTTGGAAGTGAAAGTGGCAAGAAGATTGTGTGAAAAAATGAAGAGTATGTATCAATACTTTGAAGCGGTTATGTCTCGTTTATATTTTTTAGTATCTAAAGACAAAATTTAATTTAAAATTAAAAATGTGTAATTCAGAAGTTTTAAATGAGCACTTACTATTTTAGTCAAAACAAAACAAAGCAAACTGAAAAGAATGTAATTGTATTTTGTAAGCAAAAAGAAAACACTGGAGAGATCTAGAAGTTTGGTTATTATGATTCTGATTTTTTTTTTTTTAGTGCCATTATGGGCCTCTTATTGTACTGTGTACTTTTCATATATTATCCTCAATTCTCATGAAAAAATCTGAGAGGTAGTTATTACCATCCTGATTTTACACATGAGAAAAATGAAGCTTAGATGCTGTAAATGATTTGCCTACATTTACACAGCTGGAAGAAGCAGGGTAAAGATTTTCATCTACGTCTGACTAATTTCAAAGCCCAGAACCTTTCCACTATACCATTTTGTCCTGTAGGGACTTTCTAACTAGTTGCATTGACAGAGTACTAATGGTCATAGTGTTTGCAGTTGCTGACATTTATGGTGGAGGCTTTGTGAAGGCTTTATGTATCTTGACCCAAGGAATCGTCACGATAAACCTATGAGGTGGATGCTGTGACTATTAGCATTTTACATATGAGAACACGGAGGCACACACTGTTTAAGGAACTTGCCCATGGTCACACAGCTAGTTATCGGCACAGCTAGGATTTTGAGTGGGAGTTAATTATCCAGTAAGGGTTTTTGGATGGAAATAATAATAACATATGGTAGTACCAATTTCAGATATTTATTGTGTCCTCAATAAATGTCTTTATTTAGGGAACTGTCTATATTTCTTTACTGAACATACAAGTTTGCATAAAGGGTCTTAGCATGGTTTTCCTGAAGATCGTTTAAGTTTCTCAACTTTAACACAGATGGAGTTCCAGCAAACAAACCAATATGAAAAACTATCATATTTAATATATTAATGGATAAATGTTAAAATTCCAGAGGAAACTAAAAAATTAGTATCTAAAATAAACACAGTAGTAGAATTCATGAAATAGCATAATGTGAAGTATAGAGTTGGGTAATGGTACAAAATTAATAGTATAAGTTTTTTTTTTAAGTTAACATTTATTTATTTATTTTTATTTTTTAAGATTTTATTTATTTATTTGACAGAGAGAGACACAGCGAGAGAGGGAACACAAGCAGGGGGAGTGGGAGAGGGAAAAGCAGGCTCCCCGCAGAGCAGGGAGCCCGATGCGGGGCTCAATCCCAGAACCCTGGGATCATGACCTGAGCCGAAGGCAGTCGCTTCACCAACTGAGCCACCCAGGCGCCCCTAAGTTAACATTTATTAAACTTATGGTGGTGATCATTTTGCAATATGTACAAATATTGAATTATTAAGTTGTCTACTTGAAACTAATGCAGTGCTTTATTTCAGTTATACCTCAATAAAAAAATAAAAAAAAAAAGGAAAAGAAAAGGAAGTTACTATTAAGTGCAGAAATATAGCATAGCAACTAAAATGCCTTAGGCTATCTGAAACTGGGTTATTTTTCACCTGAGAAATTAGAATAATAACTCCTATCTTTCAAGGTTGTTGTGAAGTTTCAAGATAATGTATGTAAGGTTCCTAGAACCTAGGAGTCCTCACAAAAATGGTATTCTCATTATTATGTACCCAACTGGAAAAGAAGTCTCTCAGAATAATTGCATCTTCTTTTTTTTGACATCATATTTGACAACTTTAGGTGTGAATGAGCAGCTACTAAAATTAAATTACATGTTGCATTGTATCATACATTTGCTGCTGAAAGCAGCCAGCAAATAAATTCAGAATTTAATTGTATTTAAAACGAACTAGGAAATTTTTTTCTATTTGAAAGCATATGTTGGCCAGTCTTATGAAAGTTATGCAGCTTTTTAATTCAGAATAATCAGTATCATGTTTATAAATGTGGACTTTTAGGCAGCCAGTTTGTTTAAATGAAAACATATCGATATGTCAACGTATATGTGTCAATTATATTTACAACTCAAGACCTACAAACTTCAATTTAAAGGGTATGATGTATTTTACCTTATTTTTTTAAAGATTTTTTTATTTATTAAAGAGAGAGAGAACGAGCAAGAGAGAGAGCACAAGCTGGGGGGTTGGGGGGGTGGAGAGGCAGAGGGAGAAGCAGGCTTCCCACTGAGCAGGGAGCCTGATGCGGGGCTGGATCCCAGGACTCTGGGATCATGACCTGAGCTGAAGGCAGCTGCTTAACTGACTGAGCCACCCAGGCGCCCCAGGTATGACGTATTTTAGAAAAATTGTTACTAATATCTTCAAAAATTTTTTAAAAGATTATTTGTTTATTTGGGAGAGGGAGAGTGTGAAAGAGAGAGAGCACAAGCTGGGGGGCTGGGGGGAGGCAGAGGGCTCAATCCCAGGACCCTGGGATCATGACCCAAGCCAAAGGCAGATGCCTAACTGACTGAGATACCCAGGTGCACCCACCCTAATGTCTTCAGTTATTAACTTAGCTTATTTTTTCAATTATAAATACTTTAGATCAAGAAGAAGTTAATCAAGTGGTTTTTTCATTAGTATATTGGTATCCTAATTTAAAATTTTATGTACATCCTGAATTCAATAGAAATATCACCACATTTACTCATTTAAATTCAACTTTTAATTTCTATGAGAAATAAAATATATAATTGTTTTCTAAAAATTCACATCTTTATAACCCATAATAAAAAGTAAGGTCTGACATATAACTATGTTCAACTCAGAATATTTTGGTTATAAATTTTTAGGAAGCTTGTCCACTAGTTAACATGAGACAACAGTGCCACCTTTAGTATATTTTAACACCTAAGTTTTAGTAAAAATTGCTTGCTGAGACAGGTGGCTTTTTCTTAAGGAAATAGAAATTGGAGGATCTAGAGCAGGTAACACTTTGTGATATCATCTACTTTCATATATAATTAGTTGTGTTGTTATTTTAACCTCTTTTTGCCAGTATGTTACATTTTTACGTTACTGGCCTGCACCTTTCAGGTTCTAGTCTATTTGCAAAGACACATATGAACTTTGTTTATCATTCTCAGAAGTCTTTGTTTTCAAGTCCCACCCAATTTTATTTATTTATTTATTTATTTGTAAAGATTTTATTTTATTTTATTTTGACAGAGAGAGAAACAGCGAGAGAGGTAACACAAGCAGGGGGAGTGGGAGAGAGAGAAGCAGGCTCTCCGTGGAGGAGGGAGCCCGAAGTGGGGCTCGATCCTAGGACCCTGGGATCATGACCTGAGCTGAAGGCAGATGCTTAAAGACTGAGCCACCCAGGCGCCCAAGTCCCACCCGATTTTGTTAGCAGGACTATACCACTATTTTCTTAACTCTAATTAATAATATATTGTTCTTTCTTAGGCACAATGTATGCATGGTGTTTCCAATTCAAGGTCTTTGAAGAAACCAAACATGATGAGATTATCTATCTATCATCTATCTATCATCTATCATCTAAAGATTTTCCTGTTTACATTTACCAAGTACAATCACACTTGGTAAATGTGTACCTTATCCTGAGCAAGTATGCTAGTTTAGAAATTATGTTAATGTTCAAATCCCAGCCAGTTTTTAGTTCCTGGATACATAAATCTAAACCCTGAATTTTAATCATAAAAAATACGTTTCTGTAATTTTTATGTCTTATTATCCACTGAAGATTTCTGTCTACTGTACTCTGCATAAATATAAGGTAATGTAAGACTAAAGTCATAATGCTAAAGGTCTTTTCAAGTTCATTTCATCAATAGATACTGCCTGAGCATTTCTTCTCTGCAAGGGCTATATTAGTTTATTTCAGTGGTCATTTACTCTAGAATTCTTCTAATTACATGAATATACAATGTGAGGTCATGTTTTTCACAGGTTCTGAATTAGTAGGATTTTATTCTTACACCTTATTGATATATATGCTCTCAACTCATACAGTTTCCTTATAAAGTTTTACAATCTGATCATGAATACACACTATGAGTTTGGAATTATACTAGGTGAAATTAGGGATCAAAATGAGGTATATAATGATGTTCTGGCCTTTAGAGAACTTGCAATTCCTGGGAGAGAAAGTTACTATACTGTATGCCATTGAAGAATAGGCAGATTATTTTATTATTTTATTTTATATATTCATAATGTAAAGGAAGCGGGTGGTGTGGTCTCTGCTATCTGCCTGACACTGTACTGTGTGCTCCCAGAAGTAAACTTGAATATTAGAATATGTTAATTTGAAGGGACTCAAAGACACCTACATAATGATTCAAGCTCTAAGACCTACGGGTAATAAGAAAAAGAGAGCCCCAGAAATACTTATTGGGGCAGTTTGAGATTCAATTTCAGCTGACATTTGTTAATATCTTAAAAACCCAGTGTGTATGATACCAGGTACAATCCTATTTTAAATGCCCCATATAGTTTATTTGTAAGCCCCCTGGGCATGGTATTAACATCTCCATTATACAGAGAAGAAAACAAAATCAAAAGAATGTAATAAACCTGCCAAAGTGAACCTATTCAGTGGCTAATCCAAGATGCACTCCAAGTCATTTGATTATACGACCAAAGAATTTTCCCTAGCGCAACACTACTCAGCAACCGAAATTGTTGGCAGAAAGACAAGTTGCCCCCTTGTAAAGTTGTGGTACTTACAGTCCCTTTGCAGTCATGCAGGATGATCTGCCCTAATCTGTAAGTAGCTAGTAACTGGCACTAAGCCATCAATAAGAACTGCTTCTTTTTTTTTTTTTTTAAGATTTTATTTATTTATTTGAGAGAGAGAGAATGAGAGAGAGAGAACACATGAGAGGGGATAGGGTCAGAGGACGAAGCAGACTCCCTGCCGAGCAGGGAGCCCGATGTGGGACCCGATCCCGGGACTCCAGGATCATGACCTGAGCCGAAGGCAGTCGCTTAACCAACTGAGCCACCCAGGCACCCATGAAGTGCTTCTTTTTTTTTTAACTATTTATTTATTTTTAAATTTAAATTCATTAATTAACATAGAGTGTATTATTAGTTTCAGAGGTAGAGTTCAGTGATTCATCAGTCTTATATTATACCCAGTGCTCATTACATCACATGCCCTCCTTAATGCCCATCACTCAGTTACCCCATTGCCCCACCCCCCAGAGATAATTATTTAATGTTCATTCATTTCTTTCTAACCACAGTACCAAAACAAGACACAAAAAGATTTGGCATGTCAATCTCTGGCAGACAAAAGGCTAGTGAAATTATGAAACAATCATCCCATGTTGCTAAAAAATTGTAAAACAGCATTTAATCTTATGGTTGCTAAATTCACTGATTCTTGACAATTACTATTTACTTTGCTAATGGGATGACTTACAGATTCCAGTTTCGAAAGGGGCTGACATGTCCTTTGAATTCATGTTTGAATGCTAATTCAACCCCCAACAGTTGGGGGAATATCAGCAAATTCTTGAATCTGCCCTGTTGGGGTGCTTTGAGAATTAAAAAAAAAAAAAAGAAAGAAACAGTAGGGATTCAACAAATGTTATCTGTTCCTCTGCCTCTTGGATATGTAGTTGTTTGAAAGAATGAATAGAACATAAGGCAAAAAACCCTTCACATCCTCCTTCAAGCAAGCAGAGGGAAGAGAATAACACATATTATAGCAGAGATAAACAAATTCAGTACTGTAGTGGAGATCCTGGCCAAGGAAATTAAGCAAAAAAAAAATGTACTGAAAGCATCCAGGCTGGAAGCAAATTAGATAGTGATAATTTTTGCATAATCTTACAAATATGTCAAACCTACTGACTTCTACACTTCAATGGTGTGTGGTATGTGGATTATCTCTCAATTTTGTAAAAGAGAGTCACACAGATCTTTATAAAATATTTTTTACAAAAAAGAAAAGAAATCCAAACCTCTTAAACTAACAACTTTTATCCTGACTTGCTCTCCTTTTCCTGCTTGCCATGATTTTATTGTTATGATTCACTGGTTTCCATTTTTATGTCTCGCTAGCTCATGGAGAGAAACATGAGGAATTAGTTACTTTGGGAAGCCCAGATTCTCATACTATCAGTGAGGGGCAAAAATCTTCAGGAACTTCCAAAACAACAAGAAAAGGCAAAGAAAAGTCTTTGGAGAAAGACAAGACAGCCAAAGAAAAACAAGCCCCTCGCTTTGAGCCTCAGGTGGGTGCGGTACTTTTTCTTATTGGAGTCATTTAATAAATGTACATTCATTGGATCTCCACTTGTCTATCTCTCCTGAGGACAAAACTGAAAAATTCCATCTCCTTGATTCTAGCAACCATCTAGATAACCTTAAGGACATTCCTTGGACACCTTCTGCAATCTGCTTTTCCTAGTTTAGTATCAAAATCACTAATCAAACTTTTAAGACACATATGTCTGTAAGACACTGCTTTGGGGACTTGGTTGTCTTCTTCCTTTTTTGTTTTTTTGGTTTTTTTTTTAAGATTTTATCTACTAGGCAGAGAGAGCGCACAGGCAGAAGGAGAAGCAGGTAGAGGGAGAAGCAGACCCCCTGCTGAGCAGGGAGCCAGATGTGGGACTTGATCCCAGGACCCTGGGATCATGACCTGAGCCGAAGGCAGACGCTTAACTGATTGAGCCACCCAGGCATCCCTGGGCCTTGAGCTTCTAATAATAATATTATACAGTCCCTACCTTCAAAGAACTTGTAGTCTAATGGAGGAGACTGAAGGTACACAGAGAGTTTTAATGTTAGATATTGCATGTGAAGTGGTGGGAAGAAGAGATACTTATTCTAACTTCTTTCTCTTAGAGGAGCCAAATCCAGACCTGAGTCAATGAGCAAAGACATTGTAAGGTGAAAATGAACACAATCGCTGTGTTTTGTTTTTCTGGGTTTTTGTTTGTTTTGTTTTGTTTGTCATTTTTTGTTTCGTTTTTCTTCTAGCATTAAAGTATGAGAGATGGGGCTGGAGGGTTAAGTAAGGGTCAGAAGGAGGAGGGCCTTTAAGTCTCATTAGGAGGCTGGGACTCTATCTACAGCCCAGAGGTCAAGATTCCAAATTCCCTCAGGGCCAGTTAGGTAATTACAATGATTAGGGGTAAGGAAGAGGATGTGGGGGCAAGAGTTGAGGAGTGCAAGCATAGGCCTAAAGATACTCAAATTCAGATTATTTAAAAACACTGAACTCAAAATACCTATGAGGACAAAATCTTCCCAACACTAGCTACAATTTACAATCCAAATGCTGCCTTTTATTGTAATATCTAAATGGATGCAGAAAAAGAGAAGTTTCTCTGTCAAGGGATTATTACATTTGAAAGGACCAGATGCAGTTTTCTATTTAAAATTAGGTTATTCTGGGGCATCTGGGTGGCTAGATGATTAAGTGTCTGCCTTCAGCTCAGGTCATGATCTCCAGGTCTTGGGATAGAGCCCCATATCCCACATCGGGATCCTGGCTGTCTCAGCAGGGAATCTGCTTCTCCCTCTCCCTCTCCCTCTGCCTGTCCCTCTGCTTGTGTGCTCTCTCTGTCTCTCTCTCTCTTAAATGAATAAATAAAATCTTTAGAAAAAAATAAAATTAAGTTATTTTAACATTGGCTAAAAAACACAGGTGAAGTGGTTTCAATCAACCACTTTGTTTCCCTTGAAACTTTAAGATAATGCTGTGTTTTCTAGATGTAGCTCTGGTTTATCATGTAGTGTTATTAAATCAAGTATTTGAATGCACCGAGAAAATATTCTTATCATCAACAAAATAAACTATAGAAATTTAAAACAAATAAGCTTAACTCAATCCATAAACTCTTACAGGTGGCCCCACACCTCATCCATCATACTCCCTTTCCTGATCCCAGGGAAGTTTCTGATAAACTCATTTATCAAGCAATATAAAAGATGATAAAATCTTTTGTACTGTGTTGTAAAAGAAAGAAATAAAAGAATTTCCAATTGTGAGATTTAAGTTCTCATCAGAATATTAGGGGGATATTGTAGAAAGCAAGGAGATCTTTTTGGTAACGTTGAAACCAAACTGTCCCCAAGAACATTATTCAGTGGCCCCACCGATCCCTGCTTCCCCATCTGCATTATTTAACATGGATAATTGACATTATCTCAATCATAGGTGAAGTGTTCGTAACCACATTAGATTCAAGCCTCTCTCCCTACCAGATTGTCACCAATGAGCCTCACTTATCCAGATCTTTCAAGTCCTAAGTCAATCTGCTCCCAGCCTATGGCTCATAAAAATGAAAATAGGGGCACCTGGGTGGCTCAGTCAATAAAGCATCTGCCTTTGGCTCAGGTCATGATCCTGGGGTTCTGGGATGGATCCCTGCATCGGGTTCCCTGCTCAGCGGGAAGCCTGCTTCTCCCTGTCCCTCTGCTGTCCCCCTGCTTGTGTGTGCTCTCTCTCTCTCTCTCTGTGTCAAATAAATAAATAAAATCTTTAAAAAATTTTAAAAAAATGAAAATAATCCTAGAAGATATCAAAATGTTAACTTTCATAATGAGTATATATCCAGTATATCCACACTTGGACATGATCAACTATTCCTACCCTCATTTTTGTAAAGAGGTGCAACGTAACCCTAAATGTAATTTAGAATTTTCTTTTTTGTTGTTGTTGTTTACAGTTTTAGATAAAATTTGCACATAGTGAAATGCAGTGATCTTAATTTTACAATTCAATGAATTCTGACTAGTGCATTCACTCTGTAATCCATATCTCTATCAAGGTATAAAGTATAGATCATTTCCATGAGCTTGGAGATGCCCTCAAACCTCTTTGCAATGGATTCTGTCATGTTCACACCCCACCCCAGATGGCTGTTTGCCTGGTCTGGAATTTCATACAAATGAGTCATGCAAGATGTATTCTTTTTGTGCTTAGCTTCTTTATCTCAGTATGACGTCTACCTGTACGATCCACCCGCATTGTGCTATACATCAATAGTTTATTACTTTTTAATGTCAAGTAGTGTTCAATGATATGGATAGATGCTACTTTGTTTATCTATTCATCAGTTGATAGACATTTATAATGTTTCCCCTTTTTTGGCTCTTATAAGGCTGTAATGAATTTTTTGTCCAAGTATTTTTGTGAACATGTGTCTTCATTTCTCCAGGTCAATACTGAAATAGTGAAATGATGGATCATGGGCTAAAATTCAGACCCTTTTGAATGGAGGAAAATGCCTGACCCAAAGGTTTTTATTTTATTTATCAGATATCCACTGTTCACCCTCAACAAGAAGACCCAAATAAACCCTACTGGATTTTGAGGTTGGTCACTGAACACAATGAAGCAGAATTTTTTGAAGTGAAAAAAGATACAGAACGAGCAGATGAAATCCGAGCCATGAAGCAAGCCTGGGAGATAACCGAGCCAGGAAGAGCTATCAAGGTCACTTGAGTTTGAAAAGTTGTTCTTTAACTTTCCATTCCTAGGCATTGGTCTGAAGTGGGACCCATGTTGGTGAAAGTGCATAATCTTTCCTTTAGGAACGGTATCTGGAATTTTGTTAGACACTCACTAACTACATTTTAGGACCACATTTGAACACATCGTGAAATGTTGTGCTGATGACTGATACCAGATGACTCTCAAAAGTGAAGCACATAATGGTGCCACTTATTGGCCCAAACTGTGGGTTCCCTCGTTCTTTCACGTAGCATGGTCTGTATCCATGTCTGTCCTCAACTCCCAAGTAAGAAAGCATAAACATGTTTAATATGTGCTTTTATGTACTTTGAACATGTGGATAAAAAGCCTGTGCTACCCCTTGTGGAATATACATACTTCAGGTCTCCCTCCCTACTATATTTTATGTAAGAATCATTGCTATAATGAACCATTATTACTCATATGAGTTTCATGTTCCAACTCAGGGTTATTAAGCCAGATGAAAAAGGTTCAGGAGCAACTGGATCTAAGGCTGCATGCCTTGTGTATTCGTTTTAGGACTGCTTCTTTATTAGTTCTCAAAAATAACTGTCAGAATTATGGATGGCTCAGAATTTGGGTTTTTTGGATAATAAGAGCTGGTCTAGTTCAAACTGCCATATTTATTCTCACTTTCCTCTTTCTTTCATGTACTCTTTAAATGTTGTTGCCTGGACTGTTCGTTGACAGTGTTTGTTCTTTAGGCTTCCCAGGCTCGCCTGCGTTACCTCAGCCGGTTCATTAAGAAAATACCGGATGCAGAAGGCATGCCTGTGTCTGACAGCCAAGCCAAAGTGCTGGAGGAAGGTCAGTGAGCCCTACCCCCGCTGCCTGAGAGCACGGAGCTGTGCCCTGCACCTCTTAAAAGACAGAGCATCTTACAGGATAGGAAAATAGATTCTTAATTTTTTTTTTTTCTTATCAAGCAGATGTTTGCTTTTTCCCCAAGTAGATGTGGTTTTCTCCATTTAAGAAAAGATGAAACCAGAAATAAGAATGCAACCTGGGTCAAAGGTAGCAGTGTGTGAACTTGAAGGCAGGCCCACGACTGTTAATCTGGCACCTTTCTAGTAACAATAACTATAAACAATAGCAATAAGATAAAGCTAACTGCTTTTTTTTTTTTAAAGATTTTATTTATTTATTTGAGATAGAGGGAGAGCGAGCGAGAGAGCAGGAGCAGGGGAGCAGAGAGAGAAGGAGGGGCTCGATCCCAGGACTCCGGGATCATGACCTGAGCCGAAGGCAGACGCTTAACCGACTGAGCCACCCAGGTGCCCCAAGCTAACTGCTTTTATTGAGTGATTGTTGTGGGCCTAGAACCGAAAATACTAATTATTTCATTGAACACTCACATAAATCCACTATAATCTATAATCTATAATGTGGTTTCCAATTTACCCATAAGGACACAGGCCCAGAGTAATTTGCTCTGCAATTTGCTAAGTTCACAAGATACCCAGAGACAAGGCCAGCTTGCAGACAGCTCTCCATGACCCCAGAGCACCTTATCACTAACCCTTGAGTGCCCCCATCTATAACCTCTCTGGGATGCCCGGGTAGGCTGAAGGCGTTAACATCCCCAATCATGCTTTTCCATGTTTATGTCTTTAGAAATGCAATTCAATGCTTTTTATAAAGATAATGCCCCTTAACTTCATATAAAGAGTAAAAACAACAAATATCACCCTGATTTTGTTTCCTGGGATGGGTACTCTTCACAGCACTTTTTGTTTATCTCCTTTTAACCTACAGCAACTATGAGGTTGACACTGCTATTCCTATTTTACAGATAAAGAGACTAATGCTCAGAGAGTCACCGATCTCTTCCTAAGTCACATATCTCAAAAGTGATAGAGTTGGGATTTGAAATATTTCTAACTCCTAAAGTACTCACTTTTCTAAGTGTTAAAGTCTAATATATTAAGAATACAAAGGTGAATAGGTTTTATTATGACTCTATCATTTTTTATTTTCAATTTTATTATTTTATTAGATTTTATTATTGTTTTTAGAAATGTTGTATTGTTATATGCAAAAGAAAAATGTTGCACTGGACACTTGTTAAAAATGGCAAGGGACACTATTCAAGACTATTGCAGTAGGAGAGAGAGAGATTGAATTCAACTTTGAATACAGCAGGGACAAGTGGGGCTTTATAGTGACTAGGCACGGAATGGGTGGAGAGTTACCCAGAAAATTTGGCTAGGTATGGGGGGTAGGGGGAGAGAGGAGCCGGACTGGATATCAAAGCATGAGGGGTGATTCTTGATAAATTAGTCCAGCAGGATTCTTTGCTAAAACTGAGATTCACAAGCCAAGTGGAGAACAAGGCTCACAGGAGGCTGACCTTGTCCTACAACATTCATGCAATAAAGACACAAATATTCGTTGTACAGCTTGACACATTTTTACATATGTATACACTCAGGAACCACCATTCGGATCAAGATCTAAAACACTTAAACAACTCCAAAGTCTTCCTCATTCCCCTTCCCTCAGCCATTTTCTCCCTCAAGGTAACTACTGGTCTGACCTCTACTACCCTGTTTTCATTTTGCCTGTTCTTGAACTTCATATATCTGGACTCATACAGTATATACTTTCTATCCCTCACTATTAAGCTGTTCTAACTCTTCTTGTGTCAGATTAGTAAGGTGTGTTTTATAAGAAATTTGTCTATTTTATCTAAGTTAAACTTCCTGGAATAAATTTCATTTAAATTTCTTTTTTCTTGATCCATTTTGCTCTAAGGGTAATCAATTTTAATAGTATCTTAAAACATATTTATTTCAACATTTCTCCATGCTTTCAAGCACTGACCTATTATCACCTTTTATTCAAAGCAGAATATAACATTAATTAAATTATCTGCAATTGATAAATGGGGGGGAATGTTTACATAATGTGGAAGTTGTGGTAGGTTTTACACAGTTTTTTTTTTTTTCCCTAGGCATAAAGATCTAGAACAGTGGGAGTAGAATTATAGCATTAAGGAAAAACTTTCCAGCTTTACAACTTCACAAGCAAGAGCTCTTTTCAGCTCTATTTTAAGATAATTTAGGACAAGTGCCTAGACTCAGCCTCCCTCTTCAGAGAGGAGAACCCCATTCACATACATTTCCCACACAAGGCAAGTTGAATCTCCTCCAGGGCCCACCCTAGAAGGGGCCCCAGTGGTTCAGAGATCCCATTTCCATTTGCGGTGTCTCACCTCCCCAAAGCCTCTATTTTTATGTGATGTGTTCATATCCTGAGGCACTTCCAGACACACTGGTGGTCTGGGCCATCCACAATGATTTCTGAGGCTACCAAAGATTGTTTTTGCTAGTGCTCTGGTTTGCAAAAGCTTTCCAGTAGGCTCCAAACCTGGCTCCCACACACCTTCGTCACTTTCTGTGTATGATTTTATAGAATGCAAGTTTGTCTTCGGTAACACACATGTCATGTTGTAGTTGAAATGTCCTCAAGTGCCACAAAAGAGTCGGACACAAAGGGTTCCATGAGTTCTGAGAGCAAAGATGTCATACCATCGGGGAGTATGCTGTGGAAGAAGTGGCAAATGGGCAAGGGCTTGAAGGATCTGTCCAAGTCAGGGAGCAGCGAAAGTGGAGGAATGTCCCCAGCAGGGAAGGAGGAGCAGAGTGTGCGAAAGGAGATCAGTAAGTAGTATTCTCATTTGTAAGAAAAATACGTACTTGGAAATAAAAATTCTGGAAAAGACACCAACAAACACATGTGATGCCTCGGGTTATAGCATAGAAGAATGTGTATTTGGGATTCATAGGTCTTCATTTTGCTTATCAGAGTTGATAATCTTGCTCAAGGACCTCATTGCTCAGTAGCTATCTTAAAGATAGAAGTGGACGAAAAACAAAACAAAACAAAACAAAAAACAAAAAACAAACTGTAGCAGGTGTATTTTTGTACACTTCTCTGTGTCTACAAACACTAAGAATAAAATTGCAGCGATGGCACATGCCATTGCCACCAAATGTAGATCCTTTTATCTATCATAGACTACATGATGTATTTTCTTTTTACCTTTTACAACAAATTTTAAATACTCTGATTCTAAAATTTTGGAGGAGAGGAGTTTTCAGTGGTGCACAAATCACATGGATTTGGTTCATTTTCATATAATGGGGATTCGTATTTGTTCACTAAAATGAACATAAATCCTCCATGGAAGTTTTTACAGAGAAATGTCTTGTCTGTGCTGGCTTCCCTGAGGAAGGATTTCCCCTGAGCAGCTCCTGGACTCTCTGTTGCTAAGGGACTAAGTGTCCTATATGGTTGAAACAATAAATTGGGCTGCCCATAGGGGATCCTGGGTCCCTAGCTCATCCCTGAGTTGCAGGCACCACCTGTGATCATGAGGGGGACAGCAGGGGTCAGCTGGCTGTCGAGTTCTGTGACCGTGGCCCGTTTGCCTCTCACATGGAGCTACATTCTCCAGTTATACTTATCAGTAGTAAAAATAGTACTATTTATTTCTCTACTTGTTCAGAACCCAGGCAAGAAAGAAAGATATTTTGGAAGGAGGCATCCTCGGAAACACCAACAATGGTTCTTTTCTCAAAATTCTAAACCAGTCAGAATTTTTATTTTTATTTTTTTATTTTTTTTTCCAGTCAGAATTTTTAAATTAAAAACTGTTTATGGCTAAAACATGTCCTTGAAGGATTTCCACAGGGAAGAGGAAAATCCCGAAATTCAAAGGGCTCTTTTACTATAGTAACAAGAGATTCCATTTTTGAGCCAATATTTTGAAAGTAAGCACTCATTTAATAAATAATGACATGCATGATGTAACACTAAAACTTATTTAGAATAACATCTATCCTTCTGTATTGATATTTAATTTGTAGAGTGGTTTTGCATCTATATTATCTCACTGGAGCCTCTGTGAACTAGACAAATCATATACTGCTATCTCTGCCTCAGAATTTAAGTGATTGATAAATGCCTCATGCAAGGGCAGGAAGAGGAAACAGTGTGGCGTGAATCAGGACTCTAATCCTAGTTCTTTTCATTCCACGTGTTGTGATCTCTAACAGAACACAAACTTCTCCCCACACTTGGTTAAAGACCTGTGAAGTGAAAATCTAATTACACTCGGAGGTTGACCTGTTTATTTATATGGTAACAAGGTAATTTTTTTAAGTTGCAAAAATGGAACACCATCATGATTCTTCACTCCAGCCTCCGGTAGTGTGTCCCCTCAGTCATGGTGCAGATTTCATTTTTTGCGCAGAGCCCCAGACCAGTATTGGGAGGGACCGCTTCCGTGTCAGCTCTCCTGCTCTTCATTTCTTCACACTTTTGGCCTTCAGTCTTCACATCTTTCTATTAAAGTTCACAGCACTGTGAAAGAGTGTACTTCGGGATGGAAAGGAGAGGGCAGGAAACAGGGAGGAAAGGTAAACGTGAGTGGGGATGGAGGACAGAGACCAAAGTGGCCTGTCCTCAAGCAAAAATGTCTCCAACATGTTTGAAATGTGTTTTTTTGTGTGTGTTTTACTATCATTTTTTATTTAATATAAATAATATATGTATAATATAATAATACAAAAAATATATTACATATAAAATAAAATATAAATTAAATCCCACAAAATCAAGAAAAGTTGACCCCTTCTCCCTCCAAGGAGAGGTGTGTTGTTGGGTTTCCAGTACATCCTACAGCACTGAAACATGGCCATGGACCCCAGGTACTGGGGATGTAGAAGGAATCCTGCTTGAAAACCGTGGGTCTGGTTGTCCAGCTCTTCTTTGGAACTCCATGCTTTGCTCCCACCTCGGCTGTTGGTGCCCCATATTGGCCCTCGCTCCTGGAGAAGCATCACCTGTAAGAGACTACAGACCCTGGGAGAGCTTTGCATGATCTGGTCTCTATATTCCAATAAATATTTGTGATCCCACAAAACTGCGTTATTCTTGGGCACCTGGGTGGCTCATTCAGTTAACCGTCTGCCTTTGGCTCAGGTCATGATCCCAGGGTGGAGTCCCACATCTGGCTGCCTGCTCAGTAAGGAGTCTGCTTCTCCCTCTGCCCTTCACCCTACTCATGCTCTCTCTCTCTCTCTAATAAATTAATAAAATCTTTAAAAACAAAACGAAAAAACCCTACCTTATTCTTGCTACTTCCTATTTTCATATAATAGGTAACTTAGACCAATTTCCATCATAGTACCAGAGGGCATATGTAAATGGTATCATTATGGGTTTCACACCTAAGCATTCTTCCTCAATACCAAAGCCATAGTCAAGTTCAAAAACATTGCTTTCCACTTCCCCTTCATCTCTGGGAGCCTCTAGAAAATGCCTTTTCCAAACATTGCAGGTGATCTTTGTCTTTATTCCCACATCTTTTCCCCAGGCTTCACAATCACTATGCCTTGAACAACGATTTTCAGACTACCCATGATGAAGTAAGTTTTCTCCCTTAGTCTGTTGGAAGCGGAAACTTTTGTAAAATGTAATAAAATGAGCCCAGTAATGACCAGTGGCTTTAAAGATATTTCTAAATGCATGTTCTTATTTTCAGAACTTATCCCACAGAGGGCCAGTTTGCAGACGGAGGATGGTGCACACACACACACACACACGTACGTCCATGCACACACACACACACATTTTAGGCTGCACTATTCTGGAGGAACAAGGCTGTCATAATACACTCACACCCTATTCTGACAACAGAGTTTAGTAGCAGGACATGAAGGTTAAACTTCTCTGCCCCTTTCCCACACCCTCTTCTGTTTAAATATATGTTATTTGGCAGGAGGCAAGAAAACACAGCTATCTAATTAATCAGTAAGTATTTTCTTTCCAGTCTCATGTTTGAAATGCCAAAAATATAGCCAGAATAAGTAGGTATGTTCAGAAGAAAAGCAAATGAACTTTAGCAATCTAAGATCCCATAGTCATCACAATGAAAAAAGAAAAGTTATTGCCTGCTGGTTTCTAAAAAACATATTGTAAAGTGTCAACTCTTCAGGAACGTTTTCTGTTATAAAATGAAAGACGTGGTTGAATTTATGTTTTCATCATAGAGTTGAGTTAGGATATTCTGTTTTTTCACATGTACCGTCTTCATGTATTTTCAAAAAAATGAAAAATTAATTTGTATATCATGTTTAAAATGTTTTTTAAAGGTTTATATTAGATTTTATTTCTGAATGAGTGATCACTTTTAACAAGTTGTTATAAATTAAGCACTTTCCAATATTGCTGGAGGCTATCACAACCATGCGTAAAAAGCAAGATTAAATAGTCCGTGGGGCGTGAGACATCTTGATGGCGAAGTGAGGACCTGACATAGCCTCTCCCAAAAAGCACTAATAAACTGAAAAACAATTAATTAAAAAACATGTTAAAACTCTGAAGGCATGTAACTAAATAAAAAGTACAATATACAAGATTAATATACGAAATTACTTTCATTTCTACATAATATCAATGAGCGATTAAAAAAAATTAAGACCCATTTCATTCACAGTAATGTCAGTAATAAATGTATGGAAATAAATTTAATGAAAGTGCAAGACCTGTATACTGAAAACTACAAAACGTCACTAAAGGAGGTTTTTAAAAATCTAAAGAAAGAAGGAGGCAGTCCATGCTTTGGACTAGAAGACTCAATATGGTCAGGTGGCATTGCTCCCCAAATTGATCTATAAATTCAGTATAATCTCTATCAAGGTTCTGGTAGACATTTTATAGAATTTAGCAACCTGATCCCAAAAGTTACTTGGAAATGCAAAAGACCCGGTTTTGATAAAGAACCAAGGGGGAGGATCTTTACTTCATGTTTTCAGAATTTATTATGAAGCTAACAATAATCAAAACACTATGATTTGACAGTTTCTCAAAAAGTTAGATGTCATTTTACCATTCTTAGTTACGTGGAATGTCCAAGAAAGACAAAGCTATAGAAGACAAAGCGCATCGATGGCTGCCCGGGGCTTGTGATGGGAATGGAGAAGGGCTGTGAGAGGCACAGGAGATTTTATGTGGAGAATGGAAATGTTTTGAGACTGGATTTGGGTGCTGGTCGCACAACTCTGTAAACATACGAAAAAGCACTGAATTACATTTTTAAAATGGGTGAATTTTATGACATTTTATACTCCAGTAATTTTTTTAAAAGGAGATTAAATGTCCTGGAAAGCCTGAGTGGTTAATATCATAGACTCTAAAGTCTCTTTTTTAAGTTTTTTCTTGTGGGTTCAAATGAGTTTAGGGAGTAGAAATTTCCTGCTAACTTGATTTTCACTGTTTACCTGCTATATATTGCCTACCGCACTGGATCTACAAGTTTCTTAAAGTAGATTACTATGTCTTAAATATTTTTATACCCCACTCCCCATAGTGCTTATGATGGCTTTTACCCCTAGATGAAGCATTTTAAATATTGGGTCATTTAATTTGTTTATAAAGAAATACAGTATGACTTTTCTTGTCTCCACCTTCATTTAACTACCATCACAGTAACATTCTGTTACTCTTCTTATAGAGTATATTCACTTTGCCATTTCCTTCATGTAACTGTAAGTATAGTAACACCAGCTAGAGGATAAATATGAAATATAATTATATTTAATAAAGTAAATTGAGTCACATTAAAATCATATTAAATTAGACAAGTCCAAGCAACGGTTGTTTTTTTTAACAGAAGATATTATTTTTAATTAAAATAAGATACAACAGTCATGTAGTCAGTGTTGATTCTTTTTTCAAAGTCTAAGACTTATTTTTTTTTAACAGGGCCTCGTTCACGATCCCCAACAATTTTGGAAACGTCTCCACGACTTATTCGAAAAGCGCTAGAATGTGTAAATTTAACTCAGTATGTACGGTAAGTTTTAATAAACATGATTAATGCGGACATCTGTGTTCATAGAATTTTGGATACATTAATAAGTTGCTAAACAACTCAAAATTTGAACTGAAATGCTTAATATACTTCAATGTATTCAAATTTTTAGAAGTACATGATTTTACATCTCAAATTAAGCAAATGTTTTATTAAGTCAATCATAAAAGCATTTGAATATTTCCTGTAAAGATTTAATTTATAAGCTGATTAAAGTGACTTGAGCTGCAGAAAATTCCCCACTATGCCTGCTGGCATTATTTAAGTAGGTTCAATTTTATCAAGAACTAGACAGAGATTAACAGAGAGAGATAGTTACTCAAGCATATTTATGTTTGAAAACATTTTCAACATTATTTAACTGCATAAATTAAAAAAGGAAAAACCTCCAAATATTCTCATACTTTCCAACACCAATTCCATGAATACCTCATCAGATGAAGCATCTGATTTTTACTGGTATTTTCCTAGAATTGTTTCCTAAAATATTAGTGACTTAATAAATGGAGCATAGCTCATCAAAAAATAATAGTTTATCCTTTCTATTCCTAACATTTGATTGGATTCAGACCACCACACTGTCCATATGATTTTAAATTATTTGAATTCTGAAGTAAAGTTCAGTCCAGCATTCCAAAATGATTTATGCATCTCTTTTGATGTTTTTTATAGAAAAACGATAGACAACGACCCTGTGCTACAAACAGAGGAATTGAACCAGCAGCAGGCAATGCAAAAGGCAGAGGAGGTTCATCAGTTCCGTCAGTATAGGACCAGAGTCCTCAGCATTCGAGACATTGACCAAGAGGAACAGCTCAAAGTAAAAGATGAAATCCTGGAGATGTATGGGGAGATGCGGGTGAGTCTCAACATACAGATTACAGTTGACACATTCTCTTATAATGTTAAAAAGATATCATAGAAGAGTAATATAGGACCTGGGTGGAAAGAAGTCTTGAAAGCATTTAGTTCCCAACTCCTCAGAGAAGATGGAAGATTGGTGAAACACACTGAATTTTACTTACTTCCTTAAACCCTTCCATAATGCAGTATTGGGGATCTATCTACAAAAATGGGAGGAAAGAGAGAGAAGACAACAACAAAATATGTGTGAAGAGAACTGGGTGAATATTAAAATTATGTAGATTCAATTCATTGTGTAGAAAATACTTTAAATTACAATATTATAAGACAAAAGGGAATTTCATTATTTCCAGTCATGTTTTTTTTCTGTGTTTAACAGACAAGCAAATGCAGTAGATGGGAAGGCGATAGGGAAGAAATATTAACGGCGATGGTTTATTTATTTATTTATTTTTTAAAGATTTTATTTATTTATTTGACAGAGAGAGAGACAGCGAGAGAGGGAACACAAGCAAGGGGAGTGGGAGAAGGAGAAGCAGGCTTCCCACTGAGCAGGGAGCCCGATGTGGGGCTCGATCCCAGGACCCTGGGATCATGACCTGAGCCGAAGGCAGACGCTTAACTGACTGAGCCATCCAGGTGCCCCAACGGGGATGGTTTTTTAATTCGGATCTCATTCTTTAAGTGTGAGGCACAAACACCTTAGTTTTGCTTGAGTCTCCCTTAATAGACATTATCCGTACCCCATTTCTTATCAGATGGGAGAAAAAGATACCAATCCTCAAGAGATTACTGACATATATTAAACTTACTTTACACTAAATCCTTCAGATGGCATTCTCTGTCTCTTTTTTTTTTTTTTTTTAAGATTTTATTTATTTGACAGAGAGAGAGCAAGAGAGGGAACACAAGCAGGGGGAGTGGGAGAAGGAGAAGCAGGCTTCCCACTGAGCAGGGAGCCCGATGCGGGGCTCGATCCCAGGACCCTGGGACCATAACCTGAGCCAAAGGCAGACGCTTAACCGACTGAGCCACCCAGGCGCCCCTGTCTCTCTTTTTAATACGGTACTACTCTTATCTTGTACAATTGGTTTAGTGAAGCCAATTTTATTGTGGTGGATACAGGACTTTTCTTTCACCAAAAGCTTTGAGGAGAGTCTCATTCTGACATTCAACTCTGCCATAATCTCCACCACAATCATGCAAGTTGCAAAACCACAGAAAATTTCTTGAAGAATTCAGCCATGAAGACAAAAACAGTCATTTCTAAATACTTCTCTTCTGGCTAGCATCAGTTCATTAATCCTTTTTTTAAATTATATCATTTTTGAAACAGGAAACAACAGGTTGAACCATAATTGTGCCCATTCTGTCAGAAATGCAAATGAAACAAGAAAGCCAAAGTTTCTTAGGAAAGCTACATTGGCACTTAAATTGTATCACTGCTTTATTTGTGAATATTTTTAGAATGTTGCCTGGAACTGACATTAAGTTTTGAAAATTACCCTTCTTTTTGAAAATATAAACTATAATTTAACTATAGTTATATATATTTTGAAAGTAGAATCAGGATTTCCTGATGGATTGTTGGTATAAGAGAAAGTAAAGAGTCAAGAAATGCTCTAAGGTTTTTGGCTAAACAATTGATAGGGTTGAGTTGCCATCAGATCTGAAGGCTTGAAAGGAAAGACAAAGATTTCAATTTGAGACATTTTTGGATATTTCTATTGTATCAGAAAAAAGCATTCTTACATATCTATTACAGTCATGTGGGAGATATTGAAAGAAGATATATGGTTCTGGAATTTAGGAGAGAGATCTGGGCTCTAGATTAGAAAATTGGGGGACCCCCATCAGTATAGAAATGGAATTTAAAGCCATGGAGTTAGATAAAATCACCAAGGAAAGAGGTCTAAGATCTAAGACATGGCCATTTCCTCATTAAGAGATGAAGGAGAAGAGGAGAAATTAGCAGAGGCAACTGACAAGGAGCAGCTAGTGAAAGAGGAAGAAAAGTCAATGGGGTATGAGATCCAGAAAACCAAGTGAATCAGTTGATCCAGGAGGAGAGGGTAGGGGTAAGTAAGAATTGGACCAAGAGGTGATCTCGGATTTAGCTTGGTGTCTTTGAATGAAAGCCTAACGGACAATAACAAAGAAAGCAGTGAACTGGGTGATAGTACTTGAAAGTTCTTCAAGTACAGGTCAGACACATTTCATCAGGTCTAGTACAATGTGGGGAACTAGTAACTTACTGAGCACAATTACGGTGAGAGATGCACTGAGCTGCATGTTTTCTAGAGCTTATATTTGAACTCATGCCTATCTCTTCCCTTTCTCTCTCTTTCTCTTAGTAATGCTTTTATTTACCATTTTGTTAAAATCTCATGTACCCTTTGTTGCTCTCTTATGTTTCATGTATTGATAAACATTTGAGACCATAACCTAATATTTTTTTCTCTGTCTCTCTTCAGTAATTTGCCACAGGAATCTATTGGCATGAGGAAGGGATCAAGGGATTGCTTTTTTTTTTTTTTTTTTAATTTCTTTCTGGGACCATAAGCTTTTAACAGTAGATCTTAATTGCTTGGGATTTTGTTTTGGAATAGGACTCTTTAGATGAAGCCCGACAGAAGATCTTTGATATCAGGGAAGAGTATAGAAACAAGTTGCTGGAAGCTGAGCGCCTAAGATTAGAAGCTCTGGCTACGGAGGAAGAAACAAGTCCGGTGGAGCCAGAGAAGAAGACGCTGGCTCCAGACACACAGAAAAAAAAGAAAGGGAAGAAAAAGTAACTAGCAGTGCCCAATACTCACCGCCTTCTTCTGGAGAGGAAAGCCCTTATTTTTTCTTTCTTTTTTTTCTTTTCTTCTCCTTCCTTCCTTCCTTTGTTCCTTCTTTCCTTCTTTCCTTCCTTTTTTTTTGTGTGATCTATAACCTTCCCTACTGATAAGGTACTAGGTTTTCCTTCTTAGAATGAGTTCCTGTGTTATAATGTTCATTTGTTGGTTTCTCTCAGAAAACTATCATTTGAGTAGCCATTGGAGTTTCAATTTTTCCAATTTCAATAAAAAGTGCCTCAAAATATTTAAAATGCAATAACATTGATGTGTCTCCCTCTGAATTGCTGCATTTTTGGTGAACAGTAAAACAAGATCATGAATGGGCTAACAGGATTGCATTTGAAGACATTCAACAATGAGAAAAACAGCTATGGTTCTTAGAGGGAATTTTGTTTATAACTGTAAAGACTTTAAGATATTTTTAAAATATGCTTCAGATTTGTGTCCTTCACCGGGCAAGAGCTGTTGTGGGTTAAGCTCAATACAAGTGTTTGAACTCTGAATCCTACCTAACACTTGGTCAGGTCACCCAGACATAGAGACTGTGACCTCAAATGCATCCCTTGTCATCAGTCCCAGCACCATGTTTTTTGTAAGTCACAGAGCATGTTCTTGGTTGCCAGTTTTAGAAAACTGCAGTGGATTAACTGAGGCACGTGACCGGAAATGGGCTTCTCCCAGAAGCACAATTCTAGTTCATAGCTTCCTCAGACGAAAACTCCAAAGGTATTTTTTAATCAGTCAAACCTTTCCTTTTTTCATGTACTTAAATCTTTTTTTTTTTTTTTTTAAAGATTTTATTTATTTGACAGAGAGATACACAGCGAGAGAGGGAACACAGCAGAGGGAGTGGGAGAGGGAGAAGCAAGCTTCCTGTTGAGCAGGGAGCCCGATGTGGGGCTAGATCCCAGGACCCTGGGATCATGACCTGAGCCAAAGGCAGACGCTTAAGGACTGAGCCACCCAGACGCCCCATGTACTTAAATCTTATTATTAAATCTTTTTTTTTTTAAAGATTTTATTTATTTATTTGACAGAGACAGACATAGCGAGAGAGGGAACACAAGCAGGGGGAGTATAGGAGAGGGAGAAGCAGGCCTCCTGCGGAGCAGGGAACCCAATGTGGGGCTCGATCCCAGGACCCTGGGATCACGACCTGAGCCGAAGGCAGACGCTTAATGACTGAGCCACCCAGGCACCCCTTATTATTAAATCTTATTATTAAAATGTTAATTAGATATATACATATATATGTAATTTTACTCAAATATGCAAACACATGCACTTTTCCTCTATTATTTTTTGCCTAAACTTTCCTTCATCACCCTGTGATCTCCCAACCCCACAAAATAATACATGATAACAACCTAGTATAAATATTTCCATGTTTTTCACTCATCTAATATAATCATACATATTTTATATCATGACCTATTTTACAAAATGTCATTTTATTATGCATTCTTTACTGTGTCTTGATTTTTCTCACCAAAGAATACAAAATCTCTTTGAGACAAAAGTAATTCATTCTTTTTAATTACTGTGAAATATTTCATGGCACAAATACATTGTCATTGATTCAGCTAATTCTCCTGTGACAAATATTTGCTTTGTTTCTAGATCTTTTCCGTACAAGAAAATCTGGTAAGAACAGAAAAGAGGTAGCAAGATGGTAGACTTAACAAAGTATTTTCTAATAAATAAAAAAGAAATATAGTGCCTGACCTTTAAAATAAAGGAAAAATAAAATCAAAATATTTTGTAAGAAGATACTATAAATATTACTGTATAAATGCTTGGAGTGACTACACTGGAAATACATGGGACATAGAACACCAGGTACAATGTTCCTACCTATACTTGGAATCACTGACAATGCAGTAGGTACAAATAAATGCAGACTGATTTACAGGTGGTTTGTAATTGTCACTCAAATATTTGGAATGGGGTTGCCATTGGTGATACAATTTTCAAAATGGTGAACAACCTTGGTAAATTTTCAAAGATAACAATGTTTAGTCTGCCTTTAGTGTGGACAACTGATGCATTCCTTGAAATATTCAGTGAATTTTTAAAACTTTGCAAAAGATATTTTTGTTTTATATATCTTACAGAGTTAGGTTCTTGGATCATTAATTTGCTTTTAGACCACATGAATGATGGACCATTCAAATCATAGAGAGGTAAGATAATTCTTTGTTGCATGTGATTCTTTCAAAGATTGGGGGATATCTAACATTCTTAACATTCAACCAGTAAATAGCAGTTCTGTCCCATTCTTGGGCCAATCCAAAATGCCCCCGCATTTTTCCTAACTATTCTCTAGAGGTTTGCACTGTCCTCACTGAGATCATCTCCATGTAGAAGAACAGTAAAGCTTACTGAGAAGCTGAAGATAGTTGTCTGGGATCATAGTTAATAAATAACTCTGTTAGAATACATAGCTGTTTAAAGACCCTCAGTTGTGTTGAGTTAACCAAGATATGTGTATAAAGCATACTAAGTTCCTACAATCCCTAGATCATTGTCTTTGACAAATGTATGGCTTCTCATTCAGTTTCTTTCGCCTTAGTCTCTTATCATCTACCTCTTTGCATCCTCCCAAGTACTTCAAGGTCAACTCTCTACCCCCTTTCTCAGGGGCTCTTGTAAGAGCAGAGAAAACAGCTTTCTCTTCTGCAGTCACAGGCTGGCTTCTGAGTAATAATCCCGAGGGTGCAACTCTGATGATAATGAAACATCATTATAAGAGCAATTTAACACTTCAGTGTCTCTAACACCTCCACTGAAGAATAGGATTGTGGCTTTCCTTTTTGCAAAATCGAAGTGTCCACTAAAGTGTTTTCTGAAATGTAACAAAGGACAATTTTCATTTAAATGAATCAGAAAATTGCTGACAACCTCACTAAACTTTTAACTGGCTTTTAGAAATCAAGTTTTCAGGGCACCTGGGTGGCTCAGTCATTTAAGAGTCTGATTCTTGGTTTTGGCTCAGGTCATGATCTCAGGGTTGTGAGATCGAGCCCCCTGTTGGGCTCCATGCTCAGTGTGGAATCTGCTTGAGATTCTCTCTCCCCCTCTCCCTTTGCCCCTTCTCCCACTTGCGTGCGCTCTCTCTCTAAAATAAATAAATAAAATCTTTTAAAAAATAGAAACCAAATTTTCAAAAACAAAAAACACTGACTTCTAGTCTCTGAGCCCTCTGTTTTATATAGCCTATTTTCAAACATTAAAAACACGTTGCATGATATTCTCACGTTTATCTTGTGTCTCTGTCTCATTCCAATGAAGCCCTCGTATCCACTGCCTCTTGGAAAATAGAAAAGTAGAGGGAGAAGTGGCAAGAAGAGCCATACAGTAATGGAATTTGCCTCAGAGAAGAAACTGTGTGCCCTGGGCCATATCCCAAGTGGGATTCTTAATAACAGATCAATAAAAGTTTCAACGACCTTCCCATTTCTGAGATTAACATTATGAAGGAACTTTGTTTTAAGCTGGTACAACATTTTTTGTCTAATCAATTATAAAACAAATTCTATTCCTCTTAATTTAGATAAAATAGTTTTATCTAAACCACAGGTGTGTTTTCATGGAATAGCTGCATTATACATTGAAGGCTTTGCATGTGCTTAGGCTAAACATCCTTCTTTTTGGTATGAACACAACACACAGGATGGTTTATTGTTTAAGTGAACTTACATAACAAATTACCATTGTATAATAATTTCAATCCATAACTAAAAAAATCTAAGTTTATCCAAATAAACCAGGCACTTTTAATACATTTTATTAATTATAAAAATACACTTACCTAATCTGTAAATTCCTTTCCCATCTGGAATATAATATAATGACACCCTTTATTTTCAATGTTCATCAAACCATTGATTTCAGAATCGCCAATTCAGATGGCACATGGATATCTCTTTCATGCCACATTCAACTGTGGGTGGTTGATATATTTATGCAGGTACAAAGAAAATTCATTAAAAAATGATGTTTGCCTTTGTGAAAAAGATTCCAAAATAATATGTTACATAGTAAAGACTTAGTTAATAAACTGCTAAGTAATATAAATCAATATAGCTCATTGGTGAAACTGGGCTCAGCTGGTTAACATCTCTATAATATTTTACAGGTTTGAATAGAAAATTTTCATGCTGTTTTCAACAGGAAGATTAAACTTGTGCTAATGGCCAAAATCATTAGATACAACCTCACCAATAACTATTTGATTAATGATAGAATTACTGATTATATTGTTATACAATTAATAATATAATACAAAATTTTGCTGTGTATTTTTTTCTGAAGGAACTTTGAAGTTTTCCTGTATTTTTTCATGAACTTAGCTGATTTTTAACTTTAGTTGCTTCTGGAGTAGCAGGTGCCCAAAGCCGGCATATTTTACACCATAATGTGTGAAAAACAGCCTTTGGCCGACATTTCTGTAGCAAATCATCTGAAGCCATTAACTATTAAAATAAAAAGCCAAAACTATTAAAATCTTATTTTAATTGAGGACGCCTCAGTCAGTTAAGCATCTGCCTTTGGCTCAGGTCATGATCCTGGGGTCCTGGGATCGAGCCCCTTGTCAGGCTCTGTGTTCTGTGTGGAGTCTGTTCCTCCTCCCTTTCTCGTGCTCCCTCTCCCTACCCCCCTCTCTCTCTTTCTCAAATGAACAAATAAAATCTTAAAGAAATAAAAAAATAAAATGATTAACTTGAATTCAGAAGCTGCTTTCCAGTTTATGATTCATACAGACTGCTTGTATTTACTCTTGCTTTTCATTTATGAACATTTAAATCATCTCTGGCTCTATAAACACGAAGAGGAAGGAAGCAGGGGGAAAGCCAGAGTTTCATTTGTGGTTTGCAGATATGACCAAAAAAATGTCCTGAAGGGAAGTTAAAATTCCCCATGAGATGCTCATACACCATTTGCAGATTTCAATAACTCTTGGTCTTCAAGAACCTGGATGCTTCAATTTTAGTATATGTGCTGCCGAAGCGAGCACGAACCTGGATGCTTTAAATGTGTCTGATAAGCTTTATTTCTTCTGTTGTGTCACTACTGTTTAACTAGCTTGTCACATTAAGACCATTTCTAATACTTTGTGTAAAGATTTCATCTCTCTGCTGTATTCTCTCTGTTATATTCTCCTTGAGTGCAAGGACTATATTGTAATTGTCATATATTATGCATTTTAATCACCCACAAATCATAGCACAAAACCTCACAGAGTAGGCTTTCAGTAGATTATAACTGAATAAACTACACTGTTCCCCATTAT